TCATGATTTACCGCTGGACAGACCCGTGAACTGTTTTTCAAACGCACTGAGTGCTTCCGGCCACCCCTGGAACATGACTGCGTATGTACGTCGCCCGTGGGTCAGATTCGTGGATCGCTGACAGCGCCCGGTGACGGCTAGGTAGATGTATCTGTCAACACCACAATCGCGTTTTTCCCTTAATCTCGTGGCTCGCTAACTCGCTAATTGAAGCGGTATGCTTTGGTACTGCTACAGGCAGAGCCGTGCACTGCTAGTTCACCACTAATTGCGACGAGTTTCTAGCTGATTCAGTGGTCACTCTTAGGACTGCAGAAAACTTCCGAAAAACCACGTCGCCGTGCATGCCGTTGTCTCTGATGGATGTGCCTATGCGGACCACGGTTCCACCATCTCAACAGGCCTTGTGGGACCGATATGACTTCCGAGCACTCATCCGCATTTGATGGACACTGTCTCCGCGAATCATCTAGACGAACAACGCAGAATGGCGCTGGATGGAGGGCTATATATTGCGTCGCACGTAGGGCTGCTGACCCCACTCACTCTGCTCGCCGAGATGAAGGTCACGTCTGCCATCTTCCTCAGCGCTGCTGCTCTGTTCCACGCTGCTTGTGCGGTCCCACTCGGCGAGATCGACGGTCAGCTCTCTGGACGCGCCAGTAAGGTGTACGTTGTGACGGACGGTATGATTGCCTCTCGCCTCTGCTGATCCGGGTCTCGCTGAACGAGTCTTCCTTAGACATCGTGGAACGCACCGGCAATGATGTAGACTCTCCATCTCAGGTTACGAAAAGTGAGAATTCCGGGAGCATGCAGAACACACGTGCTTTTGCTGACCGTTCTACTAGTAGACCTCGATAAGCGTGGCAGCGACCTTTACACCGTCACCGATGGTATGGTCGCGCACTAGGTCTCGATACTATAGGCTGACGGTCTATGCCACAGACGTGGTAAACGCGATGGCGGAATCGTGGCCTATAACGTGTGTATCTGCTTGACTATCCAGCTCTTTGCACTGACGATAAACATCAGAACTCGACGAAAGCCTTTAACGAAGACCTATGTTCACAAGAATCCAAGCTATATCGGGGAGCATGGTCCGATGATGGCAGCCGTAGACTCGATGGGTCGTTGACAAGGAGCATATCTTGTAGGCTATACGTAGTGGTGAATGGTTCTGCTAGCATTGGCAATTCAAAATCTTCGTGTGAACTCCATGTTGTGAACTGTGAACCGCATCCAGTGCGGTGCACGGCGGCGGGTGTTTGCTAGCACTTTTTATGTTGATGCTCTATAGTGATAGTCAAAGGGAGAGCTTAAATAAGAAGATGTCCCGGTGACGGGAATGAACGGTCTTTCACCATCGCAAATGTCAAGTCCAAAATGGTGATCACCAAGTGATCACCAGTACGTCTCGTAGTACTTATCGACGGGTTGGGGGGCTCCCATGTCTCCAGCCAGCTCTTCATCGCAGCTATGCCCTGAGTCTGAGATCTGAACAGCAGCGATTGTCGAATCGACTTCCCCATTCGCGGCATCCATATCTGAGCAATGGTAGCCATCACCCATGACGATAGGCTGCATGGCAGTGCTTTGACAGGCTGTCCCGTCAGCGGAGACAGTCGCAACGCGCCATGGGTCCTCTGAATGGTGTTTGCATAAGCGATAGGACATGTTTATTCAGGCTTCTACTCACTCTCTCCGTTCGAGAAGAACAGGCGATCAGCCTTGATGAACCATCCATGATACGCCGCATTCGTCTCGTTCACCTTCGGCGTTGGTGGAGTTGAACGCCTCCGGGAACATTAGCATGCTTCTTGGTTAGATCCTTCAAGACAGTTGTTACGTGACTAACCTCCCAATGAGTTGGCTGGATCAGACAAGAAACAAGAGTCGGCTCGCCATCAGGCGCTCCGTCTTGATAGAAGCCCATTTGGTTGCAACTGTCGAGGCATGTCAGTGCACGACCTTGTCGATGTATAGTATCCATGGCTGTACAACCACGTACAGGATCCAGTATCATGAACGATCGGCGTTGTTGACAGTAAGGTCCGTGTAATAAGTTGCGCTTGCATTGTATATCCCAAAACACGTTCTGCTGCGGGATCGTCAGCTAATGTGTTCCTGACTATGAACCATCTAATTTGAACTGACTCAGCGTCTTGATCATCGCAATCTGCGAGACCTCCACTGCTCAACAATGTTTCATCAAGGGTGAACAAATGAACTCACAGCGTTGATAGCACACCTCTTTCCAGAATCCGGCCCATGAATTCAATGCGTTCTGAAGACCCCATCCCTCGGACGGTGCGGTCTGATTATCCTTGACTTCCAACGCGTCACAAAAATGGAAGAATAGAGGGTCCGACAGGTTAGACGAGGGTTGGAGGCCTTGCCATGGGAAGAGTGGGTGTTGCACTGTGTCGTCAGGCGTGTCACCAGTGCAATCACGAAACCATCAGAGAAGCAATACGCACAGGCACTCGCGAAGTCATCGAGGTGTGTAAGATGCATGCTGAAAAGTTCCTTGATCTCGTTGATGGCAGTATTATTCCCAGATGTGAACACGGAATCGACGTGCCCGATTACCGCCTGTACATCAGCGGAGCAATTCTGTGGCATATGCTTTCGAATGATATTGAAGTAGCCCCAATAGTCACTGATATCCTCATCAATAGGACCGAGAAGAGAATGCAGTCGTTTGACGTACGCGATACTCTCCACGACACCTGACGAGGACCATGCAGCGTAGAACACGTCAGGTTTGCTACAGGGATGAGAGCGATTAGCATCAGATACCATAGGAAGAGCGCAAGGTAACCTACTTGACTTTAGTGAAGCTGGTTAACGCGCCGGCATAGCTGCCCCCAATGAGAATCCATGGCGCCTCGTCCGGTGTAACATGGTCGCCACTAGGCATCGGCAGCTTCACGTTGTATGCGATGTACTCGAAATCGTCAATCGCTTGCTGGATCGTGTGATACTGCAGGCTCTCGACGGAAAGGTTATCATATGGGTTTGAATAGCCATAATAACGGTGCTCCAGAACGATCGTCGATCCATTCAGTTCCTGGGCGATCATCCCGTTTATCGTGGAGTTTACGAGGGAGTCTTCAGAGCCTATGGCGGAATACATTCAACACAGACCCTTCAATTGGTAGAGGACACACACCCTCTGCGTTCCCTTCTCCAGGCGTGGTCAGAATGATTGGCCCGCCTATGCCTCTTTTCTCAGCGACGATGTACTACGTTTCGAAATCTGCTTACCAGCTTCATAGAACTCCCATGTGTGCCAATATCGCTGTTTGAACGTCCCAATGCTGGGATTAGTGTGGTCGATCAACTGATCAAAGTAGTATGTCGTGTTGAGAGGCGGCAATTCGGTCCCATTGCGATCCACAATCGCTGCGTCCCGCCGTATCTGGTTTTTCTTGACGAAGCTTCTTCCGAGAGGTCTATGTCTAGGGGACAGGGCATCTGTACCCACCGCCAACAATGCCAAAAGTAGGATAGCACTCGTTGGCATGAATCGTGTCATGACCCAAAGCAAGGAGAAAGAGTGACTATGGAAGAGGACGGATGAGCCAGTCCTCCTGCGGAGCTCAATCAAAAGTATGCGAAGGCTAACCTGACGATTCAATCGGCTACCATCAAACTTCGGAGAACGCACTGCGAGAGGGCGGTGAAGAGTTACGTGAGACCGCGCAACGATAGTCCGGAAGCCTCATCAAGGGCACAGGAAGATGTTGAGAACAGTCAAAGACACCTGGGCGTGGCTGGCTAGCAGAGCGACGGTCGAGGGCGACGCTGGCTGACAACATGAGACGTCGGTTAGTACGTATTTTTTGTACGAAAACGCAAATGGCTGTACCGGGGATTCCTAAGGGTGAGGGAGCAAAAACAATGTCAAGCGCCTGCATGGCTGTGAGTAACAATTGTCCTGTGTTATATCTGCTGTGATCTGTACATACAGTGGTCAAATACGATCAGCAGTACAGCAGTAAGCGGGCGGGACCACATCACACAGTATGAAGTGCGCGTTGGATGATTCAGACTGGCCGACATAGGCTGTTATCTGCTACCATTCCGGCATACTCAGCGGAAGAGCATCAGCATTTGTGAACCACGTACCCGAGACTGGCCGCGCATAAAGCATGGTGAGTGATGTCCGCCCATTAGAGCACATCAGAGTGCGTACAGGCCTCTGGCCGCGAAGTTGCGTACTACATAGCCGAGGCAGCTCGTTAAGTCCCGCTCCGGCCTCCCTATGCCGCATGATGTCCAGTACATGACTTGCACAAGTGGTTTCAGATTCAAATCCCAAGTAGTCAGACACACGCGGAGAACCACCAATTATCTGCCTTCCTTCCGATAGTTCCAACAGCAAACGAGCGTCGTTGCTTGGTGAGAATCGTAACAAGGCGTAATGTAGCAGCGAGTCCTGCGTCAGCCAAGCTTTTGCGAAAGTCTCATATGCACACGCATGTCTTGAAGTCGTCTGGAGCAATTTCGTAAGTTAGATCCGGTGCTGCCAGTCAGAGCTCTGCAGAAATCGGGCGACCCGACTGAATAAATGAAAACTGCGAATTACTGCAACTAATCCCTTGTCGGTACGACACCATCCGATGTCAACGTGCTCGGGAGCTCCTGCTCCCCAATGACAGTGAGCAACGCGACTGATCTGCCGCCAACAAGCAAGATTAGGGTAATCGCTGTCCTGGAAAGCAATACAAACCGTCTGACGAGTCCCGTCAGCGACGCAGTCTACATTGGCGGACACAACTAGCTCACCCGCTGACATCCTTGCGCTCGCATGCACTCCCAGCCCAATCCTCCGTTTGACCCTTCAAGTCCTTGGTTGCCGAGCAGGCGCAGGCGTAGCATGTGCGGCCCTGCTTGCTTGCCTGCACGCATTGTCCGTGCCCGCTGCATGAGCTGGTCGAGTTACCGCACGCCTCAGCCGTTGAGTAGCACGTCGTAATCGCGTCGATGAGCTCAGCGGGGCCAGGCTTTGGGGGAGGGAAAGGCGGCTGGAGCGCAGAGCTGACCTGTCTCTGGACCTGCGATACTGTGACCACAGCAAGCTTGAGGTCGCGCTTCACTGGAGGGAGCGGCGAGCTTGTGATACTTATATTCAAGAACAACACTTGCCAATTAAGGAAAAAGCCGCCGTGTGGTTCAAGTCCGAAGACGGGCGCTCCCTCACCCGCCTGCTCTGCCTGTTATCTTATTCGTACTTCCTCTCTGCCTGCCCGAAGACATACAAAATGTGCAAGTTTTGTGACAGATCAAGTTCCTTTATCTCCTCGAGGTATGTCCCCTGTCCAGCTCGTGAGGCGCCTCGGCCGGATATCCCCGTCACCGAAACCAGAAGCTCACAGATTGCATCTAGTGGTCATCCACGCTCTGCTCCAGCGTATATACGGCCATGAATGCCAACGCAAATGAACTCGACGTCGCCAATGAGCTCTCGATCGACTCGTGTGTTTTGTGACGTCGCTGGCTTCCTGGAGAGCATGTTCCCCGTCTCGGACAAGCTCGTGAACAAGGTCCTCGTGAACGCGTCGAAATCTCAGTGCTACAATGCGTCAAAGAAGCACTGTTCAGGCTACCCGACCCAGCAACCTAGCCACGAAAGCGATTCGTATGCGCCGTTCGTCACGCTCGTTCGATCTATCGCCGGCCTCGTACTTACCCAAACGTGGCATGAAGACGAACGGTGTACAATGGCGCGACTTTTACAATACTCGACCCCTCTCTCGGGATTGCTGCGCGCCAGATACCAAGCCTGGTATTATTGCAGCGATTAGAGTGGCGGACGACGAACAGGTACCGTGGAGTCGCGTCCTGGTCCCAGTACATATCGAGAAGCAGGTCCGGGAACTTGAAGGTTCCGCGCTACTTCAGCTATTGAAGTGTATGCACATGGTCTTCCGCGAGTCAATGGATCGCTGTTTTGTGCTTGGTATTGTGATAGCGTGCACTAATATATCTGTGTACTTGGCCGACCGAACTGGTGTTCTAGGGTTGGTCGTGTTCAACATCAACGAGGTGCGTCACGCCGTTTTTCTGACCGAACATCGCTATTGATGCATCTGTAGGAGCCGCGACCATTGATTCACGTCGTTGTCGGATAATGCACATCGTCGCTCGCCGACCTGGGGTGGGACACGTCAGTGTCGGTCATACATGAGCAGCAGAAGCATTCCTGAAGCGACATGAGACGCCTGAAACCCGAGCTCTCTTACGCCGTACTGTGGAACCCTGAAATGGAGGACTACTATTGGGTAATCGATATGCCCAAATCGAAGGAGGGCGCCGGGTACGGTGTGACGGACGAGGAGGCCGGAACGTTCGTCCTGTACAAGGGTCTCAACCTCGAGCGCGGCGAGGTAATTCGCGGGCGTGCGACGCGCATCTGGAAGGCACGGTCAATTCAAGATTTGGTCTTGCCTCAGGAAGAACGTCGGGTGCGTCTATCATCGTCACATTCACAGACGACTGCGATCCACAGTACTCGCATACACCACCGTCTCAAACTCCGGTTAGCCTCAACATCTCGCTTAGAGCACTGGTGAATGGGAGGTTCAATCGGCCTACGCAACCCGACGGCCGGTGCCCAGGACAACGTGTGTGTACATGCGTTTGTAATCTAAGCATGCAGCGACTCGTTCACCGTAGTGCATCGTACGAACACCATACAAATCATGTGGCGCCTGAGTGGCTTTCGACGCGCCTGTCAGGTATTTACCCTGCGACATCATTATGGCTGTCGAATGGTCATGCCATCTCGGAGACTTCTGTCTCCGCCGACAATCTCAGGTGAGTACGACGACATCGAACCTATCATGCCACTAGTAGACTGACGCCGCCATCAGAACTGCACATGTACATCAATGTGGCGATTGGTAGTGCATGACCCTGAAGTCGCCATTGAAGTGGCTCAACATATGAATTATCTTGACACAGCCAGGTCATGCACAGAACGATCCGACTGAACCTCACGGCCACGAAGGTCCCTGAAACCATGCGGCAACACACTTCACTGCGGCCATGCCCCAAACAAGCGTATGTAAGCCAGAGCTCCGGCTCGTCCTGCTTCAATACGGTATAATCATTGTCTCACCACCGGTACTAGTAGCTTCCGGTGCGCGTTCAGTAGGTAGCCCGGTGGCAGCCCGAGGTGTCTGTAACAAGAAGGGACGGGCTCGTCGGTCACTTACGCCCTCACCACGAACAAATCTATGGGGCTAGATTCTCGTGCCGTTCAAGTTACGGTAGGCCTGCCGGACAATGTACAACTTGGGCGGTTGTTTGCATAGGATAAAAGCTGACCTCAGAGTGCTACTCGGACATCGCACCCCTCAACATTGTAGTGTTGCACCGCTACCTCTCCCCAAAATGAAGTTCGCCTTTGCATTCGTCCTCGTCGCTTGTGCCCTGCTCGATGTCGCCACTGCAGTTCCGGCTCCTCAGGCCGAGAAGCGCTTTGAAGCCAGTAGTGGTGCGCACACTTCTCATCGTCTGCGTCACTTCTTTGTCGTACACTGACGGCCTGACTGCTCAATATCTGTAGACATGGAAGTACGGGGTGCGTTCTCTCTTCTCAGTTATCGTGCAACATCGTGCAACTGATGTCTTGATTACCAATGCTTAGCATTTGGCGGGGATGGTGTGGGTGCAGAGTCCGCTCTCGAGAAACGCGCTGGTGATGCCGCCTATGCTTCCCCCTACCTTGAATCTGATGGTGAGAGTGTCAGCTGCTTAGCTTATGATAGCTTTATTCTGACGACCCATCAAATATACGTAGACCTTGATAAACGCGGTACATACTCTCTTCAGCTATCGCGCGTGATAGCACTGGCGGTCTGACTATCCTGCTTATGTTCAGCACCCGGCGCGAATGATCTGGCTTCAGGTTCTCCGCTCGGAAGGCGCAACGGCGTGTTCGCCTATACCGCCCCTTGACTGGGCTGTTCCAGGAGACGCGGCCGGGGTGGTAGTCTTCCTCCGTCACTTGAAATATCGCGCTGGTGTCCTGCCGAAGAAGGATCACGTCAGAGATTGGCAATAGTGAACGTACTTTCCGCTCTCCACCATCTGAGGAGAACAATCTTCCACAGCAGCAGCAATGGTACCCGCTTGCAAAGCTGGAAAACTAGGCGATTCGCCTCGTTAACCGGTGATCATGGAGTAGATCCAGCAACTGCGTACTTACGCGAAGGGTCAGACCCTGTTTTCATCAGAACGACATCCGCCTTGGGTATCAGCTCGTCCACATGCCTGCCATGTCGTCATCTGGCCCTGCGTCTGCAAGCTTGGAATCGCACTGATGTTTGCCCAGCTACAAGTGAGCCGTGAGTTGGCTAAGGCATAGGATCGGCGTGTTTGCACTCACCGAATTCAACCCATCCACACGAGCATTCGCTTCTTCCTTGCTAACCCGTCACGCTACCACTGCCCCTCTAGCACGCCGTAGAACTCCTCGTACGTCTCTTTCCTCCCATCCTCGATCGTAGAGATGAGCTGGTTCTGCTCGTGCGCATGCCGGAGGTAGCCCGCGATATTGGTCCCGGAGCCTGAAGCGGTGTGAAGGTCGTCGTGTCGAGATGCGCCGTGGAGTTTACAAGACCCGGTGCATCGACGCGTGCCTAGTAAGGAAATAGTTTTCACCGGAACCCGTCAGTGTACTGGGGAGTGTTTGGAGGGATATCTGGTGCTTACGCGTAACTTATGCGCGTTCATGCTATGACGGCGTGAATGAGCCTGCATGGATGTGAGGTCTGGCCGTCTGAGATGCGACAGGAAAGCCATCAAGAGGGCAACAAGTCGACTGCTATGCGGAACCAGTCGACTCTTCCAGCGGATTTGCGTATTCCAGGATTTAATTGTAAACAACGTTGAACAGCTGAGTCGTTCGCGTCTGTTCCGAGGTTCGATGCGTACTGATGGTACGCCCGTTGAAGAGGTAGGGAGGGCAGAAGGCAATGGCTCGTCCCGAACAGTTAACGTAAAGTGTAGAGAGCTGTTTGTGGCGCCGTTGATCCCGAGTCGACGCATATGTATGAGCCCGTTCAGCAAACAGTGGGCAACCGCCACGAGCGAGCGGCCCGATCGAGGTGGCGGACCACCGAGGCTGAGTCAGCAATTCCAGGATCGCGTCTCCCGACGCGCTCCTCTTCCTCTTCCTCCTACTACAGTACTTCCGTTAGCCAACTCATTTATCCAAACGCACTGCCGACGTGTCCACCATACGCATGTCCCGCCTCAGACGCTACCGGTAATCACCTGAATGGAATCCACTGTACAAGACTGTCCAGCCTTATGTGCGACGTTGCCGGAGCATGCTATGCGACATCCCAAGTGCGCGGAATTCCGAAGCGTGACGGGGAACACAAGCACCTCGCAGGTAGCTTAGAGGTACGCCTCGCCTCCACCTTGCACTCGTCTACCTGGTCTCGACCATTACATGCCCATATGTTCGCGTCGATGCTTGTCACGAATCAAATGTTGCGCGCAGCTGCCATTTAGTGCTGCAGCCTGCTCGTCACTCAGTATTGCCTCGAGTCGGTATGCTGTCCTAACACACGCCGATAAAATCGCTGAGTCCGGTATTGCTTAATAGGGCGCGTATAATATAGGCAGTCTACGATACCGCCCGCCGGCAAGTATGACACTGGGGCGACAGATCTACCCTGAGTCGGGTGCCCGCTGAACAGGTAAATTTCGCTGCTAGCGTTGCATGAGAGGTCAGCTGATGCTATACCCAGCACCGGACGGTATTTTGCAGTGTTTGATCAGGCGCAACAGGCCGATCAACAGTAATTTGTCCCGTCTGCATCCGTGGGCTGTTGTTGAGCATCTGATCCGCCATGGTCAGGCTCTTCGGGAAATGTCTCTGTCAGGTTCAGTTCATGACACATCGTACCTACCGTTGTGAAGCGCCGGTGTCCCTGCTTTCGACTACGTACACAGGCACTTCACGCATCGAGACCGAGTACAGACCCCCGTGCGGTTCGGTAGATGGAGTAAACAGGCGTGTCGTTTCGTAGATGCCGCTTTGAAGGAGCACATTCCCCGAAGGTGCCATATTATTGACAAGCCTATGAGGACTCGGAGCGAATTAAACGGGGCTGATGCAGACGAGACCATGGAGGTTCGCTAGGCATCGTTCAGACATCGCGTGTTAACGTGTGCTCAGGGCTATCCAACAGGGACCATCATGCGCCGCGAACCGATGTACTGTGCGGAAGCCTCGATTCCACCGCATCTTGCGAGTTGCAGGAAATCTGATCGTTACTTTCACTCCGCCGAACGTGAAACAGCGCCGTGCGAGGAAGTCCTCGCGCGCGAATGCTGAGTGCGAGCCCGTGGCCGTAAATCAATCAATGGGCGCAGGTACGTGTTGTATTTTATGTACAAATATCTGATAGCCACGCCTTGTACAGATCCGAGATGACATATACGGCGGATCAGAACAACGGTGGATGGTCGGAGCCTCGATCATACCGTCTGTTTGAACAACAAGAATGTCTTTATGATGGACGCCGCCTCCTATTTGCTTTTGGACAATCCGTTCGACTCGACATTTAAGCCGTCGACTTTGTGCCGGCGCCCACGTTTACGGAGAATGCAGGCAGCTTCGCGATGCCTCTCATACAAACATGAGGACCGATCAACGCACCCGTGACATGCGACGCCAGAATAGGCTACTGTACTGCACCACTGTGGCCCACGTCTACCATGTTCGCTGCGTCCAGACTTTCAAGAAGTCGACAACCATCTTCTTGGGCCCGCGCCCGCCAAGGCATTTTGACTCCGGAGAAAGCGTCGGATGTGGTGCTGCACCGTGTTTGGCACAAGATACCTGAATCGTTCCTGTATCAGGTTTGCGACCAACAAGAACACCAGGGTCTACTAGGATCTTTACGTGTGCATCGCGGAGAGACAGCACCGACCCCGGGCGACGTCAATTTCTCAACAAATATTATTCGCAGGACAACGTACGTCGTGGGCGGTTGAGTGTATGGGATAAAAGCAGAGCAGAGGATGCTGCTCGACCATCGCACTCCTCCAGGTTTTCGCGTCGCATCGTCTCATCAGCATGAAGCTCACTACCGCTTTCGTTGTCCTGGCCTGCGCCCTGCTCGAGGTCACCGTTGCCGCGCCAGCACCCCTTCGCGGTGCGTTATACGCCTCTTCCTCCGACGGTCAGATAATGTCTGCTCGACTCGTTTGTTGGTGCTGATTCACTGTCTTGTGTAGCAGACCTTCACAAGCGCGGTATATACCATTGAAAATTCTACCATGCATCAGTCTGACATTTGATGTCTTGCTCTTCGTGCCACTTAGCACCCCACGTCGCTGGTATTTACGGTGTCGACTCCGAAGGTCAGATCTTGTCTGCCCACTGAAAATATATATCGCGCCGACTGACGTGTCTTGCGCAGACCTTGATGCGCGCGGTACATGGCTTGTCTAATGACATTGTGATGCACAGCATTGACGATCCTTGACTTAGAACCTCATGTTGGCGGCATCTACGGCGTCGATGCCGACGAGGGTGAGCCTTTTTCGGTTGCTAGTAACGCCTGCCGTACTGAATGCCTGTATTGTGCAGACCTCACGGCGCGCGGTACAGATTCATCTGATTTGGTACGGCACCGCGTACTAATACTCCGAGAATTGTTGTCACAGAGCCACACGTCGGCGGTATTTATGGCGTCGATAGTGAGGAAGGTAAGCTATTAATGTCTATTTATGACAGCATACGTCGTACTGAATCACCAACTTGTGTAGACCTGACGGCGCGCGGTAGATTATTTCCTGAGTTTTTTCATGTCGCATGATACTGATGTTCTTCATATCATTCGCTTAGAACCGCACATCGGCGGTATTTATGGAGTCGATGCTGATGAAGGTCAGATATGGTCCACTTCTTGACCGCGTTCGTTGCGCTGATGGAGTTGTGCAGACCTTACGGCGCGCGGTACGAGGTCTGCTGAATTGTGTACAGCGCACGATACTGATATCCGGGATCATTATAGAGCCACACGTCGGTGGTATTTATGGTGTCGACGCTGACGAAGGTCAGATATCCTTCGGGCAAGATTGATCTCTGCTTACTGATTAACTGTGATCTATAGACCTTACGGCACGCGGTACGACTTCCTTGAGCTTTGTTTTGCACACAATACTTAGACATGCCGACTGACAATGGTTCAGAACCGCACATCGGTGGTATCTATGGCGTCGATGCCGACGAAGGTCAGATCCCATTCACTTAGTGATGGCTTTCCTTTGAACTTCGATGTCTGACTTCGTTGTCGCAGGCCTTGAAGCTCGTGGTACGTCTTATTGGGAACCTTGCGGTTGACCTACAATAATCCGACCCAACGACTGTTTAGCACCCCATGTCGGTGGTATCTATGGTGTTGATGCCGAAGGTCAGGCTCTACCTGCTACGTGGAATACATGTGATATTGACTGATTTGATTTTGTACAGACATCGAGACGCGCGGTAATCCCTCCAACCTTCATGCTGCTGACACAATCTGACATGCGTCGTTCACTTAGCACCGCACGTTGGCGGCATTTATGGCGTCGATGTGAGCGAAGGTCAGATACTGTCCACTGTCCCGGTGTATGCACATGGCAACTAACACAATTCTTTGACAGAGGAAGATGCCGCATGTACGACTGTCTGAGATTCACACTCGATGCTGAGCTGACACCTTGGTATTCAGGAACACTTGTGATATTCACCCCAGGAAACCCGCTGTACTCGTCAACTTCTTTCCGGGCACCATAGGATATAGCTTACCTGTGTTTCCTGCTGCGATCGCACGTGTTGTAACCGAGTTCTCTCTTATGGATATGTGGTCATTGACACTGCCTGTTGTTAAGCCCGAGAGCGTGCAAACCGCGCACAATGAACACCCCGACTGTAACCGCCCTCACTGGCTTCACGCGCAGAACGGTGTGCACCGAGCGATGATCAAATGAAGTCGTTCCTCCATTCTGTCAGACCGACGTACTGAGTCACCGCGTAACACGTTCGGGTACAAGCCGTGTACTACGTCACGACTGGCCAGCATACAGCAGTACCAAGCCCTGCAGCTACTTAGTGGCGTCCGAGTCTGGCAGTGGTGTCTCACTGTTCAAACGTTCAATGCCAACTTGGATTCCTTTCAACCCGGGCCGCGACGAGTCACGTGCACCGACGACCGTCAATTCGCTACGCAGCCTGTCTAAGATCTTACAGTTTTCCAGTCTTGCAGGCAGACCTCCGGGTCTCATGGTCCTGAAGTTGATATGGGACGGTATACATGTACACCTGAAACTTTTCATTCTCATCCACACGGCGTAGGATGGGCCGCGTGGCTGACTTTGCAAGCTCAGGCTTCCGGACTCGTCACTCAACTGTCCGCCCTCCTTCCTACTCACGCGCACGGCGTCTCTCCTAGCTAAGCTTGTGGGTCAGTATCCGCAAGTATATGACCCCAGCCGCCTGTTTGTCGTACTTGTGGCAAGCTCGAACTGGATGCATCGCCGCCCAGGCTACTTCCAAAGAAGTTTGTCTTCGCTCTGTCGGACTTGAAGTTCACCACAACAATCAACTTGGGGGGGGACGTGGGGGGGGCGGACGCCTGCTAAGTACGGCCACAGCCTTGATGCACTTCAGTCTCAGGCTTGCGAGCCATTGCATCTGCTGCGTAGGCGCTAACGGTATGTCTATCAATTGGACTCGCCACGGTATAAAGACTCACAGAACAGGTGGAAACACTCTGTTTCTACCTATGTAACTCTGAAAGTCGGAGTCGCGTCGCGCTGTGGACGGTACTGCGGTTTGTCGCTGCGACATCAGAGGCTCGATTTGTCGTACGTGAAGTCCAGGTGAGTAAACAGATATTCAGTCGTGCTGCCGTACTTGGCGTCTGACGTCCGTTGATCGGGGGTGCATGTACTACTTACCTATGTGCTCTAGTACCGGGCGGGTGGCACTCAAGATGGCGGCGTTCGGGCTACTTGTCACCCGCACTTCATCGTATTGCTGACTCGGACGATCTGCGACTGGACCTGTTCGGTCAAACGGACGAAGGAATGAAGATTCTTGGGAAGAGAGTGACCCGTGTTTGCAACCCATATCTCACAGCGAGGCCCGCGACCAAGGCTGCGATCCGTTACCCCTTCGATTGAGTTACTACCATCCCCGCCGAGTACTCAATGCCTCATGACTCATACGGTATGTAACAGTCTGTCGTGCCCACCGCTACATCTCCGTAAGTCACGCTACCACCTGCGAAAATCACCCAGCGCAATTTTGTGTCCAGGATTGCGGCGCAGCGCATGCGAATGCAGGTATGTGTCATAGAAATCCAACTCGAGAGGTACAGCTAGTATCTGATGGTACTTCGTTCCAGACACCCTACATCGACCTAGATTAACGCCCTGGACTTGAAATGGAACGGTTGGAGCAATATCAATGCGAACAAGATCGTGTCCTGATGTTCGACAGACTACCATTGTGCGCTGCCATCCGATTGTCGAATGATAGATTCATTGCATACCATATGCGGGGTGTACTCATGCGGCATGCCAGCGCCGTGATGATCTTGACTAGTACACCGGCAGCCATACCGGGTTCCTCAAGCATATGGAGAGCGTCAATATAGCGGCGCTATTGCCTCTACTTGACCCCGAGAGAGTTCGCTGGTGGCGCGGGATATTTGACGCTGTCCATCTTCGTCGTTCCCGATGACTACCGCAGTGCCCAAGCTGGTTTATTATGATCCGATGATTATAAGATGAGTAGTTCGACGCCTCCAAACCTGAAACAGTCCTTCCTGCAGCTCTGAGCTATGGATACCTCTTCGGTCAATTGAACTATCTGCGAAACGCTGGGCGTCGCGGAGAAGCGAACACAAGATTGGATATATCGCTGCGACGTGCATCAGAAACCCGATAACAGGCCTCGAGATTGGGTGCGTAGATCCTTGTTTAATACGTTGGCTCCTACATCTAGGGAACTGATTCCTTGTGGCGTAGAGTTGCGCGGCGGCCTGGACTGTTCTAGGAAGTTTGGGATGCGTGTTGTAGCTAAGTGAACGTGCATTAAGTGACTTACCTTCATAGAAGTCGTCTAGCATGGCATCGAAACTACAACACGGGATGTATCCCATGACATTCATGCCCTTTCAAGGCACGGCAGCTGCTGGGAAGCCTGATGCCTGCATCCATTTTGGTAGCGCATTTGTGCGTGCTGCTTTCCTGTGTTCATAGACACGACGAAAAGGATGGCCCCATGGTCACCCTCAGATCTCACCTCAGGCCTCGTGCTCTTGACGGTCGCGGAACATTTACCGGAAGGCATGTCGCAGGCGGTTATCTGCACTGTATAAAAGCTTACCGAACAGTTTTACCTGGACATCGCACTCTTCTACTTTTTCCGCATCGCAACTTGCTACCACGATGAAGCTTACCTTTGCTTTCGTTGCTCTCGCCTGCGTCTTGTTTGAGGTCGCCGCCGCCATGCCGGCCTTACCCCGGGCCCAGGATAGGCCATTGTACATCGGCGATACTGCAGGTCAGACACTACCTATCGAATGATACTTATATGTACTGTATCGACTGACCGTCCTGAGCAGACCTTGAGGCACGCGGTATAGATTCTCCTCAGTTCCTTGTCGCACATGGCGCTGACCTTCCGACTACCACTGACCTAGAACCCGTCATCGGCTGGGCCACTGGCACCAACGGAGGTAAGATATAGATCGCACATCGGCGATGTTTTCGACCCCCCAACTAACTTGTGTTCACAGGCCTCGAGAAGCGCGGTATAAGTTACGTTCATGAAAATGACTCCTCTCCCGTAGTAGCTAACGTGTGATGATTCTACTTATCAGTACAACGCCGCGGCGGCTACGGTGGATATTCTCCTTTCGATAAAGGTCAGATGTTACCAGTTATCTGAGTTGCTCGCTGTCACAACGGCTAACATTGGTAACAATAACAGAATTGGAAGGCTTTGAGGATTGTATGGTTGTCTATGACATGCACTCGACCCCAAGCTGACGATTTGCCAAATAGGAACATCCATAATGTCCGCCTTGGTACTATTCGGAGTCGACGGTCTGCGCTCAAATACCATATGGGTGAATGTCGGCAAGCTGACTCTCCCGGGCCGGTCTCTGTTGATTGTACTTCTGCGTATTCGGTTTCATGGCTGTATGCACTGTGCTCGGCTTCTCTCTTGTCTCTGTTGTAGTTCTTCGCACCAATTGGACTTGACGCTTGCCAGTGATCAGTGAGAACATACTGAGATATCAGATTGACCAGCACCAGCATACCCTCGAATGCTCTCAAGCTCAGGTTCAGCATCTCTGCTTGGCGCACAAACCTCATACCCGGCTCGCATATATAATAACCTGTGTGTTGCCAGAGGATCCGCGGCGTACATAGGGTATATCACCGCAGAGATTGTATTAGCCTACTGTTCACTGACTTTCATGACAAGGCTAACTTTGCCAGTAGCTGATGTCAAAGAACAACACCTGCCTAATTTGGAACGAAGCCGTGAATCGTCATACGGCGTGGCGTCTCTCATACTACATGTTCTGAACCAGGTTTTCATAGTACGGCAGAGGACGAAGTGAGTACCCTGCTGACACTTCCAAATGCCGAGACGGTTCCCGGGTTTGTGACTAGCGTCTCTTGTCCGAGCCACTTATCAAGCGCCTGGTGTGAGGAGCAGAAACGGGAAAGTGAATCAGTGCTGGAAGCTCGGGGTGCATGCGAGGACCCAGGGTCGACGAGCGTGCATAGGTAATGTCCCTGCCCAATCACTATCTTCCATTGCATCTATACGACACTTTGAAATACAGTCTGGCTCATGCGATGATCCAGATGGACATGAGGGTCCCATCCAGCATTCACTAAGGTAAGTGCTTTTTCATCCGTTGTCTTCTCGCCGAAGACAGTCAGAAAAAACGACCTCGTGGTCACTATCACACCATAAATAAACGTTCGTGCTATCGGGGCCCGGATATGCTCGTCAGACGACGCATATCACAGGCCGCAGACAGCTGCCCGAGTTGCATAAGAGCCGACCTTGCAGGTCAGTCTCAGCATTGCACTCCTCGTAGTACAGTATCGCGTCGCTGTCACTATGAGGTTCATCTCTGCATTCGTCCTTCTCGCCTGTGTCTTTCTCAAACTCGCCACCGCCGTGCCTATTGTTCAACTTGATTCGCACTTCGTGGGCGTGAACAGTGCGTAGACTCGGTGGAAGGCGTGGCTCTGGGACGAGTTGACCCTCCCGCAGCAACAGCGCCACGTATATATCGTGCCGCATCCCGTCCCTCCTCTCCGGCCCTCATGTCTGCGCACAGGTGTATGTCGTGAAGGATTCGTGGCGCGACGACGAGCGACATCCGGAAGGCGAGTTCTACCAGAAGATCGGACGCGCTGACGGTATCGCGGTGATGCGCTCGTTCACAGCCGTTCGGATCAATGGCCAGGTGGACGACATACTCGTGCGCATCCGCTGTGGCCTGCAAGTCGAGGGAAAACCTAGCTGCATCGACATGCCACAGAGAAACATTGATCTCGGCACCTTGTTCGGCAAGGTCCCTGTGGATGGGCCCAACAGGGACCGTGAGCTCCTGGCTCTGTATACGCGTCGACTGGACTACCTGCCGTTGATTGCTGAGCCTGCCATGAAGATGCCTCGCGGGCGAACTCATTCCAGGCTAGTCATGGAATCGTATGGCTGGTCGATCAAGCATGCTGTGACGCGCTTGGAGCTGGTTGGTGCCATTCACGATGCTCTAGCCGGTGAGTTCGTTGCTGCCGTACCATTGCTTGCTGTATCTGAACCGGTACCAGGACACCGAACCGCTTTCGAGAACGAAGTCGCACATCACGAACTGAGCACCGAGAACATCCTCATTACACGCGAAACCGCGAAGGGTCGCCGCGGCATCATTATCGACTTCGATTTTGCATCGATGCTAGACGACAAGACGAATGCGGCTGACCCCACGACTGTAAGTTGACCTACTGCGCTGTTCACTGACACGCATTAACTCGTCCATATGATAGGGTACGCGGCCGTATATGTCTGGCGAGCTCCTAGGGGAACCTGGTATGTGCCTACCTTCGTTGCGACGCCGGATGGGGACCTAGAGGTTGTTGTCGAGCCTCCTCCCACATATTCCTTCTATCATGACCTGGAGAGTGTCTTCTGGATTTTCCTGTGCACCTCCATTTCAAGATCCGGTCCAGCAATGCGTCGGGAGGCCTTGTGGAATGGTACAGACACGGCCTTGGCCAACAAATTTTACCAGCTCATTCAAGCGCTGGACAACTCGCAACTCGCAGAGAACAAACAAGCGATCATGACTCACAATAAAGCTTTCCTCGCGGTGCTGTGCTTCGTGGATGACTACTACAAGCCCCTGACTCGACTCCTGCGGCGCCTGTGGAACATCCTCAATCCAGCATACGAGTCGCGAAACTTCGTGGTGAATGATATGTACAACGCGACCTTGGCCGCCTTCGAGCAGACGGAAGAGGAGCTCCAGGACACGCCCGAAGACCTCACGCCGGAGCAGAAGAAGGCGCTCGATCGAGAGCTGGCCCGTCGAGACGCGGACCTCACTGACTGGGAACATAGCCCTCGTCCGGCTGTGCCTCATCCCCATCCACCGCGATCGGACACTGACACGGATGACCAGGACGACGATACCGATGAAGAGAGCGATTCCTCACCTCCGTCGCCTAGGGACAGTACTGGGAAAGATCGCAACAATACATCGCTCAAGTCCCAACCAACGCCCCAAGCAGTGACGCGAAAGACCTCGAACGCCGCCGTTGGTAGGGTCACACGGTCTATGGCTCGCCGAAAGGCGGAGCAGGGTTCGTCGAGAGCCGCAACACCCCGAGGTCGGACAGCGAGCCGCCCCAGTCGAAGGCTGATACGAAGTCGAAAGGAGGGACGTCGAAGGGCCGCGGTCGCGGTGGTAGCAAACAGGCTACGCGAGGACGTGATAACGCGCGTGGGGGCTCCGGAGGCATCAGCGGAACAAGGAGAGCAAGCGACCAGAGGGAGTGGTGGACGAGGTACGAGCGGGAAGGAGAGGGAAGCCAGGTAAAGCGAAGCGGGCTGAATAGGTGTGTTGTGTGCCAATGAATACTTGACGACCTCCACCCGTATGCGAGTCGTGTCGCCCATGAGCAGAAGTCCAACCTTTCTGGTCGTCGGTCGTACAAATACCGCATCGCCATGTTAGCGTCGGACGTCGGGATGCTGAAATCTACCGCACCCTCGGGTTTGATATCACGTGATCGACGTGGAACAGCTGCGCGACGCAGACTGCAGTGAAAATTTGGTACGGGTACATATGTACGTATATATATACAAGCCTACATCGATAGCCCTCTCGGAGAGGCGCATCGACGAAATACAGACAGATATGGCGTTAAATGTGCATCGCCTCCCAAGCGCGTCGCAACCCCCGGCTTAGTCGAGGACCGCCCCGCCGTTCGGCGAGATGGATTGCCCTGAGAAGCAGTGGCTTTGAATCAGAGAAACGTGCGCAGGCAATGATCCACTTACCGGTGACGAAGGACGCCTCGGGCTTGGCGAGGTAGGACACGATGCTCGCGACGCTGTCGGGGTGGCCCACGGGGATCTCTGCGGGCATGCCGACCCTCTGTGAACGGCGGTCAAGATCGGGCGGTCGGAGCGTACGGCGGATAGACGTACCACGAGGCCGTCGCCCAAGTCTTGCGCTGCGAGAGCGATAGATGTGAGAAACGCGCGCCGAGGCTCAAGAGGCGCAACTCACCCATCTGGGTCATTACGATGCCGGGGGCGTAGGCGTTGACCGTGATGTTGTGTTGCGCCAGTTCGATCGCTGGGGCATCTTTAGGAGAGCCAGTGTACGGGGAGATACAGTGAAGACGTACAGAGACACTGCGTGAGGCCCCGGACGGCGAACTTGCTCGCAGAGTACGCGGAGATGCCGCCCCAACCTGTCACGTGCACGATCGCATTCAGGATCCAGAAGATGCAGGACAGGAGACTGCATTACCTCTCTTGCCAGCGACAGACGAAGCACCTAAGAAGAGACGATCATTCGTCACGGGCGCCCGGTCGAAAAGGATGCGCGCATACCTAGAATTCTACCGCCCCGACCCTGCTTGATCATCTGCCTGGCAGCGTACTTATACTGGAGCATTGTGCCCCTGACGTTCACGGCAAAGACGCGATCCCATTCCTCTGCCTCGACTATAAAGACACAGTATGACTAGGTTAAGCGCAGCACGATGAACAGCGGTACGTACTGTCTTGTACGGCTTTCACGAGTAGCAAGCCCGCGTTTGCGACGAGCTACGTATGTCGCCATGAGACAGTAGCTCTCCACTGTAGACACAAGCAGCGCAGCAGAACGCAGATACGTACAACGTCCAGTCCTCCGAGGTCTGCGGCGACCTTATCGATGATGTCCCGGACCTCGTCTTCCACGGACACGTCTCCCGGAACGGCGATCGCGCGTCTCCCCTTTGCCTTGATCTGGGCAACAACTTCCTCCAGCTGGTCCTTCTTCGAAGCTATGTCATTGACTGCCACGTCGAGGCCGTCATCCGCGAGCCGGAGGGCGATCTTGAGGCCGATGCCCTGCGCGGCCCCGGACACGAACGCAACGCGAGTAGAGCCAGACATGCCTGATCAAGAGGAAGTAGCGAGGATGGCAGTCCGCTAGGGGTCCGTTCTTTATAGAGCGGTGCAAGCGAGTCGTATATCAGTCCCACGACCCGCTCATGACCCTAGAACGCCCGTTTGATTATCATCAGGAGTCTCCCCGGCCCTTGGTGTCTGTTATTCAAACGAAGACTGGAATGCGAACTAGGAGAATGCATCGCTGGGATTGAAGCGCGATGGCGAGGGCCCGCTGCGGGAATGCATACGAGATGTAAATTTGCATCCGCGCTGGTATGGATCCCCGCGGATCTCATCTCGTCCACGAAACCCGGAAGTATCGGCAGGGTGTGACGTGTGAGTGCGCGCGCACAGGATTGCCGGATTAGTCCGAGGGGTTCCTAATCGAGGGTATATCAGCGTATGCAATCGAGAATGCGATATCGGACTCGTACCACAGTGCTACGCGCATAGGACTAGACTGGAAGCATTCTAGCATGGCCTTGGTATGGTCTCGCGGGTAGCTGACCATGCACATGTGCTGCAGCGGTGAGACGGAGAACACCTGAGGAAGAATCTTGTACCACGGGACACACACAGAATGCACAGCCGACTTCCGCTTCCATACAGGCCATGTGGGCAGTGTGGCTCTGGATCGGACGTTCTTGTCAAAAATGCAATCATGAAGTGATGGACAACGTACATTGAACGTACATGTCCGCCCTCCAACACCTGGGGCCTGCGGTAGACACCGAGACACCCGGGATACTCCCGCATTCACATGCACTGGTCCCTATTGCCATGCTGAGCTAAATGACATCGATGTTCAGCCGCGGTTGTCCGTCGAAGAACAGAGAACGCGCCCACATACGAAGCAATCGCGAAAATTTCCGAATGGAGCCCGTCAGATGGTGTCGTAATGCAGGGAACTCACCATATGACAGAGTGACGTGCCAGCGCTGATGTCTTCATCGCACACAACAAACGGCCGTGCAATTGAGAGAACGCGAATGGACAATGTACTACGAAGTAGAGCATGCGATGCAGTGACGGAGGGGGGAGACTTCAGAACAAGTTTCGATTCCGAAGTGCATTTCCTCTGCAAGAGCATCAGACAACCAGCGTCAGCGGAGACCAGCAACACACGCACCTGTTCAGAGCAGCCACCCTGTGCACCTCCTCCTTCATCCTGTATGCCGGGCTCAACTCCTTCATGTTCTCCTTCCCCGCACCCTCAACAATCGCAATCATCTCGCGCGCCAGGCGCTCCTGCAGCTTGTACCCCGGCCGCGTCTTGCTCGCCTCCAGGATCCACTTTATCGCCCGGTGCGTCCGCTGCTTCTCCGAGAGCGGCTGCGGGAAGATGACCTTCTTCGCCGTGTACGAGATCACGACGTTGCGCACGGCCGGGGTGACGTACTCGACCGCCTTGCGCAGGATGGGCAGCGGCGGGGCGCGCGTGAGCATGTGGATGTTGACGAGGGTCTCGGACATGATCTTCCGCGCGCGCTGCTTCTCCCCCTTCCAGTTGATGATCCCCGCGAAGAGCTCCAGCAGGGGGTCGTACGGCGGTGGTATGTGGATGGGCGTTTCGGGGGTCGCGAGGAGAGGTTTCCGCACAGGTGTAGGGCGAGGTGCTGCAGGCTGCGGGGCTGCAGCTGGGGCGATAGTTTCCCGGTCAACAATGCCATCGAAAACGGTGTCCTGGCTGCTTGTAGCGATGTTTTCGTTTGCTGCGACTCGTGAGGACGTGAACGCCCGCCTGGGGACCAGACGTGCCCTGACGGCGCTCTGACGCAGTCCAGAGATCATGTCTGTAGAACGATAGCAGAGGCAAGGTTTACTGCACAGAGTCACAGTGGAAGAGCATGCGGAGGACACTTACAGAGGGTTCTGGCGGACAACAAGCTGGCGGAGAGCACGACTTGCCTTTCTGGGCACGCAAGCAGGTCGAGCGTCACACATCATGCGCCTCGTCACCACTGCTCTGTCACGTCGTCCGGCCCGTCGAGCCGAGTTGGATGTATTACTTACTTACTATTTGCTTACTATTACTACTATATTATCGGTATCTAGTGAATTCGTTTGTAACTGTTTGGTCGCTTAGATCTGTCATCACACTTGCGTCTGACTCTGACGCCTCTCAATCGTCTTGCAACATCTGCAACATATCCATAAGTACGACAGTGTGAACACAAAGCGCCTGTCAATCTCCAACTGTCTGACAGCATGTTCATTCAATACCAGCGTGCGCTGGCTATTTTGATAATTAAGTACCACTAGTCGTACATACCATAAGCTCCTCATGAGATCAAGGCGCGGCGGTGTTCAGTGTTCGCCGCGAGTTATCTGTGCGTGTTCACTACAAGTGACATCATAATCCGCTCGAGGCTCTTCGTATGGGACTGTGACTTACGCACGAGGACTCAGGATATTTGCCTTCTCAGGCCCGGCCGATCGTAACCTCCATTCCAATCGTTCCAGTGCACATAAGAGACGTTCGCATCTTACCACTCTTGGTCTTCGGGGGCGAGCTCGCAGCATCCGCGCACGCACAGATAATCCACCGACGACACCAGAAACCCTGGGTGGTCTGCATGCGCGAATTCCGTCGCCGCGTGCACGGTGCGACGTACCTCGAGCAGCGCGCGCATGTCCGCGCTTCGAAACTGTGTGCATGCGATAACCTGGATCGACTTCATGGTCGGACATAGCCACTCCCCTTCCGCCTCCGCATTGGGATCGAGCATGGGCTCCGCGAGCCTCCGCAAAACGTCCGTGGTCAGACCGTCGCAATCCTCAAATTGTGTTTCGCAGAATGAGAGATCGTCCGGCGCAGCCGCGAGGAGGCTGAAGAGTACCGTTGGACTGTGAATCTCGTACATGCCAATGTTATAGCCATCTGTGAGAGTGGCCCCCAGAGGTACGGCAGTCGTGCATCGCTTGTACGACACACCGTCAACAACGGGGTAATCGAGAAGCCTGCTGTACTCCGTGATCACGTCGCCGCTGATGTCGATGAAATCGACGTTGGCTCTCCAGCGGCGAGAGAGGATCTCGGCAGAGATGAGGGGCGGTCCGGTGTACGAACAGTCGAGGCAGACGCTGTCTAGCTCGAGACTGTTCAGATCCGTGCAGCCCGCAAGACATGCAAGCAGGTCGACGAGCGGGAAAACCACGTTACGCGAGTTGTAGTCGGCAATGGCAATGGAAGTGAGCCCGGGCGGCATGGCCAACCGCGGAAACGGTCTCACGTACGACTCGCGGAAGTGGACTCCACCCATAGAGAGATGTCTCAAGACAGGGGTCTGAAATTCGTCTTCTAGGTACGAGGTCGATCCGGTGCTGTCGATGAGATCGTCGAATATGAACCGAAGTACGAGCCTGACCAGCTTGTCTGCGCGTCCCAAAAGATCGACGCGAGGGAGGGGGAGCGAACTGGAGCGAAGAAGCTGCATGTGTAAGATCCTCCATCGCTTCATGTGTGGCAGGAGCAGCTCGAATATGGCGTTGATCCGAGCCTTCTCGTTAGGATCCTGCACAGACGGGTCAAACCTTCGCAGCACGTAGATGTCGAGGGGACGGTCTTGCGACCACGAGAGGTACTGGTAGATCCTGGAAAGCGGAGTAGGGTCCCTTCCGATCCAAATAACAAGTCGGGTCCAGAATATGGATATATTCGACATGATGTTTCGCCAAAGGGGACGGATAGAGGCCAAGGATTCTGGGAAAGGATGGTCAAGGTATCGATCATGGTGCGAGGGCCAAGGATCTTTATGCGAGGCTAGTCTCGGATGGATACCATTAGTGTCTCCTGGGAGCTGTGCGTCCTTCGACACGTGGCGAAAGATGATGAGGAGAACGTCGGGTGGGAGGTCAAAAATAGTGGTATGGCGAGACCTGCAGGACGTCCCGCTAGTCCTCTGGTAGCTGAGGAGGGCCATGATGCTTGATGACTTGTGATTGTACACTGCAACTGGTAAGGCCATGGCGACCCGCTGGTGCTGTAATCCACCTCAGCAGTGACTTCGAGGCGTCGTCTGGTACTATTCCGGTGAGCAGTCGACATCAAAACGAAACAAATATACGCAAGTGACTCCACGTACATTAGGCTTGGTTATTCTCGTAGCTCCTTCTCGTGGCCTAGCAAAGCTTTTAATTGCTGGGACTAGCCTCTTCAATACCACTCAGTGAACGTGGCCGTCGCGGCCCGAGGTTGTCACACTCAACGTAGACGGTAGCTAGCGTGAAACGAAGCAGACGTGGTGGGCAGAGGAAGAGGAAGGCAGTTTGCCGTAATAGCCTGCAGACCCTGTACGCGACCTTGTTGAGAGGGAGGGAGGCGGTCGCTGGCGGTCGTAAGTTCAATGGCGATCGTTATTGCGAGGAACTTGAACGCGCTCACGTGCGCGCGCGGAGTCTTCGCGTTCAAGTTCAAGTCTTTGTATAACTTATCGTAGCGGCGCAAGCGCCGATCCCCGACTCCTGCATGGCACACAGCTATTATACTCAGCCTGCCACAGCGGCACCATAGTATATTATGTGTGTATTTTAATATTGTAAGTACCATCGGAATGGTATGGAGACTCAATTGGAAGCCCTCACGCCCGCGGCGGCTTCGCCGCCCGGGCGTCTCGGGCTTCCACGAGTCTGAGCCACACGGCGAACTTACTTACCGTAATACATACTACAGTACATGCGAGGGCTCTCAACATAATAGAGGCCCTCCTACCTTTGGGAGGACTTATTCGATGGTCAAAGATCCAGGCGTCCAGACGCAGCCAGAAGCACGGAAGGATCCAACCGCCTCGAGCTGCCTCGTAAGACACTCGAGCATTGCTGCGATACCGCTTATGGGAATTATGAGTCACGTGTTTCCCACGGAGGGAGCGGCATCGCCGGCTGCGAACGACTTATGGTCGACAAAGCCCTCCTCTCTCCCTCCGGTCGGAGTCGGGGACGTTTCGCTCTCACTCGTCAAGTACACTGCTGTAATTATACTAGTAGGCTAGCCGCATCTGTGTGACACCGTGGATACAAGTTGCTATGTTGACGTACAGGCTAAGTACTAGTAGAGAATAATCGCGTGTGGTGTACAACGCCGAGTCCTCGGAATACTTACTGACCAATTATTTGATTGATACTGTACCGGCGGCGACAAGTGTTGCTTGAAGCTAGCTGAGGCTACCACGACACAAGTGATAGCAGATTCGGTTGAAACCCACGAATAACCGCACAACGATGCATTGCTAGCACAACCATTCACCACTACGTTACGGTGACGGTGGTATATCCTTCAAGGCACGTCCATTGTCAACAACCCATCGAGGCTACGGCCACCCATCACCAGACCATGCCGCGTTCCCCGACATAGCTTAGATTCTTGCGGCCACGTCTTCGTCTAAAGGCTTTCATCGAGCTCTGAGGTTTATCGTCAGTGTGAAGAACTGGATATTTAAGCGGACACAACACACCGTTATAGGCCGTGGCGCCGCCTTCGCGCTTCCGAACTACGTCTGTGTCATAGCCCGTCAGCCTACATTATCAAGACCTAGTGCGCGATCATACCACCGCTGACGATGTAAGCCTCGCCGCCAGTACGCTTCACTACGTCTGTGTCATCGCGCGTCAGCTGCATCAGTGAGATCTAGTGAGCGATTCTACCACTGGTGGGGATGTAGAGATCGCCGCCGATGCGCTTCTCGAGGGCTAAACCAACCGGTCAGCAAAAACCAGTGCGCTCTGCACGCTTCCGGAACTCCCACCGTCCGGCGATGTGATGTATACCTCGCCGCCTGTGCGCTTCACGACGTCTAAGGAAGACTCTTGCAGCGAGACCCGGATCAGCAGAGGCGAGAGGCAACCATACCGTCCGTCACATCGTATGTATTACTGGCGCGTCCAGAGAGCTGACCGTCGATCTCGCCGAGTGGGACGGCACAAGCAGCGTGGAACAGAGCAGCAGCGCTGAGGAAGATGGCAGACGTGAACTTCATCTCGGCGAGCAGAGGTGAGTGGGGTCAGCTACCCTGCGTGCTACCCAATATATAGCCCACCATCCAGCGCCATTTCGCGTTGTTCGTCTAGATGGAGACAATGCCTATCGAATGCGGATAGACGGCCGGAGGTCACGTCGCAAGGCTTGAAGCTCGACGGTCCCACAAGGCCTGTCGAGATGATGGAATTGCGGTGCGCAGATACAGACATCAGGGACAACTTGAATGGCCCACGCACAGCGATATGGTCTTGTATAGTTTGTACCGTACCTAAAATTTACCAATGAATCAGTTTGAACTTGAAAGCGCCTTCGTGACGAACTACTTAGCAGTGTATGGCTCCGCCTGTGAGTACGGGACAAGACTGCTACTAGTACTGCTAAGCCGCTACTTAGCAGCAGAGTATAGCATCCCGATTGGTGAGCTAGCGAGCTACGAACTGCGACCAGCTCCAAGCAAGCAACTGCAATTGTGGTGTTATAGATGGGCCGCCTACTTAGCAGTGACCGGGCGCCGTCAGCAATTCATCAGTCTGTCCTGGAAGGTAGGTACAAAGTCATGTTCCGCGAGCGGCCGGAGACAGCTCAGTGCGCTTGCAAGAGAGTTCACGTGCCATCGAGCCGTGTTCTGTGTCCAGAGGTGAATCATGGCTGTCTCTGTCCAACGCAGTGATCATACACATCCGAGTCGCCGTACACATTTTTGAACGTACCGTCCGACCAACGACGTGCCAATCTCGCGGAGGTTCGGGAGTGGGCAAGAGCCGTGTCTGGCGCAGTGGCGCCATGAAGAGCTGACCGATCATTGCGAGTATTCGCCACATCACGGCGTACTGTATAAAGTGTCGCTCGTGTCGTGGCGGCGAGTTAATATGCGTCCAATACTGCGCACGTTTGCGCGACAGATGCATCAGACGCCGCAGTTTTCAGTCGGTCATTGGTTCCGGTCATCGGAGAGCTGGCGGGCGGACCGCCCATGGATCACGACAGGCATTCGTCGCCGATGCAGCTGTGAGTTATTATGTGAGCGAAAGCCGAGGAGACTCAAGGAGAATCGCACCGAGTCATGATGCCGTGTTCCAGGCAGTCTCCAGTCGGAGCAGTGAACAGCCCACGTTCACTGGCTGCGCCATCCTGGATGGCAATGGCGCGTTTCAAACCTATGAAACTGATCTGCACATGAGCAACGTCGACCGACAAATTCTCACTGACAGAGCCAGAACAGTGGTATGCAACCTGAACTGCGGGTCCGGGAGAGCCGGATATAAAGTATCCGTAAGTTCCCACTCGTTCCCCGTCCACCACTCCCTTTGGTCGCTTGACCTCCTTGTTCCCGTGTTCCTCGACTTCCGCTCGCGCCTTCGGACCCCCCACTTACACTAGCAGGTCCTCGCGTAGATTGTTTGCCACCGCCGCGACCGCGGCCCTTGGACGTCTCTCCTGTCGACTTCAATCGGAATAGCCCTCGACTGAGGCGGTTCGCTGTCGGACCTCAGTGATGTTGCGGATCTCGACGGACCCTGCTCCGCCTTGCGGCGAGCCATAGACCGAGACCGCGTGACCCTGCCGACGACGGCGTTCGAGGTCTTTCGGGTCGTCGGTCGGGGCGTCGGTTGGGACTTGAGCGATACATGGCCACGATCTTTCGCAGTATTACCCCTAGGCGGCCGCGGATGCGAGGAATCGCTCTCTTCATCATCCCCATCGCCCTGGTCATCCAGTTCAGTGTTCGCTCGCCGGGCTTGGGGATGAGGCACAGCTGAACGAGGGCTATGTTCCCAGTCAGTGAGGTCCGCCTCTCTCCGGGCCAGTTCTTGGTTTAGCGCTTTCTTCTGCTCAGGCGTGAGGTCCTCTGGCGTGTTCTGGAGCTCCTCTTCCGTCTGCTCGAAGGCGGCCAAGAAATCGTCGTGCATGATATCATTCACCACGAAGTTTCGCGACTCGTATGCTGGATTCAGGATGTTCCACAGACGCCGCAGGAGTCGTATCAGGGGCTTGTAGTAGTCATCCACGAAGCACAACACCAAGAGGAAAGCCTTATTGTGAGTCATGATCGCTTGTTTGTTCTCTGCGAGTTGCGAGTTGTCCGGCGCTTGAATGAGCTGGTAAAATTTGTTGGCCAAGGCCGTGTCTGTACCATTGCAAAAGGCCTCCCTACGCATTGCTGGACCGGAACTTGAGATGGAGGTGAACAGGAGAATCCAGAAGATACTCTCCAGGTCATGATAGAAGGAATATTTGGGATGAGGCTCGACAGCAACCACTAGGTCCCCATCCGGCGTCGCAACGAAGGTAGGCACATACCAGATCCCCCCTAGGAGCTCGCCAGACATATACGGCCGCGTTCCCTATCACGCCGACGAGTTAATGCGTGTCAGTGAACAGCGCAGCAGGTCAACTTACAGTCGGGGTGTCAGCGGCATTCATCTTGTCGTCCAGCATCGTCGCGAAATCGAAGTCGATAACAATGCCGCGGCGGCCCTTCGCAGTTTCGCGTGTGATGAGGATGTTCTCGTGCTCAGATCGTGATGTGCCACTCCGTTCTCAAAGGCGGCTCGATGTCCTGGTGCCGGTTCAAGTTCAAATACAGCAAGCGATGGTAGGGCAGCAACGAACTCACCAACTAGAGCATCGTGCAGGGCACCAACCAGCTCCAGGCACGTCCCAGCATACTTGATCGACCAGCCATACGATTACATGACTAGCCTGGAATGAGTTCGCCCGCGAGGCATCTTCACAGTTCCAGCAATCAACGGCAGATAGTCCAATCGATGCGTGTACAGAGCCAGGAGCTCACGGTCCCTGTTGGGCTGATTCTCAGGGACCTTGCCGAGCAAGGTGCCTAGATCGAGGTTTCCCTGTGGCATGTCGATGCAGCTAGGTTTTCTCTCGCCTTGCAGGCCACAGCGGATGCACACGAGTAAGTAATACTTGCGAGGTAAGTAAATTCAGGTTCGAACTCAAACGCCACAAGGCCAACCGTGGCGCGGCGATCCCATTCCGAAATAAGCAACTGTTGCTCGGAATACTTACTGGCCAACTATTGAATGATACTGTACCGGTGACAAGTGTCATTTGCAGCTAGCCTGAGGGTACCATGACACAAGTGGTAGCATAAGTATCCCACACTGCATTGCAAACAAGTCGAACATCATTCAAACCACTGCCTATACATTTCACAGCCGCACACTTGACGACCTCTCCAAGACCATTTCCCGTCGCTGAGATCATAGACCATGCGCCCCACGATCTGGCTCATCAGATTTAATCGTCTTTAAATCGCGCTATGAAGTTAGTGCGCGAACATGGCTGTGACGCTGGAGATAGCTTACCGTCACTCGAGGTGATGTAGACCTCGCCGCCAGTGCGCTTGTCAAGATCTGAGGGTTGGCCCGGGATTAGCCAAATGCCGATGTTCTGCATGTTCGACGGAATCTCACCATCGGGCGGGAACGTGTACACTTCGCCACCAGTGCGCTTCTTGAGATCTAAAAGAACGGGTAAGCAAAATAGATGCGCGGCTTTCCGCGCAAGACCTCACCATCGGAGGAAGTATACACTTCACCACCCTTGCGCTTCTCCAGGTCTAGGGGAACTCGTCAGCAAAACGGAGATGTTCCGCATGCTTAGTCTCACCATCCGGCGATGTAATGTACACCTCTCCGCCCGTGCGCTTGTCCAGGTCTAGGAGAAATTGTCAGCCAGACGGTGACGTTCCGCACGCTCAGTCTCACCATCCGGCGGTGTAATGTATACCTCGCCACCCGTGCGCTTGTCCAGGTCTAAGAGAGCTGGTTAGCAACTCACGGATGTCTTGCATATCTTGCACAGCCTCTCACCATCAGACGAAGTGATATACACTTCACCACCGGTGCGTCGAGAGAGCCCTGCGATGAGGGTCAGAATCGAGCGACCAACATGCATAGTACATCATAACTGACCGTTGGTCACATCAGTGGGGGCTGCATAAGCACCGTAAAACAGAGCGGCCGCGCTGAAGAGAAAGGCAGACGTGAACTTCATCTCTACGAGCAGAGCTGAGTGGGGGTTGCAGTACCTCAGACTGCCCATTATATAGCCCTCCATCCAGCGCTGTTTTGCGTTTTCAGACTAGCTGAAACGGTACTCATCAATGCTCGCAAATCACTGTACGGGTAGTCGCGAGATGGCACGTATGTCCAGATAAATGATGGGGATACGGTCTGTACAGGCACAACCATCAGAAACAATGGCTTGGCCCGGCGCCCGGCGGGAAAGATGTACTGAACGTGGGCTTGTATACAGTCCTTGAATTAACCATTGCATTAGCTGCGACTCATGACGGACTAGCAGTACATGAAGACCTTGCACACAGTACGCCACAATTTCGTCACTGCCGGGAGTTACTTGGTAACAGTGCATGACTCGGATCTCCGCTGGTGAGCTAGTGAGCTACGATCTCCTCCAAGCAATTGGGATTCTAGCGACGTAATGTGGCGTTGACAGATGCACCTAGAAGTAGACGCCATCAGCACCTCCGAGTCATCGTTCTGTCCAGGTGTGCACGAACATGTCGCGTTGAGTACTCGGCGTACCTGCAAAATGGTTCACGCGCCGTCGACCTGTGTTCTCTGTCCGGAGGTAAGTTAAATCATGGCTGTTCGGTGGATATAATGCTGTCCGCGATCACTGTGTCCAACACACGTGTCCGCGTCACCGTCACGAACATCCTTGGACGCAATTGTACTACCAATGCCATCAACAATAGGCTACTCTTCTGTATGCCACAGGTACGCTATTCCACAACAGCTTGGATGCTCACCAACTGAGTTTTTGTTCTGAGCATTCGCATCGTACGCCGCGGCAGTTGGCAGATGGCATTGATCTCCGACGGTAATTGGGGAGCTGGCGGGCGACTTAGGACGCATGGTCGCATCATCATGATACAATGATACATGTATGGGCGTCCGCGGACGACGCAGCTCTGAGTTCTGATGTGGGCGGAAACTGCAGCATAAGTAATAATAAAATCATACCGAGATGCCGTGGAGTCCAGGCGGTCTGCGCAGTGACCAGTCCACATTGACAACTGCGCCATCCTGTATGTCAATGGCGCATTCTAAGCTCATGGGCGAGGCTAGTACGGGTCCAGGAGTGTAGCCTCGATTGGGCGAGGGATCAGGGTACGGCCGCACAATTAGGTTCCACAAACCACATTGATCGAGATAGCAGAATTACATACCTTGCGACTGCAAGGTTTCTGCAGGGTTTCTGCAAGGTTTCTGCCAGTGCCAGGTTTTCTGGCGGACGACAGTTGGACGACAGCATGACTTGCCTTTCTGGGCACGCGAGCTCGTCAAGCGTCACACATCATGTGCCTCGTCACCACTTTCTGTCACGCTGTCCGGCGACTCCGACTCGAGATCACTGTCAGGCTGTGGATCGACTCTAATTCGACCTACCGTTTCTACAGCAGCTGTACTAAGTTCGACCCAAAGTTTTGCTCTCACTCGGGAATCACGGTACTTAATAGGCTAGCCGTATCTGTGTTACCCCGTACATAGATGCAAATTGCTAGGTTGACGCACTAGTAAGTACTATGATAAAGGAATAAGTCGGTGGACAGCGCAACACTGAGTTCTCGGAATACTTACTGGCCAACATATTGATACTGTATCGGCGACAATACCACTTGAAGCTAGCCTGAGGGTACCATGACGCGAGTGATAGCGGGTTGAAGACCACGAAATAATCACACAACGATGCATCAGTGCTAGTGTAACAACCATTCACCACGACGTATATCCTTCAAGGCATGCTCATTGTCAACGACCCATCGAGGCTACGGCCGCCCATCACCAGACCATGCGTCCACCGATATAGCTTGAATTCACTGTGGCTATTCGTCTTCGTCTAAAGGCTTTCATCGAGCTCTGAGGTATATTATCAGTGTAAAAAACTGGACATCCAAGCGGATACACACCGTTATAAGCTTAGGCCACGGCGCCGCCATCGCGCTTCATTACATCTGTGTCATAACCCGTCAGCCTACATCACTGAGACCTAGTGAGCGGTTTTACCATCGGTGATGATGTAGAGCTCGCCGCCGGCGCGCTTATCGAGGGCTAAAGCAACCAGTCAGCAAAAACGAGTGTGTTCTGCATGCTTCCGGAACTCTCACCATCCACGTCACCGCCGGTACGTTTCACGACGTCTAAGGACCGCTCGTTCAGCGAAATCTGTATCAGCAGTTGCGAGGGCAAACCATACCGTCCGACAAAAGGTATATACCGTCGGTGCGTTTAACAACGTCTAAGTAACACTGGGTCAGCGAAACCCGAATCATCAGAGGCGAGGGGTAACCATACCGTCTGACAAAAGGTATATACCATCGGTGCGTTTAACAACGTCTAAGGAACACCGGGTCAGCGAAACCCAGATCATCCGAGTCGGAGACGAAGGACAACCATACCACCCGACGAGATGTACACGCCACCGGGGCGTACGCGTCGAGAGAGCAGAGCGTCGGTCTCAATAGCTGGGGCCGCGCAAGCGGCGTGGAACAGAGCAACAGCACTGAAGAAGATAGCAGACGTGAACTTCATCTCGGTGAGCAGAGGTGAATGGGGTCAGCAGCCCTGGGTGCTACTATTATATAGCCCTCCATCCAGCGCCATTCTGCGTTGTTCGTCTAGATGGAGACAGTGGCTATCGAATGCGGATAGATGGGCGGAGGTCACCGTCTCGCAAGGTTTGAAGCTTGACCGTCCCACAAGCCCTGTCGAGATGATGAGATTGCGGTCCACATAGACACAGTCATCAGAGACAGTGGCCCACGCGCGGCGCCGTGGTCTTTGAAAGGTCTACAGTCCTCAAATAAAACCATTGAATCAGGGTGAGATTAGTCGCAAGTCGTGGCGAACTAGCAATGCATGGCCCTGCCTGTGAGTACGAGACAAGGCCGCTACTGCTGAGCTGCTACTTAGCAGTAGAGCATGACCTCAATTGGTGAGCTAGCGAGCTACGACTAGCTCCCAGCAAACAACTGCGAGTGTGGTGTTGACAGATGCCGCCGACTTAGCAGTCACTGGGCGCCGTCGACGATCCATCAGCCTGTCCTGGAAGGTATGTACAAAGTCATGTCCCGCAGGCGGCCGGACACCACTCAGTGCGCTTGCAAGACACTTCACGCGCCATCCCCACGTTATCTGTCTAGAGGTAAATCACTGTTCAACACAGGATCATACACATCGCCATGGACGTACCGTTCGACCAACGACGTGCCAGTGTCGCGGAGATTCGGAGTAGGCAAGGGCTAGTAGTATATAGGTCTGGCGCATTGGCACCATAAAGAGCTGAACGATCATTGCGCGCATTCACCACATCACCGCGCACTTTATAAAGTGTCGCTCGTGCCGTGGCGGCGAGTTGACATGGGGCCAATACTGCGCACGTTTGCGCGACAGATACACCGGACGCCGAAGTTTTCAGTCGGTCATTGGTTCCGGTCATCGGAATGCTGGCAAGCTGCATTGGACAGACCGCCCATGGATCACGACAGGCGTCCTCGCCAACGCAGCTGTGAGTTGTAATGTGAGCGAAGATCGCAGCGGACTTAAGGAGAACCGCACCGTGGGTCATGCCAATACCGTGTTCCAGGCGGTCTCCGGTCGGAGCAGTGAGCAGCCCACGTTCACTGGCTGCGCCGTCCTGAATGGCGATGGCGCAATCTAAGCCAATAGGACTGATTTGCACATGAGCGACGTCGATCGACGGACCGTGACCCTCGCTGACAGAGCCAGGAGAGTGGTATACAACTGCTGGTCCTGGAGAGTCAGACCTGATTCGGACCAAGTGTCTCATTCGTTTCGCTGAGTATTGGCATCCGTAGCCCGTATTGTGATGAAGATTGGCTGCACGTACCTGGTTCAAGTTCATGCAGACACCTGTTAGCCGCCGCCTTTGTTAGGCACGACAACGGTCACGGCATTATTGCACTGACAATTGAAGTTTTGGCATAAACTGTCAGAGCGCCTTCGCTCCGAGTATGTTGACAGGGCGGAGCAGATCTACAGTATGATTACGTATAGCGTCCTGACAGTACGTGCTGTGGACTGCTGTCTGAGTCCTTGATTGGGCGTTGGATCAGCGTCGGTCCCACACAGCTGCCAGGTTCCACATTGAAATATTGATCAAGCATACTTTCCAAACTGGCCCGCCATACATGATCAGTCGACAGAAGTGCACTCCAGCAACGTCGCTGCGTACCTCGACAGTCGGACAGGCATGCAATTCCAGTGTGGTGGCAAGTACTTACGCCGCAGCCCTGCAGCGAAGCTAATCCGACTTGCCTTTCTCGGGCACAAGCCGGTTGACTGTCACACGTCATGTGCTATGTCACGCCGACCGCCGACCGCAACTGCTAGAGTGTCACGGTGGCCACACGGAGAGACATAAAAAAGAACTTATGTACTGACCAACTTTAGATCAACGGGTTAATGCCGACGGAAAGTGCGAGCTTCTACGATGTAGACTCGAAGGAGGACCATCATACAACATTGCATTGCGCTGAAGCAAGTCAAACATCATTCATCACTACGTCACTTCACATTTCACAGCTGCATTCCAAGATCATTTCCCGACACTATGATCATAGAGGATCATGCGTCCGATGGCGTGGCTAATACTCTTCTTTGAATCGAGTTCAAGTTAGCGCGCGAAAATGGCTGCGCAAGACATAGCTTACCCTCATTCGAGGTGATGTATTAGGCCTCGCCGCCAGTGCGCTCCTCAAAGATCTAAGAGCGTCATTAGTTTAGCTAAACGCAGATGTTCTGCATGTTTGACGAGATCTCACCATCGGGCGGGGACGTGTACACTTCACCCCCGACGCGCTTCTCGAGGTCTGAGAGCGAAACCAATGGTAAACTAACTATGGACCCCTTGCATACTTCGCGAAATCTCACCGTCCGGCGGGGAAGTGTAAACTTCACCACCGACGCGCTTCTCGAGGTCTATGTGGTTTGGTTAGAAAAGTATGGATTATTGCGTCCTTTACCGAGTCTCACCATCCGGCGGGGTGGTGTACGCCTCACCACCGGTGCGTCGAGAGAGCCCTGCGATGGGGTCAAGATCAAGCGAACATCGGAACGACATGCACAGTACGTCGTAACTGACCATCGGTTACACCAGTGGGAGCTGCGTAAGCAGCATAGAACAGAGCAGCAGCGCTGAAGAGAAAGGCAGACGTGAACTTCATCTCTACGAGCAGAGCGGAGTGGGGTTGGCAGCACCTCAGACTACCCATTATATGGCCCTCTGTCCAGCACTGGTTTTCCTTTTCAGACTAGCTGGAAACGGTACTCATCAATCCTCACGAATCATACGGGTCGCCGCGAGACGGTGTATCCCGATGAATGATGGGGTTGCGGTCGGTATAGACACACCCATCAAAAGCAATGGCCCGGGCCCGGCGACCAGCGGCAAAGATGTACTCGGCGTGGCTTGTATACAGTCCTTGAATTGACTATTGTATTAGCTGCGACTAATGACGAACTAGCAGTGCATGAAAACCTTGCCTGCACAGTACGCCACGATTTCGCCACCGCCGGGCAACCACTTGGCAATAGAGCACGAGTCATCTCGGCTGGTGAACTAGCGAACTACGGCCAACTCCAAGCAACTGGGATTGTGGCGTTGACAGATGCACCTAGTAGCAGTTGCCGTCAGCGACTCGTCGTTCTGACCAGATATGTACAAGAACATCTCGCGCGGGCCGCCAAAGAGTACTCAAAGCACCTGCAAAACGGTTCATGCGCCGCATCGACTGGTGTTCTCTGTCCGGAGGTAAACCGCAGTGGGTGTTTCGGTAGATATAGCACTGACCGGTGCAATCACCGCGTCCAACACACTAGTCTCCGTTGTTGACCCAAAGTAATACCAACACACATGCATGCGGAGTCACCGTGAACATCCTTGTAGATCCTTGGACGCACCGTTTTACCAATGCTACCAACGATATGCTAGTCTTCTGGATGCCGCCGGCGCGCTGAAATGCAAGAGCTAGTATGCTCACCGGCTGGGGTTGTGTTGAGTAGGAGCATTCACAGCGGACGTCGCGGCAATTGGGTGTTGGTCGTTGATCCCCGAGGGTCACCGGGGAGCCGGCGGGCGACTTAGGACGGATGGGTCATCCGTCGTTACGATACATGGGCGTCCCGTCGCCAGCCCATCGCCGACGCAGCTGTGAGTTCTGATATGAGCGGAGCCCGCAGCATAAGAAGACTCGTACCGAGTCATAATGCCGTTCTCCAGAGTCCAGGCAGCGTCTGGGTACTGTGGGCAGACTACGTTCACAGCTGCGCCATCATAGCCTGAATGTCAATGGCGCATTCTGAGGTCATGGGACTGACTGACATGTGAACGATCAACGGATCCTCGCTGACATGCATGGCCAGGAAAGTAGTATGCAACTGCGGGTCCGGGAGTCTATTAAGTAGTATCAGTCTCGAAGTTGGACGTAAGTTGAGATCAACGTACAGCCACACAACTAGGTTCCAGATTGATCGAGATCTGAGCAGAATATATATGTAGCGTTTTGAGACTGGTCCGCCAGTGAGCTCAACAGTCGGACAGGCACACGAGTCAAGTGTGGTCGAAAGCACGCCGCGACCCTGCAGCCAAACCAATTATAAGTACGTGCAGGAGAGTCGAAGACAACCGGTACATACCAAATGCTATGAATCACGATCATCGACTTAGCGGCGGCAGATTCAATGTGACAGTGAGGAAAACGCTAAGTACTGGTTGGTCAAAACATGTGCGTGGACGCATCCAAGAGCTCATAGATAAGTCCCCAAAGTACACACGAGTAGTAGTTGTATATAGTAAGTTTTAGTCCGCAACCAAGAGAGCTATACAACTAAACACAGTCAGACAGGCATGTCACCGCGGCGACGCGTGTCGGCTGCCGGGGCTCCCCGAGCCATGCCGCCGCTCGTCGTGGTGATAGCGCAAATGAGTCCGTTCGTCCGCATGCTCCAGCTCGTCATCGTCCTCGTCCTCGCCCACCACTTCCGGCAGCCGCGTCAGCCCGACGTTGTCCGTGATTTCGTCCTCCACGTCGTACGCGTCGAACAGCGTCGCGGAGCGCAGCCCGCGGAGCCTTGCCGCCCGTGACGCGCGCTGTGTGGTGGGCCCATGCCCCCAACCGGCGACCCTGCCGCGCCACCCCACCCGTCGAGAGACACGCGGCCTTGGATGCTTAGGCGGGGATTCATTATCCCGCTCTCGAGCGCGGAGTGTCCATGGCCATTGGCGACGGTGGGCAGCGACTCGGGTTTCCGCGAGATCTCGAGCAAGTGGACACCAAGGAAGGTGGTGATGAAGCCGGCAAGAAGGGATATTGAATTCGCTGGGTCATCGGTGTTGAAGCCCTGGAATAGGATGACAGAAGCGACGATGGTCGCTGTGGAGAAGCCGACGTAGTACATGGGGTTCACGCTGAGAGGATGTAGTACGTCTCACGGTGCTTATGGAACGACGTACACGTTTGTCGAGAACGTATCCAGCGCCTTGTTGAAGTAGTTCATTTGCACGAGGATGCAGCCCGCCACGGTGATGCCGAACACGTAGGTGCTTAGATGTGTAAACTGGTTGTTCCCCGCGAATGTGAGCTTGACCGCGACACCGAACCCCTTGATCGCCATGACAGACACCGAGCCGACGACCGAGCATATGGAGATGTACACAAGCGGATTCGACCGCCCATACTTAGGGACAACCGCCCAGATCATCACTACGCTGAACACCAGGACAGTGAAGCAGTACATCAGGAAGCCTCCAGGCGAGATTTAGAACATTGAGATCCCTCATATACACATATCGAGCTCACCGGGCTGCATAGCGTAATGCAAGATTTCGTCCACCGTCTTGATTTCCTTGTCTTCTGGTGCATGCAGCACAATGATGAGGGAGCCGAGCAGACATAGCGCGCAGCCGACACGCCCAAGGTGACCGAGCTCTTCATTCAGTAGGAAGGATGCCAAGACGGCGCTACAGGACGCAGTCAATGGCCGAGCATGATGCACGCGGGAGCTGAACCGACCCGATGATAACGCTGAGTGCACCTAATGGCGTGACCAATATTGGCGGGGCAAATGTGTACGCAGCAAAATTGGCGACTAGAGAGGGGTCGTCTGTACGTGCGAAAGTATACACAGGATAGTACTCACTTTCTCCTAGAATTACTGCAGCCCGTGCCATCCACCGTCAGACACCCAGACACACCGTCCAATCGCCAGAATACGACTCACATGTTGATATGCCTGCCCACCATATTGGACTTCTGAGATATGCATAGTCGTCCGAGGCCTGTGCATACGTGGATCGACTACTTGCGTCGTTTAGGCCCTAGCACTGGGTTCAGCACGACTGCTCCCCGCACCACGTGCCAAGCCGACCTTTTTCGTGATGATGAAGCTGGTTCCGATGGCGAGCGAGCTCGACACGGCGAGTATGAGCCCTATGTACTTGTCATCCACCATTTTAACTTGCAGCGGAGTCTAGGCGTGTAAAGGAGTGGAATGTTATGGAGGTAGGGCCAGGTAGGTGTCTAATGACCGAGTCGGAGTCGTAAGTGTACAACGGGGTATCGTCTGTCGTGCCAGCGTCGTCTACAAGGCCCTTGAACCAGGGACTCGGCTGTGAAGCTTTGAAGCGTTGGAGGAGGTGGACGAGCTGGGAAAGCGCATGAGCACCGCAGCGAGCGTCTGCGTGACCATTGTCACGCCGTCCAGTGAAGCGATGTGACTGTCACTTGTCTGTCACAGATCCACTCGCAGTTGTGCAGATCGTTCGTGTATTTGTGTCAATCTCATTGCCGTAGAGCTCGAGACTTGCTCGAGACCGCCAGCATTCACGTCTTCGAAGCTTTTTTTGTTTGCTTTAGGCCGAGACCCAAGTGACGTTGAGCTCGAGCCATGTTCTTTGGTTCACGTGGTCTCACTGACGCGGTCCCCGGACTTGGCCATTCGTTCAGTCATCCTGCGAGGCTGGCTGGATGATCCTTGCAGGACTACGCATATGCCATCGCAGCGCACAACACCTCTCATCATCGCTCGGACGGCAAGCTAATATCAGGACACAATCTCTTGTAACGATGGCGCCGGCAACCCACACAGTCAATACATCCGAACGCCTGGAGGCGCTGCGACGGCTTATGGCGAAGCCTGGCAACGATGTCGCGGCTGTCGTTGTGCCTAGCGAAGACCAACGCAAGTTTCTGCATCGTCGTGTTTGACGAACGATTGTTGTAACGAATGCTTGCTGTATAGATTACAGCGAATACCCAGCGGCGTGCGACGAAAGACGCGCTTTCATATCTGGCTTCACCGGATCTGCAGGTACATATCTCTACTGGCTATAGGAATGAGTTCTCTTCGGACGCTCACATATCAACGCGTCGCATACGCTCAGGATGTGCTGTTATCACGCAGAACGACGCATTTCTATTCACAGACGGCCGCTACTTCTTGCAAGCAGAGAAGCAGTTGGATAAGTAGGGGCCCAGCGCCTTGATTAGACGACCATGAACTCAGCTTTTTATTTTTTGCAGGAACTGGACTTTGATGAAGCAAGGCTTACCAGGTACCTGTCATCCGTATTGTTGTTCCCTTTTGCTGATTGTCGTAGATGTACCCACTTGGCAGGAGTTTCTGTGGAAGGTAATCTATCTCTCGCATTGTGTGCGTGTATCTGCTAAAGATACCCTAGAGGTTACCGAAATGCACGCGTATCGGGGTTGACCCGGTTATTGTGACTGCCTGTAAGTTTGTACAGCACAGCAGTAGGCCTGCAGGTGGTAACAATTTAGCAGCCGATGCCGACACGATCCAGAAGAACCTTGAGCCTCTCGAATCGCGGCTCGTCTCGCTGAAGGACAATTTAGTGGACCTCGTGTGGACCAATCGCCCCCCTAGGCCGACTAACAGCATATTCCCGCTTGACCTGAAGTACGCTGGTATGCCGCTCCGATTGACTGCGCTAGACTTCTTGTTCTGACGATGCGACGTAGGTGAATCACATGCGCAGAAGATCGAGAGACTACGAGAAGAGATGAAGAAGAAGGAAGTGCACGCTATGGTCGTAAACATGCTAGATGAAGTCGCCTGGCTGTTCAACTTGCGAGGCTCGGACATCGATTACAACCCAGGTATATCAAGCCACATGGTCCCGATTCAAATTAACTGACAAACTGAACTCGCACTGTGACGTTGTAGTGTTCTTTGCGTATGCTGTTCTGACTCCAGAGAAGGCGTATCTCTTCCTGAACCCGGCACAAGTCGACGACACGCTCCGCAAGCACCTCGGCGACCACGTCGATATCCACCCCTACGACTCCTTCCTCTCCTACCTCGCAGACCTCGGCGCGGAAATTGGCCTACACAAGAAATCAGTGAGCCTCTCATTCACTTCACGCGTCCCCTCATTGATGACCCGCCTTCTTGCAGAAGGCACTAGTAGGCGACAAAGCCAGCCTGGCCATCGTGGAAGCAATGGGAGCAGTGCGTCATCCATACGCGTACCAGCGCACTGTAAAGTTACTTGGGTAGCCTTGGCTGACGCTAGATATCATGCGACATCATCAAGGAAAACGTCGTCGTGGCTCGCTCGCCCGTCACGGACTTGAAGGCTGTGAAGAACGAGACGGAGGTTGAAGGTAACTGGACAAGTCGCACGCAGAACAGCCCTAACGGGCCGTGGTGTAGGATTCAGACAGAGCCATATACGCGATGGTGTTGCCCTCGTTCGCTACTTCGCGTGGCTCGAAGACCAGCTGAACATCGGGGTGGAGCTCAACGAGTGTCAGGCCGCGGACCAGCTGGAGCGTTATCGCTCGTGCGTATTGTGCCTAGAACCGTCCCCTTCATAGACAGCCTGACCTTCAGCGTGGTCCCAGAGAGCTCGACCTATTCAGAGGACTGTCTTTCCCTACCATCTCGGCGACCGGGCCAAATGGCGCGATCATACACTATCAACCCGACCCGAACGACTGCGCGGTTGTTCGCAAAGATCAGGTGCGTCGCCGCATCGATGGCAGAGTTGACACCACCGTCACTGACAAACCTACCTGTTCCAGATATATCTCTGCGACTCTGGAGGTAGGCCAACGGATTGCCTCATTGATCCCTGTCATTGATCCCTTCCCCGTCTCAGCGCAATTCACGGATGGGACTACGGACGTCACGCGGACCTGGGTGAGCCCGTCCGTTTGGTACCGATGATGAGGCCGGTGTCATAACGCGTGATGCAAACCCAGCACTTTGGCAAGCCGACGTCCGAGGAGCGCCGTGCTTGCACCCGCGTGCTACAAGGGCACATCGCCATAGACACTGCGGTGTTCCCAAGTGGAACAACTGGTGCGCCAACGACAGCGTCTGTTGCTTGCTGAATTGTCTAGTTGACGCTCTGATCAATTAGGCTATGTCATGTATGTCTTGAACCTGGACTAGATGGACTTAGTAGGACATTGACTCTGTACCAGCGATGCTTTTGCGCGAAGACCGCTATGGGAGGACGGCCTTGGTGGGTGTTCTATTTCTCGAGGAGACATGCTGCTGACCATGTGCGTTCCAGACTATCGGTACACTTCTCCTTTAGGCCTGTATTAGCACAATACCATACTGATTCGTTGTTTCACGACGCGTAGGCACGGGACCGGTCATGGTGTTGGTACGTATCACCGTTATCATCGCCCATGCTTCGCATTGATGATGCCGATCTGCAGGCCACTTCCTCAACGTCCACGAAGGTTGATTCACTCAACTCACCTGCTTGGCGAACCCTTGCTGAACTTCTACTTCAGGACCGCACGGCATTGGCGTCCGCATAGGTAGGCACTACAGCCCCCCACCGTAAAAATTTATGCAACAGCGCTCATGAACGGGATAGCATACAACAGCACGCCATTGAAGTCCGGCATGACTGTGTCTGACGGTCAGTACCGAAGTCCTGCGAGCTGTCAAGCGCGCTGAATCTTGCACAGAGCCTGGATACTACTCCGACGGACGATTCGGCATCCGCATCGAGAACGTGGTCATAGTCCGCGATGCGAAGACTCCAAATAACTTCGGAGACAAGGGCTACCTGAAGTTCGAGCACGTCACCATGGTCAGGATCTCCAATCAACCCTTGTTTCAATGACCCTTACGCGAATGCAACTTAGTGCCCAATCCAGAAGAATCTCGTCGACGACTCCCTTCTGAGTCCGAAGGAGAGGTCGTGGCTGGATTCGTACCATGCGGAGGTGTTGGAGAAACTCTCACCTTTGTTGCACACGGATCCGAGGGCGTTCGCGTGGCTGCAGCGCGAGTGCTCACTCTGTAGTCGGTAGGTGCTCGACAGCGATACAAATTCGTACAATCATACGTTCCCCAGGCAGACATCTTTTCGCATCGACCACAATCTGGTCTGTGTGGTCGCGAGATGCTCTGGCATGGCGTCATCTCCCCTCTGTTGAGCCTGCGCTCGTAATTTCTGTCAAACGTTAGCCATTACACAGCGTGACGACTTGGATACCGATGCCTCTTACAGTCGCGTGGTAATACGAGTCTGTCACAGTCCTTCGCGCTCGGCGCGATGGATCATGCATCTTGGCGCGTTGTAGCATCTCAGTGACAAACACGACGGCGGAACGTACGTTGTGTAGACTGTATACAGCGTGAATGGCCTCTCAGAGTGTCAATATTATGGTCATGAATAGCAAATACTAGTATAATGTACTTACTTACAGTGAGTTGTTACAGTACTAGTAAGTAACGCGAATCCGTTCGGTTGTGCCGGCGCTTCACATGTCACTGATTTGCGGTCTGCACCGTGCACGAAGTCTGCACTCATCGGACCCCTTAAGTAGTCTCCGTTGCAGCCATACGAGCCGGCAACGGACCCCTCCCATTGCAACATCACGGCGACCTGGATACTACCACACGAGCGGCGACAGGCTCAGCGTCACCGCTTTCATCAGAGGGTTCCACAGTGAAGAGCATCGAGAGCTCAGAGCACCGCTAGAGTTTTGCCAACTTGAAAGTGAAGTCGGTACGTGCTATGCCTGGCCAGGATTGTGACCATCTGTTCGCACCATCATGACCTATCGCTCAGAGTCTGCCCCCCCATCTAGGTGCACCAGCAGCCTCCGCCCTCTATGCTTCCCCATGAATTGTGGGAACTCATCATTGACGAACTGTCCTCCGACCGTCCTGCCCTCCGTGCTTGCGGCCTGACGCAATGGGCATGGGTCTTACCAACTCGGCGACACCTCTACCGGGAGTTATCTCTCTGGCGTGCCTCCGTATACGGGCAAAAACCTTTCAGGCCCATCCTCTCCAGGTCCAGAGCGATTGGCACCGGTATTGCTGGATGTGTGCGCGCCGTCTCACTTGTAGGTGTTCACCTCTACCTCGGTGCTACTGCGGAGGACGGCGACATGGGCAACACGGATATACCGGCACTGGAGACAATACTGTCCGAACTACCCAATGTCGCTCGCCTACGCCTAATCGAGGTGGATTTCAAAGCTAGCCAAGGGTGCTTGCATCTCATGACCCAAGTCTTAACCACCCCATTCAGTCGATGTTCACCTTACCGCGGCTCGAGATGTTGTCACTTACGGAGTGCGAACTGAGATCAGCTCTGGACACACAGTCACTGCTCGTTTCATTTCCGCAGATTTCATCGTTGGAGGTGGATACATCCCGATTAGTGATCGACTCCAACCCCGAATGGCCCCTTCCACTTCCACGCAATTCCACCGTGACCGCGATGCGGGAAGTACGTCTAACAGGGACGAGAATGTATCCCGAAGAGATGGCGTTTCTTTTCGATGTGTTGAGGGTGTCACCGTTTGGACTTGCCTTGCAGAGGCTTTCATGGTATCCGTTCACCAACTGTCCCATTGTCCTTTCGCGTCTGCTGAAAGAGGCGGAGAGTACTCTGCGTACACTGGAGGTTGGGGTCCATGGATGTGAGTTGGCAATTCAACTCAATGTGTGCCTAATCATAAGCTGACTAGTCTATCATCAGCCTTCGATGATATGCATCTGTCTCGTCACTCGGGTCTACGGTCCGTCAGACTTGACCAATACTATCGTGAAGACCACATGCCTTTCATCTTCCAGTATCGGTTCCTGTCATCTCTCCCTCGCCTCCCCAGCAGCCTTCGGGTTCTTTGCCTGTCTTTCGTCGCTATCCAATTGTCACCGGCAGATTTATTCGAACCCAGGCGAATACCTTTCGACTGGCCAAGTCTTGACCGGGCACTCACCGCACTCCACGTGCAAATCCCTCTTCTGGTTGTCTATCTGTGCTTCTATTCACTGTGCCGTGAACGTGCACAACCAGAGGATGCAACCTTACTATCGTCGCACATCCCGTCGGCTCTGCGTGCGGGCCTGCGCGTCAAAGTCGTAGTCGGATTTTTTCGCCCCGGAGAACTACCGCCACTATCGAATGTTGTCGAGGAATACTGGCTCTAGCAAATTCGCGGGAGACCGGAGGCTGCGCAAACGCAAGGTGTTGAATTTCCTTTTTTTTCTCACCGTTTCACCGATATTCATACTGCCCACTCAGTAGGCCCTTTAGGCACATCATATAAGGATCTGTGTCGCGGCGCATCCTTCTGTGTAACGACCTTCCTCGACGACGCTATTTATAAGGTCGGGTGTGTGTCCGTCCATGTGTCGCAGTCGCGGTGGTCTGGCGTTCGCGATGTCTACTATGGAATGGGAGTACTTATATTTATGTTCTTGCTGGTGCGCGATGCGAAGGCGGGATTACGTTTCATGTTACATGGGCAGCACAGTGAATAAATTATTTCATGCTTCGCTATAAGTGATTACCGCTGCCAGCGCACCGAGGTTAACTCTGAGACTACGGTAGGTCCAGGAGGAGGAGGAGGAGGAGGAGGAGGATGGGTCCATTTAGTAGTTCGACTGAAACTTCGAAGCTTCGCAGTTGACACGTGGCACGTGACTCTACTAGAGGACACGTCGCGCGTGCGCAGTGCGCACTGCTGCTCGAGTTCATTCCTGACATTGAACACGACCATCCCGCGACGCCTATGAAAGCAGGCAATTCAGCCTTTTTTCCTCACCAAAGACAGTAAAATCGGCTCTCACCTTAGCTATGTCGTTGTGGAATGAGATTCAGAAGGTGCCCTCAGTAACGCGATTCTTGTGCGGGGCTTCTCTGGCAGTCACCGTGCCGGTCCTCCTCGAAAGTGTCTCTCCTTACTTGTACTTCTTCGCGAGGCCGCTCGTGACGGACAAGTTTGAAGTGCGTACATTTTCTGTCTCTCAGGATCGCCATAGACTTACATGGACGTCTAGATATGGCGCGTAGTCACGACGTTCTTCATAGGGCGTGAGGATGGCATTACTCGTCTCGATGTGTTCTTTCTAACTCAGACCTTCATACATCAGCGTTTGGCATAGGCTACATATTTCATTTTGCAATGCTCTAGTTGAGTATTTTATCGATCGGGAGACTTTCGAGACACTGACACTCTCATTGACACAGCCGGCACTCTGAGGAAGTCGAGACATCATATTACCGAGAGCGTTCAGCGGATTACGCATGGCAGCTCCTGCAAGTCTGTATCAGCATACTGGTACGTCTTCCCAGGTAACGTGGCGCCGGACGACCCTACATAGACACTTCCACAGCTACTCAACCTCCCATTGCAATCCACCATGCACCACCGCCCGCTCCTCATCGCGCTCGTCTACCTCACCTCCCGACTCGCCTCGCCCGACGCGCAGACATCTTTCTTCGGGCTCATAACAATCCCCGTCTTCTACCTGCCGTACGTCTACATTGGCATGGACCTCCTCATGGAGGGCCGCGCAGGCGCCGCAAAAGCCATCTCCGGCGCGATTATCGGGCACCTCTGGTGGTGGGGCGTCTGGGAGAGCAGGATCCTCGAGCGCTATGGAAGCGCGCCTGCGTGGCTCAAGAAATTGCTCGGCCAGAGCTCGGCCCCGTCAGCACACGGAGGGTGGAAGAGGGGCGGCGTAGAGGGTGTGCCGCCGAGGCAGGTGAGGGAGGAGGGCCGGCCGGGCGAGCATCGTTGGGGGTCGGGTAACCGGTTGGGACAGTGAGCAAGGGATCGCTGTGGGTGGGTCAAATTCTCTGGTCGTCGGGATTGCGGACATATGAAGGTTGTATACATTGGTTGTATTCGCTCAATCGTGCAGCAAAGTGCGAGTTGCTTTACGCATGTCTGGTTTGGGGCTGGTGGACTGAGGAGTATCTTCGGAACCGACACTTGCCGAGGCGTTGACCTGGTTCAGCGTTTCACTACCACGGCCGACAAACGGTCATGCCCGATCCCTTGACAAGCCGGCTATCCACGTGTAGCGTAGATCCCCTTTGTGGCTGTTCAGGACACGGGGATCGATGCCTAGAGAAGATTCCTTATGGTGCATTTTGCATTGGAATCAAGTAGGACCCAGGTGTGTGGGAGCTACCATCTACCGACGAACGGCCTTGAAACTCCCCCGATGGCTGACTTATCCACAGAGCGTCATGTATGAGCTAGTCATGGTCGCGGCGATTGTGGTGAGTGCATGATACTTTGGATTGGTATCCGAATCGATATGACGAGACTAAAAGATCTGAGCAGGAAACGCAACTTTCCTGTCAATGACGGGCGACGCTCGCGGACCGTTCTGCATCAGCCCGAGCTCGAAGTACCGCCACCCAGTGGCATGTAGCATTGCTTACTGACCATATTGGCTGGGTTGACATGATCAGGCTCTCCTTGCGTCTCTGACTGGTTCCCACCACCTGGTAGACGACCCGTCAGACGTCTGTGTTCTACCGTAGGTACGTTCTCCATGCGTGGCGTCTCGCGTTGAGATTTCACTCCGTGTTTCCAGATTACTCAGTATACGGATTCACAAATTACCTTCTCTGCCGGTCGTAATGGAGAAGAGTCCATGTCTCCGTTCCGCGAGAAATCCGCTGTTTGATGCCAACAATGAACACGAAGAACTACGCTTAGGCTGCCAGCGGAGGCATGTTGAGGATAACCGGACCTTGATGTCCTCAATTCACTCCAGGCGCACTCCATCCGGGTCTTCACCATCGACATTTGGGACCTGACGCGGGTGCGTTTTGTCCCTCGCAGTTTTCGACATTTCCAACGATACGTCTGTCTGGGGATAGCCTACATCGAATTGCGCCTTCTCGACGCTCGTCGTGCAATGGGCAAAGTCATCCAGACCGTCGGCGTCGGTATGTACCCGGGGCTAAGGCCAGATGGCTAATTTCCAGCCACTTGGCGCTGGGTGGAGGAACATAAAAGGGCCTCCAGCAAGGGGGACAAACCAGCTTAGTGCTACTGACCAACATGAAGTTCACCGCAGCTGTCTTCCTCGGCGTCGCGCTCTTCCACGTTGCTTTGGCAGCTCCGATCGCTGAGACCAGCGGTATGTTGTGCTACCTGTACGTCAACTGCCCGGTCTGATACCCTTCACAGAGCTTGATCGTCGCACCGCCCCGGGTGGAGGCAATTACGTCGGTACTAATGGTGTGTTTCTTCTCGACTCGTACACGACGGACAGTGACACTTCTAATGCTCTGTCAGACATCACCGACAAGACCGACGAGGAGGCTCATGGTTTGCTGTTCTGCCTGCATGATAACGAGTCAATCTGACCATTCCGTTCTCACAGAGCTCGTTCGTCGCACCGCCCCGGGTGGAGGCAACTACGTCGGTACTCTCGGTGTGTTCCTTGTTAGATCTGATTTACATGCCACGGTCTAAATTATTCCGACAGACATCGTCGATAGCACTAACGAGACTACTGGCCCACCCGGCTTCGGACTGACGCCATCTTCAGAGCTCTCTCGTCGCACGAGCCCGGGTGGCGGAAACTACATCGGTTACCATGGTGCGTCTCTCGATAGTTCAACGCGCTGGCTGTCAAAAGTCTCAATATCGCATAGACATCGTCGATGGGGCCTAGTTCGAGTTGTAATGTTGCAGCGCCGCGACGCCGTCAGCTGAAGTGCAATAGTTCGAAGAGGTAAATCATGGAGGGCTTGAAGTAGAGAGATACGGAAGGCTGTATCTCCTATAGTGAACTTCAGGAGCGTGACCGTGTTGTGCCACCAGTGAAATGGTATTCGTCTCTTCAAGCTGCCGTCGGCGCCTTGAAATGCGCTCGCCAAGTATTTAGACGATCATGCAGAGTGTGTGATATGATAGCCACAGGCATCCTGCAAGAGCTTGCCGGAGGCACGGGTGTTTGTGTGTTCATTCAAGTTGAATGATTCAACTTCATTGCCAGTGAATGTGCTTCCCAAGTGAGCTCGAGCCTAAGCGAGCCCGATATTACATACTTACTTACTTAGAATCAGGTATGATCAGGATGCGGGTGCGTGGGAGAATATTGATGCAGGTGCCCTGGCTTTCTGCTCTTGTATCCTGGGTCTCGACTCTCAAGGAGGTTCAAGACCAAAGGGTAGGGAGGAATTCAGTCTTGTCTGTGTCAGCCCGCAAGCATCTTAGCTACCGCTACACGAACTTGCCTCGGTCGGTAGGGGTTCACAAGCACACTTCGATGTTATGTCTGCGGACGACTGACGCGTACGAAGATTAGAAACACCCTTATCCCACCGTACTTTCTATCCTCTTCGGGGTTGTACTTAGCGGGCAATCGCGCACGCCTCCGTCGCAGCCACGTAGGTGCCTTTACCCAACCAATCTCAAGGTTGAGCAAACACTGACTTGGATGGTGGCCGTGGCTAGATTCTTGAGCATTCAAGGGTAGCTTTGCTTCAGCGACTTCACCAAATTTACCAAACTGTCGTCTCCAGCCTCATTTAGGTTGCTTGCGGTAGCTCCAGTTCTGCCAGATCGCGAAGTCGCCGATACAGGGTCATACTAGCCTACGCACCATGGACTCAGCAGTACACAACCCTCGTGAGAGCTTCGTCCAGTACTGTGCAATGCGCTCACCAAGCACTGCTGCAGATCAACCGCCCGCTGACAGACTGATTACACCTCAGCCATTTGGATCGCGGACCGCGCTGCCACCCGAGCTATGGGACCACGTCATCGACGAGTTGTCGTCCAGTTTTCGAGCCCTTCGTGCATGCGGCCTGACGCAGCGATCGTGGGTCGCGAGGACTCGACGGCACCTGTTCAAAGCGGTCGGGCTGATGGGCGTCAATCGCTGTCGACAGTTTCGAGACATGCTCCACTCGTCTTTGTCGACTGGCACTGGAATAGGGCGATGCGTCCGCAAGCTTGTGCTCGTACAGGTTCGCCTGCGCCTCGATGTCCCTGAGGATTCTGAGGCGTCCGACATACCACTCCTGGAAGAAATCTTCTCGGCATTACCCAACGTTGGACATCTGCGACTGAGAGACGTCGTAGTCGAATGCATGCCGAAGATGCATCCAGGTGATGCCCTGGACGACGGATATCCCGCCAAGCCGCCTCGATCGCTGTTCACCCTGCCACGATTGCGGACGTTGCATATCCACTCGGTCTCGTTTGATTCGACCTCCGATATCATACTCCTTCTGGTCGCCTTCCCGCAAGTGTCGTCGCTGCAGCTACAAGATCTAACCCCCGCCTTTCCGGGCCAGCGCGTTGGCCGCCCCAGATACAGGAGAATAGGAAGGCCGACTCGTTGATCTGTATCAGGGAGTTGGGCATCCATCGTGCACACACACTGTCCTTGCTGAGCGCGCTTAGGCAGCCGCCTTTCAAGTGCGCCTTTAGGAAGCTGACTGGGCCGTGTCATATGACCAGGAAGAGGAGAATATTGTCAAGAAATGGTAGACGAATCGAGGGCACCCTGGAGGATCTCGTAGTGGACTGGTTCACGGACTCATTTCGTACGCACGTCTGTCAATGGTACCTATGTCTGCCTGACGCCCCGTATACCCGACAGTGTCTGAGACGATGGATCTGTCCCAGCATTCATGTCTCAAATCCCTCAGTGTTACTGCCATCCGCTCTGACTGCCTTGACAAGCCTAGCTTCAAGGTTCGACCGTCATACCTCACATTCCTCTCTCGCGCCCCCAGCAGTCTGCGGACCCTGCGCTTGCCGATCACCCTGTCGCTGGATGCGAATGACACCACTGAGTGGTCATTCATGGACTGGCCGAGCTTGGATGAAACATTGACGCTCCTGCACAAGAAGAACCCTTGCTTGACCGTCTCTATCGTTATTGATTTCCTCCTGCAGCCGGGTGACACGCGCTGGGTGCCAGACGTAGTGAAGTCGTCAGTGGTGCAGCCATTATCGACGTGGCTGCGTTCTTCTGTACTCGCAGGGTTGCCTGTCAGTGTGGTGTTCGGCGCGTACCCTCCTAGGCTCGAAAAGCCGGTGAAGAAATACTGCTGGGATTTACACACAATGGTGAGCACGCCTAATCATTTCTGTGTGCTCGGAATTGAAGGCGCAACGTTGGTAGAAGCGGGTGAACGGACGATCTTTTAAGTCTCTTTATTATTGTCCAGAGTAAGTGCTTGTCATATGCTTTCTTGCGTACTATGCATGTACTGCCGTCGAAGGAGATTTACTTGCAGACTTTGGTGCCCAAGTATAGTCGCGGAGAGATGAGTTGCGACTTTGTTTTTAGTATTCTAGTTGCTGCGGTTTCAAAAGCTCTGCAGTCGAGAGTACCGCATACGATAGCATGTTCGCCCAATCACAGCCTGAATCGTCTCTCGCCACAAGCGCGTGCAGCTCGCCTCGACTACTTATAGACTCGTGAGGAATTACTGAGCAGCGGCTGCAGATGGCCACGATCCCGGGCTGACCCACGGAGAGCAGCGAATCCCTGATAAAATTTCTTACCTGTGGTTCACAGCAGGCGGTCACTACGTACGACGCTGCCATCAGGTGTATGTAGTCTGACTAAGGTCGGGGCGTTGAACAGTGGGCAGCGATTGACTCGTCCATGACGAAGTTGCAATGATCCCAGTATGCTGGCGCCGCTGAAGCACGCTGCGTTGAACTACATATGTAGGCGAATCTTTCTGTCGTCGGGCATCCCGTTGTGCATGGAGTAGTACAGCTGAAGCTTCAGTGCTCCGGTGTGATCTGGCTTAAGTTGTCATCAGTTTCAGTGTACATCGGCCGGAAATGTCACGTCTGTGAAGACGCACTGCAGCACTTGAGTACTCGCTCAGAAATTTCCCAAGCAGGCCGAAAGCCTTGGAAAGACCGGGCCCGTGATACGGATACATTCTTTGCCACGACAGAGCTGGAACCAATCATCAGCGGAAGGTGGGCAGAGGGAGGATTGAGATTGACTGACCTGTAACTGAAACTCCATATTCTAACACCGGGTGATACATTTCAGCGTTCATGCCTTGCTAATCATGCGACCTCACTATCGACTTCAACTTGACTCCTTGACACCGTACTGCTCCCAGTATTCTTGCATGTGTTTCAGCTCCTCTGTGCGCCCGTGCTGCTCCAACCAGGTCATGAGATGCCTCATCTTTAGGATCGTCGGCACGCTGCCCTTGCCGCTCAAGATGCCCTCGACCTCGTCGATCATGCTCTGGCCCTCCCTGCCGACCTCCTCCCTATCCAGAAGCAGCACTGCACCCACGACATTTCCGCCCTCGCGCTTCACGATATCGATCGCGCCGCGGATCGCAGTGCCAGCGGTGGCGACGTCGTCCAGGATCAGTACTCGTTTGCCCTTCACCGGAGCGCCGACCGTGACCCCGCCCTCGCCGTGGTCCTTCGCCTCCTTGCGATCGTACGCGTATCCGACGTCGATGCCGTGATCGCGGTGCAAGAGAAGCGCGGTGCACGCGGCAAACGGGATACCCTTGTAGGCCGGTCCGAAGAGGATGTCGAACTCTGGCAAGCCGGCTTTGAGAGAGTCGGCGATGGTTTTGGCGTAGGCCGTACAGAGCGTGTCGAGCACTAGGCCGTCTGCGAGGAGTCCGGCGTTGAAGAAATACGGGGACTGCCTGATATTCTCGGATATCATGTCTGTGGATGACCGCTGCGGTGAATGGGCTCACCGTCCGGACTTGAGCGTGAAGGATCCAAACTTGAGGGCACCGACCGCCATCGAATGCTCGATGAGCTCGTTTTGGTATTTGTTCAGTGCGGCCATGACCGTTGCGTAGAGGAGAGGGGAAGAGATGACGTAGAGATGAGAGCAGCGAACAAGGATAAGGTTATAAATTAGTAGCAGCAAGATAAGTTGCCCAAGTTGGCCTCTGGCTTTGAGATCTTGAGATCTAGAGATCTGACGATCTGTGCAGTCGATCGTTCCGGTGTTGTGGTTTTCTCACGATCACCTGATGAATCTACGAGCTATTCGCAAGAACCATTCCAACCGAATCCCCTCCTCGTCCTCCTCCTCGTCTACTTCGGTTGAACTGCACTCTTCTAGTCTACAGTGAACCGCCGGGGACATAACTATCGCATCAGAGCGACGACCGCGGCGATGTATTGCCCTACGACACAAGGCTAGAATAACATCGTGCAAACGAGTGGGCCGCATTCGCAACCCACCATGGGCCTCAGCTTCCTCATGAATGTGGCCTACCTCCTCACAAGCCATAACCGAAGCGACGCCCCGCGAGACATCGAGAAGCAGGACCGTTCATCGATTCAAGCTCGCGAAAGCGACCGAAGTCCTCCAGATGCTTCATCAGATGACGAAGAAGACCAAAACCCTCCCTCTGCCTCGAGATCTCGTCCATTGCGACATTTCGGTACCATTGGCAGCACCCTATCAGGCCTAGGGCCGTCTGAGGATCCCAGTCGCACTCTGACCTCGTCCAGCTCCTCAGAACCACTCAAGCCGACTCTGGTCTCACGCGCGAGGACATTGTTCTTTCCCACAACGAGTCCTGGAGAGACTGCGCGCTATGTGCCCTACTATCGGTATTCGCCTATTATCTCCGGTGTCATCATACCGTTCTCGATTCTCCTCGAGATACCTGGCCTTACCGAGCATTGGTACATCCAGACGCAGGGTAACGAGACCGTGGACGTACGGCCGAACCCGGTGATTCTGGACGTAGGGCTGGCTTTCTCCATGGCTTGTGCTGTCTTCGCGAACGTCTGTCTCATTCTGAGGTTCTCCGAGAAGTGGATCAAGGCTACCACCCTGTTTTGTATCTTGTTCCTCACAATACACGGTCAGTCCTCGAAGTGTGTTTCTAGCATAGTCTGACACATAGCCCCGCAGACGCTATCAACATCGCTGCCGTGACTGCCTTCGGTGTTGTCCACCGCATAGATGACGGCTATACCTATGGTCAGTCATTCTGGATGATCCTGTGCTCGACCATAGCCTCTACGATCACGAATCTCAGCCTCATCGTCGACTACGTTCGCACAAAGGATTTCGCTAACAGCGGTATGCCATTTTCCCAATGCACTGTATCGCTCACTATATGCGCATTACAGGCAGCGGCTTGACGCGCAAGCAACGTTCGCTCGTTATCCTGGTGATCATCCTCCTGATGTACATCGCTCTGGGGGCGCTGATCAACTCGGTGATGCTCTCGCTCTCGTACATCAACGGGCTCTACTTTACCGTCGTCTCGATCGAGACCATCGGCTTCGGTGACATCCTCCCGGACAGCACAGGCAGCCGCGTCTGGATCTGCTTCTACATCGCGTTCGGGATCATCACGCTCGGAACTGTCATCACGCTTTGCCGCGACACGGTCCTGGAGGGGCTCGAGATCGGGTACCGCAAGCGGCTACGGCAGGTGCGCGCGCGGCGGCGCGAGGCACGGCGGTTCCGGCGGTGGCAGACGCGGTGGCGGCGCGCGATCGAGTGGCGGCTACGGCAGCAGGGCAGCGCGGTGTGGGTCGCGGACGCGCAGTGGCGGGAGGAGCAGGGCGTGCGCTTCGTCGGGCTCGGCGGGCCCATGGCAGGCGCGGGCGAGGAGTCGTGGGTGGTGCGCTTCCTCAAGTTCCCGCGGCTGCGCAGGCCCCCGCCCGAGGATCCCGCGCGCCGCCAGACGAAGCACATCGTCGGCCATCCGTTTGGCAAGCATCTCAACATCAACGCGCTGTCGGACGAGCAGCTGCACGCGGCGGCGCTCGAGGCGGGCGTGCCCTTGAACATGTTCGTCGACTTCAGTCCCGCGCACAAGGTCGCGCATGGAGATGAGCCCCCGCACCCCTCGGGCGGTGCACCTGCGGACGACGGGTGGCCCACGCATGTCGGCACGCCGACGGACGCGCAGCTCGGGCGCATGGCGTCTATACTCACGAAGATGGCTTTGGTCGTGAGTGGGCGCGAGATCCATGCACCAGGGCCGTCAGTCCGGCATAGGGAGGAGGTCATCGACACCATTGTCGAGGCTCAGGATGAGGAGCACGAGGCTGTGCGGGAGCGGAGGGAGACGACGATGGCTCACAGCAGTCGGAGGGCGGAAGAGCCGACGAGCCCTTTGCACGGCAAGTATATCGCTGCGCCGAAGTGGCTGAGGAAGTACGCCGCCGGTGCGCTGGCGGCGAAGCCGTATGCGATGCTCAAGAAGGAGATGCAGGATGAGGAGACGAGCGCGAACATCGTCAAGGCGAGTGATACTGGTTGCCTCAGGCGTCCCGTGGCTAACGATCCGTGCAGCTCGCGATAGCGTGGAGCGGCTTCTTCATATTCTGGTTTATCGGTTCCGCGATATTCAGTACCACCGAGGGTTGGTCGTATGCGATCGCCATGTACTTCTGTAAGTGTTCTTTGCGTTCGCTCGAACCTTTGCTCACCTCCGATGCGCAGGTTTCATTTGTTTCATGACAACAGGGTATGGTGACTACGCGCCAGTCACTCCAGCGGGCCGTTCCATCTTCGTCGTGTGGGCCTTGTTTGGTGTCGCCACCATGACTATCCTCGTAGCCGGTAAGCACCGGTTCTATTTCGTGAGCCGCAGCTATTGACGTTTCCGATCACAGTCATCGAGGACGCGTTCTCCGCCAAGTATCAGAATGCCATGCATTCGCAGGTGTTCGAGCGCGCCGTGCGCAAGTACCGCAGAGACACCGCAGACGAGGCAGCGGAGGTTCCGCACGCCGAGTATCAACTGCAACGCACGGCAGCAGACCGCATGCGTAACGTCGATGCCATACGCAAGGGCGAGGTCTCCGTCGAACCGGAGGCGCAGTCCATGGCTGCTATCCAGGCACAGATGGAGGAGGCGCACAAGAAAGCGCACAAGGAGCTGGAAGCCCTGCCGCACGAGATCATACGGCAGGCGCGGACGTTCCATGACTACATGCAGTTTTCGCCACGGGCGGCGGCCACGACGGCGATGGCCACGACGCGAGGAATGTGCCGAGGACGCTGAGACAGTTGCTGGATGAGATCGTGGCGAACGAGGATGCTGACGAGAGGGTCAAGCAGGAGATCCTGTCGGACGACGATGCCAAACATGTGCGTCTCCGTTCGCGTCCTTTGCTGTGCTGACCGCTGATGTTTGATCAATCCCCTCAGACCCTCTTATCTTGAGCATAGAACGTCAGTCATCTTCGAGTCATTGCTTCCTATCACAACTAACAGCATCTGTTGCAGGTGCCTTGAAAGCGATGATCCATTCCGCTGACAGCGCGTTACAAGCCCTCGCCGAACGTGACACACTGATGGCTATCCAGACCGAGCAGCGTGCAAATGCTCCCGGCGGCAGCCCCGAACTTGAAGCCGAAGAGGCTGAGCATATAGGCGAAGACGAGCAGACCGAGGACGACGAGAGCCCCCTGAGTAGCCCGGACTCTTCGACGCGCGACTCTGCAAGACATGCCCCCGTTCAGGAAGCGTCTCCGACGAGCTCGCCTCCGTCATCGACCCCTCCCGACTCCGTTTGCCACCTCGCCCGGTGAGGATACTCCGAACAACCATGTTCTGAACGGACAGTCTCCGCAATTGATTACGCCCACAAATCGATATGACACCTTCACGACTCAATGACGTCCACGCATCTCTTTATCGCATTTCTCTGCATGTGTGCCCCTATTGTATTTGCTAGCGTCTCAGGATTCCACGTCGGACATCTACTCATTTCTGTAACATCTACACCGATACGCTCATCATGCATTGCACATTCTTACACGACACAGCGGCAGTTGATTCACAGAATCCATGTACACTACAAGAGCGATGGCACGCAGGATCCGCCTGCGCAAGATAATGATAAAATCGCGCGACGCGCAAGGAATAAAAGAAGTACTGATGACCAGCGCACACGGTCCCCATAGTAAATTAGTATCTCAGAAAGCACGTCAGTTCAACGAAATCTCTTCCGTCTCCCCAAGATCATCGTCCCCCTCCGGAATATGCGGGGCGAGCTCCTTGTCCACAGGTGGTGGTGGCGGAACCTCGACGACAGACGGCGTGATGACCGGTACGGGCGACAGCTTTGCTTCCTCCGTCGATTCCCGGCGGCCAGCCGACACAGGCGGTGCGCTATCAGGCGGGTCCGCCGCCTCTTTAGGCGTCTGCACGTCAGGCCGCGGGGAGGCCGACTCCTTCTGTTGTGGCGGCGACGTCGGCGCACGCTCCTTGGGCACGGGCGGGACGGGCGGCGGGGGCTGGGACTGCGCAGGCGGGGGAAACTTAAAGTTCTTCGTCATCGTGCCCTTGCGTATGTGTCCCGGCGAGCGGCTCACGTTCAGTTCCTCGCTCTCCTCCTGCTCCTCTGGCATCGGCTCGAACCTGTGCGGGGCCGTCGCGGCGGGCGGCGAGGCGGACGAGACGCGCTGTGGAGGCATGGACTGCCGGTTCGCGGCGCGGGTGGGGTGCTGTTGCTGTGAGGGCGACGCGCTGTGGGCGCGCGGGAGGCTCGCTTGGGACATGGACTGTGGCCGAGAGAGCTGCGTGGGCGCGGGTGGTGTTGCGCCGAGGTAGTATGGGTGGATGGGCACCATTCTGCGTTGGCGCGTCAGCGGGCTCGGTACACTTCGCGTGTGATTAGCGGAAGGACGGTACTCACTTCTTCGCGGAGTGACACGCGAGGATCCAATGCGGCTGCACGACGGGGATGCTGAGCTGCAGCGCCTTTTGGTACTCTACGCCCGGCGCGGTGGTGAGGCCCCCCGACGCCGCGGCGCCGGTAGGCGTCGCGGCGGGGGTCGTGCACACGAAGTGCGTCGTATCGATCTCGATCTTCTCGCTCCACTTCGCGCCCATCTCCTGCAGCGCCATCTTTGAGTTTTCGAGCAGGACGGGGTCCTGCAAGTTCCCGAAGCACACGCAGATGCCCGAGGTGTCGGTCATGGTGTGCGTGCGCACGCGGAGGATGTTAGACGGGAACACGCCCGCGGTGGTGCGCAGGACGAGCTGGAAGGTGTACTCGGTGTCGATCTGGAGACCGGAGAGCTTCGTGGAGGTGTTGGTGAGGGGGGACGGGATGGCAGCGAGGCGTTGGCGATTACGGTAGATGTCGAGGGAACGCAGCTTCGCAGTGGCGAGTTTGAGGGTTGGCCATTCTAGTGTTACGGACGTCTGCGTGACGTTCCGTACCTTCCGGGAAACATTGCCTTTCCACCTCTCCATGAAGTAGACGGATCCTGCTCACCTCCAGCTTCGGGTTCTCGGGAGACTTGGTGCCATATGTCTGTAGGACGTCATTCTGCAGATTCCAAAAGTCCGTGTCGCGTCTCTTCTCTTCGGTGGTGTTGCGCTGTACTGAGATGTTGACTATGGAGCCTGTCGTCGCTCCGGGTGGTAGTAGCAAGGACGGGAACTCTATTAGGTGGGCCCGCTCCCCCAACAAGATCTATGGGAACACGGTCGATGTTCAGCTGGTTTCATGCACAATCAGGAGGAACTTACAGCCATCCCAGCATCTGGTTTATGGAGTGTCTCAGCATTCATCGCCACCAACTAGCCTGTCAGTGCCGGTACTCACCCAGCTTCCCCACCGTGAACATGAAGCTCTCCTGTGATTGAACCATGATATGCGTTCACTCTGTTAACTCCTAATCAGACCGTGGACTCGGATGGCTTCACGCGCGGGCCAGTGGGTATAGGAATGAGAGTGAGAAGCAGAGTTATACCGCAGCCTGCCAGGCCAGTGAGCTCAGGCTCGCGTCCCGCCACCGCGACAGGATCACATGATCTAATGCTTCCACGATAAGTTACGCGTCGCAGCCAGACCTCCAACCATTATCTCCCCAAGCAAGCTTGCTCGAGGCGCATGTCAAATCGGTCTGCGCTGCTCATAAATACGTGTAATTATGCCCCTACGCCTCAGAATTGAATATTGAAGCCTTGAAGTAGCATACATCCGACTACAAGACAAATAAGTAAGGACCACTGGCGTGCACGTTCGTTAGTATCTAGAGCCAGTGGCACTCCTCCGGCACAGACTCTGCTCCAGGTCCAGGAATGTATCCGCCCACAACCAGACGGACACGCAGTCCTGAACGCAGAGCGCAGGGTATCCGCGATCCCAGTGGCTGCGCCACCTGCGGCAAGCGGCTGATACCCTTCGGCAGACCGTAGTAGAGACGCACGTAGACGGTCAAGAGCGGATTTCTCGTGCAGGAGCGTGAGTGCTTCGTCCAGGCTCGGCCAATCCATGAACTGCCAAGGGGGAGTGCCATCAGGAGATAGCGAGAGGTCGACGGGTAGGTGAAGGGCTCGCAAGCTGCTAGGCGTGCGAGAGAGGAGTGGCGAAAGCGATGGGTGCAAGGCCGCAGAGTCAATGTCCATCATGCCCATGACAGCGACACGCAGGGATTTGAGGCGGGAGTGCCGGGACAGATCCATCTTCTCAAACACTGTCGGGGATGTCAGTCGACAGTGTCGCATAGTAACAGACGAGAGAAATGCGTACGATCGGATTTTGGACCACAGTGAACTTCCAGTTCTTCTAAGGTGCTCTCAGATTCTCCGATCACCTCTAACAGGACAGGAACTTCATCGAGCGACGAGAATAGCGCACAAATGAGCTTCTGCAAGGCGAATTTGAATTTGAAGGGCGGTCGCCTGAGCGCACCCAACAACCCCACCGTATCCGTCAAAGCGGCGAAACTCAATTCCTGAATACACATCGTGTGGCCAGCCTTGCCCACGCTCGTCGCTGGTCGTGGCTGACGTGTCGGCAGGTAAAGCACATGCTTGAGCTGCAACGAAGAGGCCTGCGGAAAAGCGGCGAGCAGACGCATTGTGTCGGAGGGCGAGTCGAATACAATTGACATGAGGTGCAGTGCCCGTAGCTTGGGCAGGGTGAACAAAGGTCGAAGCGTCTTCTCGGAGGATTCCTCATCCAACCCATCGTCGGCGTGCATCTTCCGGGGCCCACATTTGACGTCCACGGCAACCAATCGCAGACAGTCGATGTTGGGCAACCTCGAGAGCATCTCCTCGATGAGCGGTATATCGGACGCCTCCCGGTCATCAAGGGCATCGAGACGTAGGCGGACCTTCGTGAGTGTGACATCGCAGACACATTGCGTTATTCCGGTGTCGATTGACGAGGACGAAAGGATGATGTCCAGGAACTGTTCACAGCCGGCAGCGCCCTTCAGCTCGATCGCTTTGAAAAGGTGCCGCCGGGTCGTCGCGACCCATGCACGCTGTGTGAGGCCGCACGCTCGGAGGGCTGAGCGGTCAGACGACGATTCTTCGATGATGTAGTCCCATAGCTCGGGTGGTAGCTCGATCTGCGAAGTTGGCGGTTCCATCGGATTGATGACGATGGGCGTATGGGTGCACCGAGTATAGCTATAGGTCCATTGTAAGCGTATCGCAGATACAACGTTCAAGCGCAGCTCTCACGGAGGGATCTATGTGAGTCTTGTGGCCACTGAACGTCTTGACTCGCTAGGTGCCGCAGTCAACGTGTGAGGCCTGAGGTTGTCGCAAGCAGTCAGGCGGCCCGCTTATAGCCTTCACACTGCAGCAAAAGCAGACGTTGAATGAGCCATTTGCCATCGATGCTGGGGTCACGGCCACACGCACCTCACGATTGTCGGAATAGGCCCAAACTTGCTGTGACAAAGGGGCGCCGCACTCGAAGAGGAGTGTGAGAGCAACTCGGATGAGCGTCTGGTATGAATCACTGTTCAACGTTCAACGCTCGATTTGGACGGTGCTGGCGGCAGCGCAGCGTATTAGTCCGTAACGAACGCCTGTGGATGGGAAATAAAGGTAGGGGGCTCCGTAGATGCAGACACGATGAAACGAGACTGATCAGGAATCATAGTAACAACTGCAGGTTGTGCAGCGTCGCTCTCTGTGATCCGCCCCGTACTGTGATGACAGGTCCGCAATTCAGCGGTTTCCCAGAGCCTCTCAATCTACATTGTGAATTATCCATGATAGAGGTGAGGCACATGTGTTTTGCAGCGGATTCGACTTCTAGTGGGCCAATGTTGGTTGTAAGCATGGCATCTATGACATCGTACACGACATTCGTGGATCAACTCGAGCCTCAGCCTAAAGGTCTCCGAATTCTCCGTCGACCAGAGTATACCATGACAGATACTGGCTGCAGCGTGCAGAACTTGTGGGCTTCATACCTGTGTGTCTGCTTCTTTCTGCCGAATGCCATATGTTCAGCTTCAAGCAGACCCGAAAAAGTATGCGTACTTACGATCTCCTCCAATTTCCAGAGGTAACGTACCTTCGGTGTTCCGTCGGGCGAACAACCAGGTCGCTGCTCTTCCGGTACCAATGCCTGGGAACCAAACACCAGATGGACACGCAGCCCTGCAAGTAGAGAGCAATGCAGCCGTGACAGCAGTGGCAGCACCACCAACGACTTGACCACCCGTGGAGTCCAGCGTCTGTCCCCCCGCTCCAGACCGACGGTCAAGATTATGGAGACGACCAAGTGGGGGTTTCGCTTGTGCAGGAGCACGAGCGTTTCATCAAAGCTCGGCCAATCCATGAATGACCACTCAGGGGTGCCCTCTGAATGCACTATCTGAGTGATAGGCACGTGGAGGGTCCGCAGACTATTGGGAGTGCGAGAGAGAAACGCTAGAAACGTCGGCGGAAACGCATAGGTAGGCGCGTCAGCGATTAAAGAGCGCATTACAAAGACATTTAGGAGCTTGAGGAGCGAGTGCTGGGATAGATCCATTGTCTCGAGCACTGTCAGGGACATTGGTTGTGAATCATATGTCGCAGTCATCGAGAACGTACGTACGGCCTGAATTCACCGCACAGTGCATTCCGAGATCCTCCAAGGTGTCCTTCGCTTCGTCCACCATTCCTTGGAAGGACGTCTCCACTGCTTGGTCACTTAACCAGCCCAACGCAAGCTTCTGGAAGGCGCATTTGAAAGGCGGTTGCCTAAGCACACTTAGCACCCACAAGGGCACTGGGTGCGTCGACGAGGCGATCGACATCTCCCGGATACAGATCTTAGAGTCCGAGGTGGCATTTCTGTTTGCCGGTAATCGCGCGGGCCCATGGAGTAGTAGGCTCTGTAGAGGAGGACGCAATTCCCGCAGATGCAGGCATGACACTTGCGGAAAAGCGATGAGAAGGAGCAAGATGTCAGACGCCGAATCCAATGTGGTTGACATAACGTGTAGCGTCTGCAACCACAGTAAGGTGAACAGTGATTGAGGCGGCTTATCGGGGTATTCGTCGTCCAAGGCGTCGCCCGCGCGCATCGTCGGCCTACATTTGACATCCACGCCAACTAGCCGCAAGCAATTCACGTTGGGCAATGCCGAGAGTACTTTTTCCAGGAGTGGTATGTCGGACGCCTCGGGATCCTCAGGAACATCGAGACGTAGGCAGAATGCGGTGAGTGTGACATCGCGGACGCACTGCGCCACTCCAGTGCCAGTCGATGAGGATGAACGGATGATGTGTTGTAATGCTCTACAGCGATCGACGCCCTTCAGCGAGACCGCCTTGAACAGGTATCGCCGCGTCCTTGGTACCCATGCCCGCTGTGTCAATGCGCAGGCTCGGAGGGTCGGAAAATTGGATGACAGCTCGTCGATGATGTCGTCCCATAGTTCGGATGGCAGCGCAACGTGTAATGGTTGCGAGCCCATCGCACTAGACAATATACAGGTGCGTGCGCAGCCTCCAGCCAATTCGTGAGTGCATTACGGATGCGACGGTAAAAGCAGCTCTCACTGAATGACAGGTCTTTAAGCCGCGGTACATTCACGTCTTGACCAAGAGTTCGCGTTCAGCGTAGCTGCGCGAATGCCAGACCTAACGGCCTCAAAATGACCTGAGATTTGATTTCAATGACACTACACGCCGAATTGGATCTGTTAGAGAAAATCCCGCCAAATTGTAGGACATACCTGCGAGGCAGAGGGAGGCAGCGAGACCCTTGTGAGAGGAGGTAGTTAGAGACCCCTGATCAATCGATGCGGGTCCTCCATAAAAACTCTAAGTGACCGGCGGACGTTCCATTCACGTGTCCGTGATTCTAAGTCACGCAATCATGCCTGTGGCGCTATGCCGCATAGTATGCATGTCTATGTGCCAGTAACATAAGTAGCCGACGATGCTGCAACGGGATTGACAGCGCGATACAGACTCACGAAAACTTTTGAAAGTAGAGAGTGTACAATGCATCCTGGCTCCGGCATGCGAGCGTCGATACACCACACCATCGCACTACATGAGGTCATGCCAATAACAAACAGCTAGTAGCGATGTCTCGTCACTTGACGAGACCGTTCCTAGCGTCCGAATCGGTACAGCCTGAGACATCACCGAGCACTCGCGAGAGTGGCAAGCGTGTTCAGAATTCGAGGAGTGTGAAAGAGGAAGAGATTGGGTTGACAACAAGCGATACGAGTCGACGTTCAGCGTAGACTGCGACCTGCGGCCTACGATTGGAGTCAGCAGTCCGTCGGGCGTATGGGGGGAAGTACTATGCATACCTCATCGTCTCAGTTGCAGTCAAACTCCCAATAAGCCCGGTGTAAAGCACGCGCTGCTGTTCAACAAGGATCAGACAAGGGCTAGATATCAAGATAGAGCAGCTTACCGCGCAATCATTCCACGGCATCATGAGGTATAGGAAGCCAGCAGGACATTCCGGAGGCAGCAAGAGGACGAGTGGGCCGATTTTCCTTCGCCACGACTTTGATTCTCATGCCCGCAAGCAGGGTGTTACGTAGCCGATCCGTCAACGGTCCGACGACATCGGGAATAGTTTCTCCTTCGCGAATACACAATGAGAGATCGAAGGTTACCCGCAACGCAGGTTGGTTCTTCGCGAGGATGGCTAGAGAGCGATCGAGGGCCGGCCAATCGAAAAACTCCCAGAGCATAGGCTCCGTACGGGGTACGGAGAGCACCATGTAGATGATAAGGCGGCGCAAACATTCGAGATGGAGACGAGACAGGAAGGTGGGAATGACAGTGTGCGGCTTGTCACCTGCAACGAAGCGACGGAATGAGAAGCCAAGAAGAAGGGTGTGCAGCCTGGCGTGCTTTGTCAAGTCGCCCTCTCGCAGGACTAGACACAGTAGTGAGTTCAATGCATTGAGTCGCGCCACAAGTATACTCACATGAGTCGTCGACTCGCTTCCCAACCATTAGGTATAGATGTTCGAGAGACTGCTCTGATAACTTGATGACATCGAACAAGGTAGGGTCGTCGTCAGTGCAGCTCCAGGACACCTTCCGTAGACGAAGCTCGAATGGATACCGTGATAAACCACGTAGGACGGTCGCCATGCCTTTGATACCAAGGACCCCTACAACGAGGGTTTTGATGATCATAAGAGCGGTAATGCTTGCTGTGTCATTTGCCTTGACATCTAGTGTCGAGTCTAGTGGTTGGTCGAAGTGTATGCCCCCGAGTTCTAGACTCGCGAGAGACGGGAAGCATGTACAGAGCGCCCAAAAGTCTGCCCAAGTCATGAAAGACACCCAGACAATGCTGAGGCTCGAGATTCTAGACGAAGAGAACAGAGGGCCTATAGAGGTAGCATTGATATCCACCTGTTCATCGACGGAAGCCCCGGAAGCCAAGGCGACGAGCTCATTGTAGTTGCAAGAGAACAGATGCAATGATACGATGTTCGGCAGGTGACGAAACGCCCATCGAGCAGCGTCGCGTCATTCAGGCCGGGCATTGCTATAAGCTTTGAACTTGACAGTCCGCACATAGTCTTGTACGTTGGTACCTGCCGCTACCGACGACTTCAGGATGGCGACGAAGGAGATCGACTTCTGCAAGTTTGACGGCTCGAAGAGACGACGGCGAGCCCACTTCTCCCACGCACAGCAAGTCAGACTGCACGCAGAGAGAGAACGATGGTCGTGGCAGAGGTCCAGTATGTTTTGGCAAAGTTCCGGCGGGAAGACTGGCACCGACATGGTACTCTGCGTAGGCCATACGAAGAACCACATATATGCGTGACCTTACTTGAGCTCTTATATGAGGACAGCACATACAACGACGCACCGGAACAGACGATGCCATCTTCGCGCTAAAGCCTGGCGTAAATCCCCTCCAACAATCCTCCTCCGACTGGACGATTTAGCACAGCTAGGGAGCGCAAACACCAGACAGTCCGGGGGGTAAGTCTGAGGCCACGAAGCCCGGTTGCAGGTCCAGTATAGGATAGACAACCACGATGCGGTAGTCGTTGGGAGACAGCGCGACTCTGAGGAGCGGCGAGCAGTGACCCTCTTCAAGCAGCCACAAGCGTGTGGCCGTGGCTTCAGATTCAGATCGGGGCGGACGTACCCAACGTAAATAAGTAAGTTCTTTCCATTCCGGAAATTTACGCGTGCCAACGTACTACGCCGCTATGATACTATGCCATCTGTGAGTTGATCCATTTACTTATATAGGACCTGGCGAGTCATTCAAAGTATGATGTGATTGAGCACAGTATGTTCTGTTCGACGCGTCGTTGACATATGATGCCACGAATGAACACTCAGGCTGCTGGCAGGAGATGATGCTGCTCAGGCTGTTCAACTTCAAGTTGTATTGCTAACCTGCAGTATTATCCGTAATTTGGGCGCAAGCGGCACCTGTCGCTAAGATACTGTCATTATAGAATCACTTCTTCCAGAAGCTCCGTTCCACGACTCTGAAGCACGGGTACAAAATGCATATGACACAGCTACCCACGATGATGCCTATGTCGCCGCTTCCTGCCTTTGCTATGGGCCCGATATACCAAGCCTGGTCCATGCTGGGAATAATGATCCCGAAGGCGCACAAGAAGGCCAATGTGGCAGCCACACCAAGAGGCAACTTGCGGGGTTGATCCCACGCGCCAAGGTCGTACGAGTCGAAGTCGTTCTTGCGGAAGATGAAGTGTTCCACAAGGATCATCACTCCGTGAACGACACTCCAGTACCCGATGAGACCTGAGATCATACGGGTCAATGGGTGATGAAACGGGACGACCGCGGCTCATACTCATGATGTCTGTGAACGTGGTATAGAACCGTGTTGCGCATACGATACCCACGCCGACCAAGCTACCAAGTACGCAGATTGTCAGCGGGAAGAGCGCGCCTAAGTCGCAGATCGCCATAAGTAGACTCACATGGCCGCAGACACAGTAGCGTACACATATCTTGGCACCTTCGCGAAGTAATAGCTGATCGTCATCAAGCTCGACGAGAAGGTGTACATTGTCGGTGCACAAGCGCTCGGGATTGTCAGCGCACACAAAGCGGTCATGAACTTCCCGAATCCTCCGGCTGGAGAGAGGATGGCTTCGAAAAGCCCGCCGACATTGTTGCCATTGTCGAATCCTGCCTGCCACGTTGCATCGCTTCCAGAGAGCGCCACCGCTGCAAACGCGGCACCCAACATATGGCCTGTGATCTATAAAGTAAGACTTCAGCATAATCACTGAACCTCAGGGATTGTCAATGGACGTACACTGGCGATCAGGAAACCAGCGTAAGCATATAAGAACACTCGAAGCCTGTGGTTCTGACATTAGCGTCGAGACCATTTGTTCAGCAGCCCCTGCCAACACGTACTGCGATGCGCTTGCCGAGTGATAGACACCATAGTCAGATGTCATCGTACACCAGCTGATCACACTGGACGCTGTTACAGTCGCAAATGTAATGACAGCGGACGCGGAAATTGGTTCGGAAGCGGGAGCGTTGTAGAGGTGTTTCCCTCCAATGCCCAAGAGCATGATGAATGCAACGACGTTCGGTATCCAGGCGACGCTCTCGTACCTGAATGGAGGCTCAGGCATTCAGCGTCGTGTCAATAGAGGCCAGATATTTGTGCTACACTGACCAGTGAATGACTCTGTATCCACAGAACGACACCTGGCGAACGTGAGCACGACGTACGTGGTGATGCGACATGAGCTCACCAGCAGTGATAATACGGCGATGATTACAATGCCTACGGTGTCATCCAAATGTCCACTGGACACGCTTGCGAGCATCTGGCCACCAATGATGGTATTCAAGATGAGAAAGCCTTCCATGGTGAAGACGTTGAGTGCGCTCGGAAGCATGGCGCCGTAGTAGCTTGATAATCGTGAACATACTCGACGATGGTAAGTATCAGCGGTATCACATACCCCCAGGTATAACGCGCTTGGACCATAGAACGGATACCGAGCTTTGGCCCGAACACCGCACTGAGTAGCGTGAGCGACATATCCGCGATCTCGCGCCAGCAAACGTACAAGTAAGCCGGTATGATGCATGATCTGCGGAAATCAAAGTCAATAGCAACTCGACTGATGGGTGCATATGACACTCACATGATATCGACAATGAGGAGGATTATAAGCGACTCCCGAAGGCCAAGTCCATAGAAAGCCGGTCCTACGGTGCCAGTCCCGAAGCTGTTGCAATTAAATTTTACACGTGAAGGCAAACATCGTGATGAGAAATGCATACGCAAGCACGTTCATGTTCGCTGTGAACCAGACAAAAAAGAGCTGATACAATCTGCCATCCGTCCTTTCGGAAGGAGGGATGGGATCAATGCTAGATTGTGATGATCATCAAGTGTCATCTAGCATTATACATGTTGGAAAATCTCACCCATTCGTCTCAATCCCCCAGCGTGTCAGCGCGTGAGTGACCCTCTCAAAAAACCCGCGTTGCTCAGGGTGCAGGGACGGTGTCCTCTCACTGGCGCTGAGCTCTTGCACGCCGAGGTCGGATTTCTTCTCATCAACGGGAGTCTCCATCTATCACATCACATGATAAGTTCTCGGCAGTCTTCGTACAACAGAAGACACAAACATACCGTCGCTTTGTGCTTCGCACCCGGTGGGTGTTGAGGGAAGAAGCCAGAGGGGCGGAGGTAAAGAGGCGCCGATAGAAGGCATGGATGGCGCTTGATGTAGGAAAACGAAGCGGAAGATGCCCACGCACCGCGCGGTTGTTCGATGACAGGGAGTAAGTTCAGTCAAATTGACGGTTCAGATAAGGCTGGACAGGCAGTATTTGGGGTATGTGTATACAGCGAAGATACCTCCCAGCGAGTGCGAGCGACGGCGTAAGGAAATGAGGTAGCACATCTGAGACATGAGCGACAAAGTCTTTATGTCGAATACCCGCCCGGCGCAGGCGGAGTATCGTCTCGAACTTTCTTGTCTAGAACGCGCTTCTAGAACTTCTCGCAAAGCTAATCGTGACACTCACGTAGTTAGCAGTGCTCGAGTGGACGCCCTCGACAACACCATACCTCTTCGAACCGTTGATGGTCCCAGTGCATTTGTACCTTGTCAATGGTTCCACGGGGTATCCACCATTCCAGAAATGCAAAGAACAGACAGTCGACCAAGAGGATAATCGTAAAGATTGGTCCTGCAAATCGTCCCAGCTCCAGCGTCCTGAGTGCTCGGTATGTGACTCCATCGATCGCGAGGGATGGGTAAAAGTCACCTACCGTTGCAGTCTGACCCAGAAGGACCGAGGACGCGTTCGCATGACATTGGAGTAAACTCGCTCCGTTCGCTCTGCTATTTGCGCCCAGTCGTAGAACTGCTTCACGCGTGCATGTGCTCGAGCGGGATCGTGTTGGCCTTTGGAGACGATATCGATGGCTTCGGCCATGGCTCGTACCACATCTAGTTATTTCGGCCAATAAGTGGGTTTTCATGGAGGACCACAGGGCCTGGGACATACCATCTTCGTCGGGGTTGGCAAACGACATCATATCGTCAGGAAGGATCTCCGGGACGCCTCCGACGCGAGTCGCGACAACGTATAGCCCCGCGCAAGCCGCCTCAAGGATAGCGATGCCAAAGGACTCTGTGAGTGATGTGTTCAAGAAGATAGACCCCGGGTTAGCACCTTAACATGGGACATCGTCCAATGAGTGAATGAAACATTATCTCGACCGACAAACGTCTTACGTCGGGAACGTCGCTGTGACGAACAGAGCCCAACATCTCGATCCGATCTTGAAGTGTGTGTTTCTCCCTCATCTGTAGAAGATCAATCATTTTTGGACCATCTGCTCCTGCGTCGCTTTTCAAGATTTTGCTGCACAATGATGGAAGCGAGTACTTGCCTATGACGAACTTCACGTTGGGGAACAAGGCGCATATCCGTGGCGCAGTCGCGACCAGAAGATCTATGCCCTTCCGATACGCCAGACGAGATATGACCACTATTGTCACTGTTCACAACCGCAATTATCAGAAAGGCAGTCGCCGAATTGAAGCAGTCGTGAATGAATGACCTTCGTTTGTCTTCTTAGCATTTGGATCAGGTTTGAATTGATCTGCGACTAGGGCGTTCGGGATGACATATACACACTCTGGTGGTAGTCTTGCGCGTAGAACTGTGTTCTCGCGTCTAAAGACGCGTCGTCAAACGTTGGACAAGCAGAGAAGGCGTGTTACGAACCCCGTATGCGAGACGCAGATAGCGGCATCTACATTTCGGAGAGCGGCTTCCAATAGTTTGTTCGTCAGGATACTCGCAGCATCGTCAAAGCCAAAGAGACTATGATCAGTGAAGACGGTGCGTACACCCATATGATGCGCGTGTAGTATCCCTTCGTGCCCGAGAGCAGAAAGACTGGCATGAGCGTGTATGAGCTCCACTCCCTCTCGCAGGACGATAGTGCGCAAGTAAGGGAGGAAGGTCAGAAAGTTCGGTAGAGTGGCGGACGAGGCGATCGTCGGGAAGGGCACGTAGTAGACTTTCAACCCAGGGAGTAGCCATCGGATGCCGACGCGATCCGGAGGATGACTGTGCGTAATGACTATCACCTATCATTCGTGTTGGCAAGCTGAAGACATAAAGGCGTCACACTTACCCTATGCCCTCGCTTGATGAGGTTGGCACTGAGCATGTAAATGTGGCTCTCGACACCGCCCACATTTGGGTGGAAAAAGTCACAGACCATCCTACCATCATGTTAGTATAGCCAATGACTTATCAAGAAACAACCCGTACGCTATCACGCACGATAGCCTGTCGTGCATGTTCATTGCAATCGACGCCTTTGCACATATTCATGCGAATGGCATGAGTTGGATATGAGTCTCAGACTCTACCAGTGACAAGACCCTGGCCGTCGGAAGCGGACGCAATTGACACAGCACGGATCTCAGCAAGTGTTTACTCTCATAACCGAAGGCTCAATGGTGTAGTGGTTATCACACCTGTCTTACAAAATGGACACAGGTGGTCGCCGGTTCGATCCCGGCTTGAGTCATATTTTTGTTTTAACCTTCAGATCAAGAGCTTGTGTCGCAGAACCAGAAGTGGTGGCTAGCCTTGTGTCATATCTGATCAAACCGGAGGCCTACTTTATCACGGGTTCATCGCGGTGCGTGGTGTGATACGTGAAAGCATCTCGGTGAACGACGGGACTTGGGCGGGACGTTGTCCGGCTAGCGAACTGACAAGAAACAGGTGTCTTCAGACACGTAGCCCCATCGTGGCATGAACTCGTATACTTAGCCAATTGTATACTACATAGCAACGTTCACAACTGAGCAGCGCACCGAGAGTCTCAAAGTTTCGGCAAAGGCGCTTTGACGATAGCCGCCATCATCTGGTACTGCTCTTCCGAGTAGGGCATATATCGGCCACCCATGAATGGCTCCGCACTGGTAGACGTTTAGTTAGTCACGATGTCCGAGTAGACGAAGTCGGCACGTACGCAGGCGGGACGTTGATGTAGCTCCGTAGGTGCGTGAACGTGTCGAAGCTGTATTTCCCACCCCATCTACCGTCTAGTAGAAGCTATCATCAGCATCATCGGGCAGTCCCGCAGCAAGGGCGACGTACGGCCAGAGTCGCGGAAGCCACCGAACGGCATTTCGTACACTGCAGCGGATCAGTTCACTTCATGCAGTCTGGCTGAAGGGTTAGGGAGAAACGTACAGGTTAGCTGACTCGTCGTGTCGTTGACGACAAGTGCACCACTGCTCGCGCGCTGTAAGACTACACGGTGCGCTGAGTCTCTCGAGCCAACTTAGCACAGAGTAGGACTTACATTGCTGCTTCACGTCCTCGCTGTTTGTGAACAAGTAGATGACCAATGGGACCGCCCTGGCCCGCGAAGCGGTCAGCAGCCGCTGCGACGACAACGCCCGCGGAATCGCATTACGTACTGCTCATTCATCAACCTTATCGTTTCTTCCGTGTTATCCACAGGAACCAGTGGCAGGATCGGTCCAAACAGCTCTCTGCGTACATGATCAGCCTTCATCTCCGCACCGGCGCCGTCACGTAGATGTGCAGGCAGCATGCCTCACGTCTTTGGCACTCACTCTTCCATTAACGCGTCGCCCGGCGCCACGTTCTTCACAATCGCTGGCGCGATCCGCGTCTCGCCGTCGTACTCGCCGCCCTTGACAATCTCGCCTTTCGTACGCGCCAGCAGCGCGCGCAGCCGGGCGTGGTGCAGCGGGTTCACGATCTTGCCCCAGCGCGCGGACGCGTGCAAGGGACCTTTCGGCCAGAACGAATTGTAATGCCTGAGCAACGCAGCAACGAACGCGTCCTGCTTCGCCCGGGGTACGTAGACATGGTCAGGGGACACGCAGAGCTGAAAAGGGAGAGTGCACGTTCAGACAAATTCCATTCAACGTCAGAGGAATGTATTGAGCTCAGACACACCTGTCCGCTGTTCTGCCCCTTTCCGTGCAGCACGCGCTTGGCCACCAAGTCGAGGTCCGCGTCGTCCGCGATCACGACGGGCGACTTGCCGCCGAGTTCGAGCGTCACCGGCGTCGCGTGCTTTGCCGCTGCGGCGGCGATGATGCGCCCCGTCCTGCCGCTGCCCGTGAACACGATGTGGTCCCACCTAAGCTCGAGCAGGTGCGTCGTCTCGGGGACCGCGCCGTTCAGCACCGCGTACGCGTCGGGGTCGAGGTACGTTGTGAAGAGGTCTTCCATGAGCTTGGACGAGGCAGGGGCGAGCTCGGAGGGCTTAATCACGCAGGTGCAGCCCGCCGCGATGGCGCCTATGAACGGTCCAAGGTTCAGGACGTATGGGTAATTCCAGGGTCTGAGCCGGGCGGAATGAGCGATTCAGTGCCGGGTTGGGACGCTCGGCCCTCGGCACTCACCCGATGACCAGGGCTACTCCCTGCGGAACCTTATACACCGTCGCGTCCCAGCCCTTTTTGAAGTCTTCCACGACGTCCACTTGCTCGGGCGCGTCCATTCCACGACGTTGTCGATTGCATACCTCACTCCGGCGACCACGCCGTTCAGTTCGCCTACCGCTTCGAGCTTAGGCTTGCCGAGGTCGCTATTGACCGCCGCCTCCAGGGCAGACAGGTTCTCCTGCACGAGTCGCCCAAGCTGGGAGAGCTGCTTGCGGCGGTATTCTATCGGCCTGGTCTTACCAGTATTGAAAGTCGTCCGCAACCTTTCGTAGACCTATATGAAATAAGTCAGTTCCGACATCGTGGTTACGGCTCATCTCGCCAGCCAAAACCCGCTCCACAGTGCTCGCGCGGGCGGTCTATCGTTTCTACAACGGCTGAAACCACCAAAATCCGCGCGAAATGCAGAGCAGAGGATTCCACCGATGCGACCAATGGGCTCCAAGCGGTTGGCATGACCAATCTGGTCAAAAACGTGACGGGCACCGCAAAAATGACCAGTCAATTCTAATGTCGTGCATTTCTCGCGGATTTCACTGCTGCAATCCGTGCGGAGGCATCGTCCACGCAAGATCCAGTGTTAATTTAACCCGAGCGTGTCAAAAAAGCTCACCTCGTTGATCTCGTTAAGAGAGTGGTATCGCAGTTGAGTGGACGACATGCTGGATGAGTAATGTCGTGGCTGCAAGGACTGCTAGTTATATAGCCGCTGACCAATGCTTCCGACACACTGTGGCACGGAAGCAAGTCCTTGGAAAAATCCAGCATCAACGAGGGTACTGGCAGTAGTGCGGTGAGAATGTCAGGGCCTTACGGGGATGGGATGGCAGCGCGATAACGGACACTGGCGCGAGACCACCGGCTATGAGAGTACTGAGAAGGGTGCGGGCGACGAGGGTCGTTGCTGGTCGTTGTTTCTCTTCAAGTTGCGAGGTGGCTGCTCTTTCATGCGTCCGAGCCATGCATCCGAGCCATGCATGCATCCGAGCCTGTTGCGATGGGTCTGGTCTTGGCATCGAGTCTTTGCGTGCATGTAATGAATGCAACGGACGGTAAAGTTAACCTTCTGGCGTTGGAAGACTAGAAAGACGCGGTGCTGAGCAGGATGGGTATGTAGTGCGCCGCTGACAGTGATGTGTATAGATTGTGCACGACCAATTCCAGCTAAGTATTTGCATAACAACAGACCCTAGTCTCCGTTGCATAAGTACCATAAAAGAACGGCAAGCGCTTTACCGGGCCCCGGCATGCAGACACTGAGACAGATTGGCAGACGGACTCAACGACGCTTCGCTTGAGAGCAAGCGCCAGCCTGTCGCCGTCAATTGGCCGCGCATATCGAACCCAAGGCGATTTGAGCGCGAGCCGCAACCGGGCCCCGACCATATCATAGTTTAATACACGAGGGGCCCGTGTCTAATATGTTATGCAAATAGATGTATGGTATGGAGCGAGCATAATCCGACAGATGCAGGGTCCAAAAACATGGTTCAGTCCGGGCTCGAACCGGAGACCTCCTGTGTACGTCACCATGTGAGACAGACGTGATAACCAACTACACCACTGAACCTTGTTCGATGGCGCATCTGCTATACCACGGGCTGACCCCAAAGATGCTTCTCCGTCATTATCGGAGACTACCCTTGCAGCGTTTGCATCGCCAAGCTGCGAGTTGCACTGTTGCAAGACCCACACAAATCACTACTGGCCCCAGTCCGCATCAAGGGCCTCCGTAGAACTTGACTGTTTGGATCAGCTCCGAACCCAGCAGTGGGGGCATTCATGATCGGGACTCGTTCTGCAGCCATGGTTAACTCGGACAAAGACAAACCACGAACAGTCCTGCTCTTGGTCGGTTTGATAGGGTCAGGGAAGGTGCGCAGTACGCGACACAACACTCTGCCTGTGAAAATCAGGATGATTGACCGTGTCTTATCCAGTCGACCTTCGCCCAGGCGTTAGAACAACACATCCCGCATTATAGACGGTGCAACCAGGATGACCTCGGCAGCAGACCGCGCGTGGAGGCCCTCGCGCGACAGAGTTTAGGTGAGGGTCTGTCGGTATGTATCGACCGGTCGAACTTCGATGCCCGGTGAGTCGCTGTGCTATGCAACGGAAGGAGAGTTGTATCTGGGAGCGGGCCTGCCAGGCACAGTGCTTATGCGTGGCAGGCAGCGGGCAACGTGGATAAACATCGCGCGCGAGTTCCCGGGGACGGACGCATGGGTCCTCGTCTTCGACACACCATACGAGGTGAGTATTGACCCCACGCATCGAACGAGGTGCCTCATCACGATGGAACTTGACCATCGCACCTACCTATTAGGTATGCGCACAACGCCTGCAACAACGTAAGTCCCCTCGCTCCTCCTACCACCACCGTCTCCACCCCGTCCCACAGGCACAGACCACCCCACAATCAAAACCCCCACCGATGCCCTCGTCATCCTCTCCCGCTTCCACTCCCAATACCAAGCCCCGTCTTCTTACGAAGGCTACGCCCGCCTCCTCAGCCTCCCGCCTGCCGAGCAGCGCGCCGAGTACACGCGCGAGGATGTCCAGGACATCCTCGACCGCTTGCGTGACGCGACGCCCCCGCCGGAGCCGCAAACCCGGATTGATGCATTCTTCTCTGATGCGGGGAGGGGGTACAGCGGGCAGAGGGGGTGGCGGGGGAGTGGTGGGCGTGGGTTCAGGGGTGGTGGGCGAGGCTTCGGGGGCGGTGGGTATCGGGGTTTCCGCGGTGCGTCGAGTGCGGGAAGGGCGAGCGCATATACGCTTTACGATAGACCGAGAGGCTGGTCTGCGGAGGGAGGTTCTGCGCCGCGTCAGAGGCAATCGACGGATCATGATGGGCACCACGGACGTGCAGAGGCGGATTCGTGGAGGCGGGATAATACGCGGCCAGAGCACTAGGGTAATCAGTTGAAAGTACCCTGCCGAGCAAGGCTGCTGTCCCCTTGTCTATCTGGTGATTGCTCTGTAAGAAAGGTTTGACGGCTGAACGTTACATGCGCGACTTTGCCCACGGCGGAGAGCTGCAACCTGTTGACGTGCTCGGAGCCTGCGCTCGCTATCATCCAGATCCGTTAACGGCGAGTCGCAAAGTCGCGGATCGGAGAACTGCGAGAGGTGACACAAGATGAGTGCCATGCCCTGCGCTTCAACGAGTAGAGGCCAACGATATAGAGATTGAGCCATATGGTGAAGGTGTTGTCGCATTATGAGCCGCGCCCGTCGGGAAGTCGCAGGTCGTCGTGGTGTCAGCCGTCAAACATATTGAAAACAGCATCGATACACATCGCGGCCCACCTTCCCACGTAGTTCGTAGAGGATGCAAACATCAAGACACCTCTCCCAGCGCAGCGCCAAGCCCCGCTCTCAACCTCGCCACCGCCTCCCTCGCCAACGTCCTTATCCTCCCTTCCTTCTCCCCTCCCTCCGCGAATCCTTTCCCCAGCCTCTCCGCGATCCTCCTCACACCCTCGTCCTCCCTCGCCCATTCGCCCTCCACCCGCTGCCGATCCCACCACTCGCCTGCGGCGGCGCGTGTCCGTGGGTCACGCATCACCGCGCCACGTGTATACCGCAGCGTCGCGAGCCGGGTGGACGCCTGCTCGAGCGCGATGTGGGCGGCATTCGCGGGAGCCGCGGGGTCGGCGAGCCCGCGGGGTGTGGAGGGCAGGAGGAACTGCGTGAGGACGGGCGTGAGGAGGAAAATGAGCTGGCGGAGGGCCCAGAGTGTATCGTGCCACTGGGGTGTTGATGAGTCGGGAGAGTGAGGGGAAGGGTGATCGGGCGTACCATGAACACGTCCAGCCCGTTTGGCGGGACGTCGACTGTGGCGGTGATGATCCAATACGTTTCCGTTACCGCAGCGCATATGAGCGCGCCGACGATGTATGTTCGCCAGCGTTCGCGTCCGGTCCTATGGATGGTGAGCAGCCCGACGACGGCCACTTCGCAGACGTATTCTGCGAGCGCGCGCGGTAGCGCGAAGAGCGCGTAGTCATCGAACGTCTTGCAGTGCTCACATTCTTGCAAGACGGCTTGTCCGAATCTGTGCACACAGATAAAGTGTCAGCGTTCAGGCAAAGGGCGCGAGTGGGAGCGTGAGCAAGAACCTGACATAGAGCGTGCGCATCTCGAACGACGAGAGGCGAGTCAAGAGGTTCTCAAGCGACCTCGGAAGCGGCGCGTGCGTATCCAGTCCCGCACGTCGTATAATCGTGCTCCGTATTGTATCCGGCGAGGCATTGAGCGGTATATGCAGCCGGCTGAAGAGGTTGAGGGGCCAGCAGAGAATGAGGTTGTACAAGATGTACAGCGTGTGTAGGCCCACGAGAATGGTGAGGTAGGGCTCATACGGTGTTTCTGGGCGAGAGCTGCTGTTCCGCTGACGCAGGTAGAAGACGACGGGAAGGGTGACCGCGATGGCGGTGAAGAGATAGACGTCGACGGACGCGCTCACGAGTACCATAGCGAGATGTGGCTCAGCATGGGAGTCGCCTGGCTAGGACTCAGACAACTTTGAGCCTAAGCGGTTTTCAAAGCACGGAGAAGGACGGCGTGAAGTCTGACTCAAGACTGAGCCTGCCGGCGAGAAAAATGGTCGAGGTCGAGGTCGAGGGTCAGGGCGGCGCGCGCCGCAAACGCGCTACTGTCTACAAGATGGATCACGTGGCTTGGCACGCACACGCTTAGGCGCTTCGTGCACGTCGACCTCCTCAGCCACTCTCCAGGCTCTACATACAGCACTCACCTCAGGCAGGCTCTCTTCTCTCACGACCACACGAAATGTCGTTTGTCCTGCGACCAGCTGCGAGGGGCTGCATGGGCTGCATCAAAAGCGCTGGGGCTTTCCGGACATCTCTGGCCCAGAGGTCCGTTGCCCATGCAGCTCGCGCAAACGCAAGCAGGACGGTAGCAGGCCAAGAACATGCCACAGCACGGCTCTCGCATGCTCAGAGGCGTGCGTACAAGCTCCAAGTGCCCATGATCTGCTTCTAAGGCTGTTCCGATCCAGGATGGGCGACGTCAACGACCGAGCAGTCCACCACCGTCGACCCAGCAGAAGTAGAGTCTCTGCAGTGCTTGGAGGAAGGCACGCAAAAGCTCGAAGAGGGCGACGTCCAAGCCGCCAAGGTACGACTCCCTTATTCCGCGCACGCGCCAACGGACGTCCAACTCCCTGACGCCCCGTCAGGCACTCTACCAGCGCAGCGTCGACATCAAGCGCACCGCAAGCTCCCTCTTCAACCTCGGCGTCACGCACTACCACCTCAGTACGTCCCGCGCCCGCCCAGCCCGCCCGTCGGACGCTGACTGTCCAAGAGGAATACGATGAGGCCATCGCCGCGTGGAAAGAGTCGATAGCTCTCCAGCCCTCCAGCGCCGACGCGCACACCAGTGCGTCTGCCTCCCGTTCACCCCATTCCCTCTACTCACAGAGCATCGATGTAGACCTCGCGAGCGCGTACATCATATCGCCTATCAGCCGGCCCGACCTCGCCTTGCACCACCTCCAGTACGTCTCCCGCCCTCTCTCCCACCTCCCTCGTCCCAAGTACCGCGCGGAACGTTGACCGACGAAACCCCTTGCCCAGGGTCGCCGCCTCTCTCCAACCCGAAGACCCCGAGATCGCGTTCAACCTCGCCGCCGTCCTCGAAGCCTGTAAGTCACACGCAACCCCATCCAAAGTAGCTAGCTCACCGAGACGCACAGGTGGTCAGCTCGAAGAGCCTTGGTGTACTACAAGCGGAGCAAGGAGTACGGCGTCGACCGTGCGGCGATGCACATCCGGAACGTTCGTGTCCAACGCTGCTACATGCTGTAGGATGTGCTCATATGGTGCGATGCAGGTCAGCGCGAAGATCCTAGGCCAGAAGTTGAAGGCGGCGGAGGCGCAGGCACAGGGCGAGCCCCAGAAAGGCGATGCATAAACCTACAATCCTCGTATAATCACTACTGACAAGATAGAACTCGCTCGTACATCTGAGACATGCGCCTCCAGCGTGCGCAGTTCTTAGCCCCGCTGAGTTGCTTCGATCCGCTATCTCTGCAGGCGAATTCGACTACGGACAGGCGATCCGCCTGGCGTATGAAACTGACACGCACTACGTCACTTGTCGCGTCGTCTTGTCTGACAGCGCTCGTCGCGCTTGCATTGACGCACACCAGGTCCGACATCTGAGGATCGTATGTCATTACAACAGCGTCGTGAAGCGTAAGCAAGGGACTACATCAGCAACTAGATGCTGGGGATGGATACAAGCATAGATGGCCGTGAGGCTGAGGGGGGGCGAGAGGCGTGGGGCATCTAGCAGCACGAAGAGGTAGCGGTGCACGACGATGGGAAGGCTGGGTGACCGCTGAAGGCCACCGCCAGAATTAGGCGAAGAAGATCCCAAACCGTCCTGACAACAAAGCAAAGTGCGAATTCGAAGAATAACAATAAGCGTGCGCGACAACATCAACACCAATACTGCCCACCATGATAGTCAGTCTCGCGCGCAAGCACCTGTAAGCAGAAGAGACGCACCACGACGTTACAGGTACATTTTACACCGCCCCTCACTTGCGCCCGGAGGGCGGGAGGTCCGGCACGAGGTAATGCACAGGGCGGTCGTTGCCAAAGCTTGACTTGTGGTTCAATCCTCCCGCGACTGAGCAGGCGTCAGACTCTGGCCGGAGTGCTGGGCGTGGACTGTCGCTTCTCCGTAGATGCCGCTGAGGCACTGGAGTGGTACGAGGGCACGGGCTTCCTCGTCGGGTTCCGGCGCACACCCGACGCTAGTCGAGTACTCCGGCTCATGGCTCGCGGAGTATGGCCCGAAGGACTCGTCGGCTGTCGGGCTCGCGGGCGTACCCCGAGATACTTCGCCGCGGTCGGCGTGACGGGTTGCTGTTCGCACCCGCGTATGCACTCCGGTCAGCAGATCGCTGCCGCGAGTGTCCGGACGCCGTCGTGGCGGTGGTTGCAGTGCTGTTGTTCGCCGCAGCAGTGTTGAGCTTCGCAAGGGCGACGGCACGGGTGCTCGAACCATTCGACTGTTTGCGCGCGCGACGATCGGGACTGTTGGCCTGCGGCGCATACTCGAGGGGCGGCACGGTCTCGATGTACTCTGACCGGCGGCGACCGGCACGAGGTCTCTGTGCCTCGGACGTAGTTGTCTCCTCGGATGAGGAGAGCGAGTACTTGCCGTGCCCCGCGCTGCTGTCAGTCGGGGCGGCGATCATGCCCATCGAGTCAGCTTGCGGGTACGAGCGCGAGCCTGAACGTTGATGCGAACGGGGCGGGACGGCAACGGCCTCGAAGGTGTTGTCCGCGAGGACAGGCCGGCCCACTGGCCTGCCGGTGCCCCAGAGTCGAACTCGCCCATAGAGCGGCGGCGCGAACGACTAGGTATCTGGCGACGGATGCGGAGGTAGAGGAGCAGGCCAGCGATGAGGAGGAGCACGAAGACCACACCACCAACCACACCGCCCACACAGCGCCCGTCTTGACATGGGAGCCAGCGACGACGGTGGGGGAGGTACTCGCGCTTGAGGATGTTTCAGCCGTGGACGACATGACGTTGCTAGTCGTGGGAGCCAATGACGTTGAGGAAGCGGAATGAGATGGGGAGACGAAGACGGTGAGGAAGTGACTGGGTCGTAGACGTCGATCCTGAGGGCGACGAGGACGTCGCGAAGGAGGAAGAGGGGAAGAGGAGGGAATGGGAATTGGCGGGGACGACGTGGGACGACCAAGCGATGCAGATGGAACAGATGAAGACGTGCCTGAACTACCAGTTGAAGAGGACGCACCACTGCCAGTCGGCGAGATCAACGACGTGCTCAAGGGCAAGGTTGGCGACCCCGAGTCGGGTTCGTGTTCGTGGGGTCGGGCCTGCTAATAGGCAACAGCGAGAGCGTCTGCCGTGCGATAAGACGCTCGCCGCCCTGCTGGCGTGATCCTGGCATGGCGGGCACGGGTCAGCTTGGGAATCAGCAGCGACGATGGCGGTGCATGGGTCAGAGCGGGGGGAAGATGGCCGCAGTGACTGACCAGGACGACGCCCAGATGGGCTGCGATATGTATGGTCGCCAAATGCTCGCGGATCCCGATAAACAACTCGGTCGCAGGCCTTGTGGCAGCGGTCACCACGGAATTTCACCAGCCATTCGAGAAATCGAATGACCGATCTCACACCTGTGAGACGCCGGGCCGTGCAGACGCTGAGCGCTGAGCTGCGAAACAACCTGCCCTGAAGCAGCATGTGGTCAGTGAATCGCGGTAGATCGCGGTTTCGCGCAAGTTTCGCGTCGCGTTCAGGACGCGTACCAGGACGGGTTGTAGACTCGTCGGCCTATATACTCGTCAATTAGAAGGCAGTATATGGAACGCAAGTGAATGCATACCCTCAGGCCAACCTCGGACTTCCTATGAATAGCGCGAGAAGGGGGCAAAAGGGGCAACTCATTCGAAAGAGATGATGAGAGTTCGAGGGAAAGAGCGGTTCGTCGTTTGTCGTGCAAGAGCTTGTCTTATATATGTATACGTGGAGACTTATCGAGCCGATAGCTCTCGACCTGTCACGGAAGCATGTTTGTGATATGTAAAAGGCAAGATCGAGAGCGCCACAGTGCTATATATGGTAGCAAACGCACTCTGTTTGGAAGGTGGTGACGTTGAGGTGACGAGTCGGACGACGGAGAAGAAACCCCATATCTCAAGTTCAAACAAGACAGAAACTTCCTGAGGACGATCTGATACACCATGTAACAGATCTCAGGCGTGTTATTTCTGCAGACATTCGCAAAGTGATAATTCTGAGTTACGTCATACTATTCGTGCGATTTTTACCAACTACTGTACCAAGTAGTAGCAGTCACGCCGCCTCGCTATAACTTAGCTTGCAGATGGCGGTGGGAGCAAATGAATAGTGGGATGAAACAAGTCGACGCGAATAACTGTCACAGCGGATATCAACGACGCGAGCCTTTCGGATAAAAAAGGATGTAAGGCAGTCCTGAATCAGGGCACGTACATGGTTTGTGGGTGGTTGCGTAATATTCTCCGGCAGCATAAGTGCATATCTAGTCAAGATTACGCTACGCGATACAGGAAGTCTGGGGTATCATTGTCGGATCTGGGGGTGGCGTTGTCATCTCATGTTTGGCGTTGTGGGTGCATAGGTCTCTCAGGATAGCGGCTGCGGCCACGCCTTCCTCCGCACCTCCAAGTCCAAATCTGGCCGAACTACCACTTCTACCACTAGAAAGACAGATCGTACCGATCCGTAGCATCTGAGTCAGCATGGAGGGTATCCAGTTCGTGCTGTTCGACATCTCCGAGGACCTCGTCAAAGCGTGGCAGCGCGCGTTCGCACAGCATGTCCCAGACGCGGCGCGAGAGCGATTCACGATCATCCACTCCACGAATGAAGACTTGTCATTCCCGGCGGACCAGTTCGACTGCATAGTCTCCCCTGCGAACTCGTACGGCCGTCTCGACGGGAGGTGAACAGCACGTCCTCGATCAACCCCGTCTGAATGTTCTGATCGCCCTGCAGTTTCGATTGGTACCTGGCCAAAGAACTGGCCCCGCCAGACCAATTCGAAGCGCCCACCCAGATCGCGCAGGCCGTGCTCTACAAACAGTGGCGAGGCTACGCGCCGCCAGGGACGTGCACGCTCGTCCCGCTGAAAGACACCGTCTGCGCGGCCAACAAGTACGCCTGCAGCTACATCGCGCTCTGCCCCACCATGCGCATCCCCGAGAACGTCAAGTGGAACCGCGAGATTGTGTACAACTGCATGTGGTCCCTCCTCGTCGCGCTCGACCGTCACAACGCCTCCGTCGCGTCCGCAGCGGCTGGCCGCGGCGGCGCCGCGGGCACCGCGGTCAAGAAGGTCCTCATGGCCGGGCTGGCGACGGGAGTGGGCAGGGTTTCTGCGGAGCGCTGTGCGCAGCAGATGGCGTTGGCGGTCAAACACTACGCGGACGCTTCTGAGCATCCTCAAAAGTGGAGTTCTCTGCGATGGGACGATGCGCTCGACTACGCACAGGAGACCAATGACACACATCTGCTATGAAGCGTCCCATCTTCCCCATTATTCGTGTACACAGCGGACGTCCCTGCCAACAGTTGAATTGAACGCCCTCTGAGCGGGACTTGGGCAGGACATCATGAAATGGGCGCTCCGTCCTGCTGTAGAAGCGCCGACGGCTTCCGTCCGCGCGATGTCTGCATTTAACGGGGAGTAATAACTTAAGTGCAATGTGTCTACATGGGATTGAGGTAATGCAATGACGGAGCGGTGTCGCAGAGCGAGGCGCGCAGACTGGGGATACTCTAGAGGTCGATGATCACCAACCATCACCGCCTCTCGACTCTCGGAGCAAGAACTGCTTAGACATGTTACGGTTTTTCGAGCCGAGCCCGACCTTGCGAATTTTAGCGAGTCTGGGGCACAACGTGTTAAAAGCGTTCAGTTTCTGCGCAGCAGGAGGAGATGCGTACCGACGCAGGCCGTTCCAAGAGAAAAACCCGGCAATGATGAGTGAGGCGATCGACATCATGCCGAACGCGTAGTCGCTCTCTTCAAGACTGCTCTTGAGCTATCATTCGATCGCCTTGTTAGCACAGCCTGCTACTCGTGGGAGTAAGAGGACGCGTACATTCATGCCGAACATACCGGCTACTAATGTGCCCATTCCAATTCCCATAGTCCATATAGAGATCTAGTGGAATTTTAGCAACAGGATCACGATGGAGACTACGTAGCCTCACTTTGAGGTCGAGCGCGAGCAATTGATTACGATTAGAGTCTAATACTAGTTCAACAATCTCTTGCGTGGATTGCACGTTGCTCTGACGACCACTGAGGTGAGCCTCCCTGTCATCGCATTGGCAACACTGCGCCATAACGAACCTGTATGTTTTCCGCTTCGTTCACAATTTCTTCGACCTGCTTGGAGAACGACTCCAGGAGCACCTCGAGGTCTTCGTGATCGCTCAGCCTGCGCAGCACGCCATTCTTCTTGTCGGTTAGGTACATTGCAGCCAAGTCCTCATCTAATGTTTCGGGGAGCCGATTTGACTCGGTGAACGTAAATGATCTGTGCGGGTGGACAAACCTTGTTCCAGCACCTCCTCAAGAGCCTCTTGCACCTAGACGCGCGTGGTCCCCCGTCAGTTGACCTCGCAAGCTAGCCGGACATCACGGCACGGAAGGCGCACGCCGGAGGCCGACTGCGCTCCAGACATCATGCGCCAGGGTGCCCGCTTGAGAGTCCGAGACAAAGCCATTGGCGGACAGCAGGTGGTCCGAGACTTGCGCTCGCAACTGGCACCTCGAACCAGACCGCCAACGCCTCGGAACTCTAAAGTCAAACGCAGCGTTGCCGGAGCATGTTCCGGACACGCTGGAGCCAGACCCTGCCGTCTGCACGCACACGGAGAGCCATGGGAAAGAAGACTTACCAGCTTCGCGCGGTTTTGGAAGCTTGCGAGGCGCCTGGAGTAATGCAGCAGCCGCTTGAAGCGATCATGATCTATGTCGTCCTCTAACTCCGCAAGCAAACCGCCGACGAGATTACGAATGAAGACCATTTCCGCCTCTAGGGCGCTGAGTACGGAAAGAAGGACGGATTCGAGAGCTCTGGTTGTCCGAAAACGCAACTAGACCTGGTAAGAAGCCGCTATTCATCGGACCGCGAAGCGCTACGGGTGCTCACCTGAATTCATACGGCAGTCCCGGATTCTTGGTCTTGAGGTTGTGCTAGGGAGTAAATTATGATTAAACAATACAGCGGGGCTCTACGAACGTGCGTACGACGTACCTCAAGGTGGTAAAGAAATACGGAGTGGAGCCTGGAGTCCGCCGAGCCGTAAGTATCGAAGAGAACGACTGTGTCAGCCTTGACAAGGGCGCGAATGTGCAAGATGTTGACCTTGGGGAAATCGATGAGACACGTGCAAATGCGATCTATTCAGCGAAACCGTGAAGACGTACAAGGATCACCTCTTTTCGCACCAATATTGTGGGCACAAGGTTAGGTATTCGCGAGTCGATTTTACGCAGATCACGCGGCTACCTCCTGACAGCTTAGCGGCATATGCAGGTCTAACCCGGAGACGTCGCTTACGTTCAGTCGGTGCTCCGAACACAGGTCGGCTCTTCGGAATTGACCCGAGATAGTCTTGACATTGCCTGCGACGTAAGACCCGTATGAGACATGCCAATTGACCAGGTCATCAGGGACCCTCACCATCAGCATCCAGGATTGTGCCTGGTAGCACGGATGTGAGCCGGCAAGGAGCTGGAGCAGTTGATGTGGACTTACATCTCAGCATGAGGTCAGTGGGCTGTCGCCCTTTCATGGCCTTCTCCAATATCGCCACTTTCGCGGCCTCCTCCAGGCCATCTGAGGGCTCACTGTCTGGTTCACTCGGGCGGAGGTTGAGCCTGGGTAGCCATGCCATTCCCCTGCGCCCGGGTTGTCGCGACAAACTTGCGCAAGCGTTTCGGAACGCTGGGAGCGCATAGCTGGTGGACCGCTGAGACGAAACATTTGAGATCCATCCGATACCGGCGCGACAAGAACACGGTCTTCGCAGAGAAGGCGCTTTCGATAGGTGCAGCGAGCCGTGCCCCGCTGCGGTGCGAATCAAGGACATTACATTGCTATTGAATGGCGTCCGGGGCAGCATATGCATGCGCGGAAAGCGTGGGCTGCCCGAGGGAGCGAGAGACAGCAAGAGGTGGTCGAGGTAGGCAGGCAAGCTCAGCGGCGACTGGGCGCTTTGTCGACGCGAGCAGGATCGCGTCTGTCTCACGTAAGCACAAACTTTGCTAGGAAAGGCAACACTTGCCTCTGCGAACTTCGAACCGTGCTCGCCTTGCCTTCCCCACACCTCCGTGCGGGTCCTCGCTCAGCGAATGACTGTCCCTTTGCGAGAGATTGATATGGGGAACACAACTTCCGAGTCAGGGAGTACTCTCGCGTCTTCCTACATATGCTCAGGCTCTCAAAACTGCGAATGAGTGAGCCTTCGGCGATTGGACACTGTCCACTTTAATGACGCCAGGCCTTGCATCGAGTATAACAACATGGTGAGCAGCTGCCGCGGTCGGAACTTTGCAGCCCTTAATATATAGATCGGATAGTAAACATTTGTGCCTAAGGTGCATTCGGAGCGCCCCCCCTGCCAATCACGCGCGTGGTAGGGGCATGTGATGCAGGCTGCTCCTCGGTACGGGGAAAAGGCAAGCGCATGTTACGCAAGATCTTCTGCGCGATCCTAGATATGCAAGGGTGTTGGAGAACCGTGACTAGGCCGAGTCAAATGTCGTCGTTGATCAGACGCTTGCCACGCACCGGCAGCATTTCTGTCGGCAACGGCAATAGTACCGGACGCCAACCCCTCCCCACCCCAAGTGGTTCTTGCACTTCTCGATTGATTCCTTTTCGACACAGTACATGAATGCCTTGAATGCATCTGGACTCACTCTTACTCCTCCTCCCCTCCCCCTGTCCTCGCAACATGCACGAGACGAGCAGACTGCTCGACGCTGCGAGCGCACTCTCCCGACTGCTACGAGCCGCTGAGGTGCCTCATGCATTTTACGGCAGTGTATACACCGCGATGCTGGCCAACGCACCACATGCCGATGTACGTCGTCACTGTCATCCACAGACTAACGTGCTAACGTATCACAGGAAATCTTCTGTATAGTTGAAGGTGGTGCCTCCCACCCTTTCCGTCGAGTTCGGCATGCTTGCGCCGGGAGCGAAGACTTTACGACAGTGATCTCCCCTTGGAGCAGCAGGTAAATCCGCAAGTTACGTTCCTGCGGGCCGATTCACGGAGCGTATGACAGGTTGCATGCCACGTACCACGGGTACATTCCTTCCATCGATGTCTGTGCATCGCGATTTATTTACTGTGTATGGTCGCTGACTAGCCAAACTGCAGATTGAAATTCTGCCCGCTGGAGAGCAGGGTCCACGGCGTCTCGACTCGTCTACAGTGCAGATCATTCGCCGTATCCCTTTCCTTACAATGTCCGAATTCATTAGGGCAAAACTAAAAGCTTGGGCGCTGTGAGTCGTATTCGCTTCTCTGGGCCGTCCTCCGATGTCCCTCCAACAGCCTACACCCAGTCGAGGCGCCGAGAACGACGCGCGCGATATCATCTTCACTATATCGCGCTACTGGAACAGAGTAGATATCAACCGAATACCGGAGCAAGAAATGAACGACTTTGTCTGCCAACACAGGGAGGCAGCCGCAGGGTGGATGGAGCTCAAGCGAAAATATCGGGAGTGAGTCATCGCACCGGCTTCCTAGCTTTTAGAGTTGGCGTCTTCTTGACTTATCATCAGTTTAGGTCACGATGATTCATGAACCCTTCGCGAGGGGAACGGACCCTCGTTCTCGAACTCAATAGCGTTCATGTAGGGCACCCATGCCTACCCTACAAGGTGCGTACTTCGTCTTAGCTATCTTTAGCCCTGACCTCATGTATTATTTACGCATAGGATGCGGTAAATCTTATGGATCATGCATGGCGGTCAGAGACGATATAGTTCTACAACTGTACTGATTGCACCCCAATTTGCGAGACTCTGCTTCTCGGCCTGTGCCAGAAACTCGTGCGGACTGTCCCGCTAAGGGATATGAAGCGCAAAGAGAACAAGTCCAGTCCGTTCCAGAGTGGTCTGCAGCCCTAGCAGCGATCACGCGATGTCCGTCTTTACCACAGAGCCGTTCCCAAATGAAGCAGGACAATGCCAGGAAAGTGCCAGCCACGGAATGCCCGCGAAGCTGGCGTCAATTGCTATTTGGAATGATCTGCAGACGCTTAGTCCGGAGATTTGGCTTGTCGTGAGGTGAGATTGTGTGTCTGCTGACTGGCAGAGACAGTAAATCCACGAGTGCCGAATGGGATGGACTCCGCATGGTACGACAGTTCGCAGCGTATCTCCCAATATACGTCTATGGTGCGCGTCGCGCCTCGGGATGTCTGCATGGCTTCGACACCACGAAGATCAGATAAGACAACGACATATGTGATTGGACCTGCCGTTCTGCCTCACCGGAACCCACCCACATGACACGCACTCTCTACTTGAAGATAGGCGAGGTGGTGCGGGAGAATCCCTGCGCCCACAACCAATGGTAAATTTCCTGTGAACCCTGAATAACAATTGCACGCAAGCATGTTCACGAGAGCTTGTCGAATCGTTGAAAGACATCGGCTGGGCAGGGTTCGGTCGCTCGAGCTCACAATTACATAAGATCCTGTCCTTATATTACTGCCTGAGGATATTGTCGTCCTCCTTCGACGTTCAATTTTGTGAGCGTGATGAGTAAGTAACTCAAGGCCTTTTCCAGGTGCCAGTTGATTCTCAGCGGTCTGGGGCTGCTTATTTGATGAACGAAGCTAGTAGGACATAAAAATTGATGGTAGCGTTTGAGTCAGCAGAGCTGATACGACTGGCTAGCCGCGATCGCTTCACGGAATTGCACTCGAAAGCACTGGTTCAGGTATTCGATGCTCCGTGTCGATAAATCAATCCTAGATGTAAGATCCGGATCTGATGTATTACAGGGCTTAGTGGTCACGTGCATCGCGACGCGTAAGTGACGCGTCCTGCCCACGCATCTCATTCTCCCGCCAGCCTACATCTTCTCCTCTCCTCGCTGTTCTGACCCTCTACGACCATGGCACGCACTGCACTCACACCAGTACCACCGGGCGGTATCAAGTCTTACTACCAAGCGAAAATTGAGTCCGCAGAGCTCGACATCAACCAGAAGACACAGAATCTGCGACGTCTGGAGGCACAGAGGAATGCGCTGAACGCGAGAGGTGTGTTCCATGATCTGTCGGGTGAAACGTTGCTGACATGGGCCACAGTGCGGCTTCTGCGCGAGGAGCTGCAGCTCTTGCACGAACCCGGCAGCTATGTTGGCGAAGTGGTGAAGGTAATGGGCAAGAACAAGGTTCTTGTGAAGGTGCAGCCTGAGGGAAAATACAGTGCGTATTGAACTCGCTTGCATCGTGCTAAGCTGCTGAACACTCGATATCAGTCGTTGACTTCGACCCGGACATCGACGTTGCCTCTCTGAAGCCTACTCTTCGCGTCGCGCTGCGTTCAGACTCCTACACGATACACAAGATCCTACCCAACAAGGTCGATCCGCTGGTGTCCCTCATGATGGTCGAGAAAGTCCCCGACAGCACATACGAGATGGTTGGCGGTCTCGACAAACAAATCAAAGAAATCAAGGAGGTCATCGAGCTTCCCGTCAAGCACCCAGAGCTCTTCGAGGCTCTCGGTATTGCCCAGCCGAAGGGCGTTCTCCTCTACGGCCCCCAGGAACAGGAAAGACGTTGCTCGCGCGAGCGGTCGCGCATCATACGGACTGCAAGTTCATCCGAGTGTCAGGCTCGGAGCTCGTGCAGAAGTACATTGGCGAGGGTAGCCGAATGGTCCGGGAGCTGTTCGTCATGGCCCGGGAGCACGCGCCGAGTATCATCTTCATGGACGAAATCGACTCCATCGGCAGCTCACGAGGTGACAGCGGGTCGGGAGGGGGTGACTCCGAGGTGCAGCGGACGATGTTGGAGCTGCTGAACCAGCTTGATGGCTTCGAGGGGACGAAGAACATCAAGGTCATCATGGCGACCAACCGGATAGGTGAGGCTGGATGCAGAGTGTCTCTAGGGCCCGTGCTAACTTTAATGAAGATATTCTCGACGCTGCATTGCTCCGTCCGGGCCGTATCGACCGGAAGATCGAGTTCCCTCCGCCAGGTCCGGAAGCCCGGGTGGCTATCTTGCGCATCCACTCGCGAAAGGTACATAGAGCTAGCGTTCGTCATTGAGGCGAATACGCTTATGACCGAACGTTGCAGATGTCACTCCAACGAGGAATCAACCTTCGTGCCTTGGCCGAGAAGATGGGACAATGTTCTGGTGCGGAGGTCCGGGGTATCTGTACCGAAGCCGGTGAGTGTATTCCAGCGATTTCTGAGGCAGGTGGTCATCCCCACTGTTAATTAGGTATGTACGCTCTGCGGGAACGGAGACAACATGTCACACAGGAGGACTTCGAGTTTGCGGTTGCGAAGGTACGAGATCACTTCTTGTTGATTCGCGGAGACGAACGGCGCTGAATATGAGTTTGCAGGTGTTGAAGAAGAACCAGGAGGGTAACACCTCCGTCAGCAAGCTGTTCTCTTAGTATTCAGTAGACGCCTTGTTATGTTGATGCTTTCTATCCCATGGACACCTTCATCGATATCCGCGTACTGGGTGTGCATGAGACAGAACGCAGCTGGGTGGTCATTGATTGTGCATCTTCGCCGCGCTTTCCGTCATTTTCCTGCGAAATGATGACCAACAGTCATAACTTGGTCATGGCGGGCGGCGTTGTCGACAGGCTAGAGTATTATATTGCGCTGTGCTGCTTCAAGCGAATGAGTTTCACGGGACTCGCGGACGATGCGACGAAGGTATCGTATGATCCTCAGGCGGTCATTGACTCATGCTCTGCTTTTCGGCAGGACGTTGCTGGACGTTGTGTCCTTCAAAGCGAACTATATCGACCTACCCACGCCACCGGATCCAGCCTTCCCAAAACCTTATATGAATGTCCTCTGCGCACTTAGGCTAATGCCAGTCGCTCTCGCCCATTGATCATCCAGAGTGCATATACTTGTTGCCACTGGCAATACGACGCGACTTGCGCAAAGACAAAGATAGTCCATCCGAACGACGACAATCCAAATATCATGATATCCTTCATCGTTCGGTGGAGCGGTCTTTAGGTGAGCGCTTGACAGCGGCCTTGAGGCCGTGGAGGACACGACTTTTTCTTCTGGGATTCGCGCGTCCTCTGTAAGGCCCGAAGAAGCCACCACCGTGCACTTGCGGCGTACACGAGGTTTCCGCATGAAATGAAGAGCTCCCGCGCGATCTCGCAGAGCGTCCCCCTCTTTCGCTCTATCATGGTGCTTATAATCTCGCGTTGTTTGTCCAGGGGATCTGTACGGGGTGGATGCACCACGCAAGGGTGCACGCTCAGCATGGTGTCAAGCTCTGCAGACTTGTGGGGTCATCTGTGTCTCTGAGGCGGTCTACAAGCCATAGTCGAGGGAAACGGCATCGAAGCTCACCGCAAACGCAAGTGAACTGTCACATATCCATTCTGTTGATATGTGAAAGGAACCTCGACAACGTCACGAACTGGAGAGCACACTTATCCAGTGCGAAGCATCGCAAAGCAGCCTCTCGCACAGGACTCTCTGCGAACATCGAGCTTCCGACAGCTTCGCAGCTCGCTCATCGCGCCCAACATTGCCGCTTGTAACCTGACTGTACTGAAGTCTCCTGGCATCAGCACATCGTACTCCAGAGCACAAGAGCGAGAGGCCATCGCATCTCACAAAGGCGCCTTCGAACATGCGGAGCAGGACAAGGAGGGTGTCGTGGTGTCTCCGAAGGCAAGATCGACTTCGGAGTTGTCAAGCCGGACGAGTCGGGGAGGGGTATCCACAAGATCATAGTTCTCCAGCTCGCTGCTGGTGCGCCGAGTGTCACGGTGGAGAAAGTGGACGTGTTCGATCGAGCGAACCGCGTATCGTCTTCGTGAGTCGTCTATATGCGAGTGGTGTCATGTTTCAGCGGGCTAAGAGCACACTAGGTTAATGCGCAGCTCGCTGGCGAAGGTCGCCTGGCTCATGGTCAAGACGTTCAGCTGCGAGTTTCCTTCACCCGACCGACTACGGGCATTATGATGGTCACTTGGAGTTGCGCTTCCGCAGACAGAGCCCATTCGAAATTCGTTATCGCCGGTCCCTGCGGGCTATCGTAGGAGACGGATGACCGCGAGCTCTTGAAGGCGGCTACGCCGTATGTGGAAGAAGCGTGTCCCATGGAAGAATGGCCAGCGATACTATCCGGACGTCGGCCGCCAGCGTTGGATGCAGTCCTTGGGTTCGGAAGCTCAATATGTACCGATCCCGCCAGCACTTGTGGCGACTTGCGGGATACATCGGCGGACGACCTCACGCAAGCCATCCGTTCGAAATTCTTGCCAAGGCTTCATACTTACACCATGTCACGCATTCAAACATTACTGTGGGTGAAGAGTGGCGTATGGAGTAAGTTATCAGTTTTTAACAATGCGTGGATCTGAACAATGCGTAGAAATGATTTGCGTCGTTACGACATGGAAGTGACGTTACGAAGAACGGTTCTCTACTAGTAAGACTATATGATTTAACATTATATGACTGACCTCCGCTAGCCTTCTGTACCTGGACTCGCTGAAAAGCGTCCGAGCGTCGTGTCGGTAGCGATGCAGTATCGATCCACGTCACTGAGCTCATATCTTAGGTGACAAATCGAAGTGCAACCTCGGAGCAGATCCGACTGGTCGTGTTCCAAGGATTCGTGCACGACATGCGCCTCAGCGACGTCGGCATCGACTTCCACGCGTCTTCAGGCCAGCACAGGGCGCCGCTTCAACGTCAGATTCAAGCTCAACCGCATCCATTGCGACGCAGCATGAAGCTCTGGAGTACTTCCGGTCCCAGGAGATCGCATCTTGTTTCCACGCCTGCTCATGTCGGCGCACACTGGGGCTACGTCCCACTGTCCCTCACAATTCGTCGATCGCCAACAATACACCACAACTTTCAGCGATCCGCTTGATTTTGCAGCGACCTGTGGGTCTCGCGCCGTTCATAATCTTCGGCCCGTACGTAACATACACTGTGCAAATGGCTTCAACTGACTGCCGCGCCATTCAGGCCAGGACCGGAAAGACCGTGACGGTTGTCGAGCCATACGCCAAATACTTCTCCGCAAAACGACGCTTGCATTCTTGCTGCGCTCCCAGCAACAGCGCGCCGACATCCTGGCGAGCGACTGATGGCGCTGGTCCCGACAACTTTCCGACACTACGCGGTGTCGCGCAAGAGGAATGCAGTGCCCAGCAGCTCCTCCTTTCACCTACACCAAGCGGGGGAATCTTCGCGGTTCCGGCGCTCGATACTCTTGCCAAGTATCGAGTGATCGTGTCGACTTGCGGTTCTGCATCGTTCGCGTATGGCGTGGGCATACCCCAGGGGCACTTCAGCCACTTTCGTGGACGAAGCTGGTCAAGCGACCGAGGCCGAGGTCATGACGGCTATCCGGCCGATGGCGGTTCCTACGACGAGCATGTGCTATCTGGCGATCCGAAGCAGCTGGCCGATCATCAGGTCGAGTGCCGCACGCGATCTCGGCTTGGGCGTGTCGTATTTGGAGAGACTCATGGAGCGAGAGGCATATAGCGAGCAATCCGGCAGAGGAACCGGGTACGTTTTGGGCTTGAGTATGCACACATGGATAGCCAGAACTGACAGCGACTCAGATTCGTGAAGCTCGTGAAGAACTTCCGGTCGCATAGCGCGATTTTGAACTTCCCGAGTGAGACGTTCTACGCGAACGAGCTGCAAGTGTGCGGTTCTCCGTCGACCATCAACTCGTTCATCGGATGGCCGCATCTAGTCAACCGCAAGTTCCCCGTCGTATTCCATTCGATATCCGGCCAGGACGAACGGGAAGCTTCATCGCCGTCTTACTTCAACATAGATGAAGCCACCGTTGTCAAAGACTACATCCAGAAGTTGAAGGCTAATACCGCCTATAGGATATGTGAGCGTCGTTGTCTGCATCCCGAAGTGAATATCTTGATCAATTTCGCACTTCCAGCGGACGAGGATATCGGAATCATAGCACCGTATCGCGCGCAAGTCCGCAAACTACGCATGGCGCTGTCTGGCTTTGCTCCAGACGTCAAGGTAGCCAGCGTCGAAGAGTTCCAAGGACAGGTACTACATTATTCTATGTTTCACCTTGGATATTGACAACCGCGCCCAGGAACGCCGCGTCATAATTCTCACTACTGTACGGAGCACGCGGGACTTGCTACAATACGACCAGCGATACACGCTCGGCTTCGTTGCGAATCCACGCAGGTTCAACGGTTGGTATTTCTCTACAGGCAAGGCAGATTGAACTTCACTGAATCCTTCTGTAGTGGCTGTTACCCGTGCGAAGGCTCTGCTCGTGGTCGTCGGCAACGCCTCTGTCCTCTCCACGGACCCGCTGTGGAGACGATTCCTCAACTACGTCCACAGGAACAACGGCTGGCGCGGAGAGGCTATTTCTTGGAATCCAACGGATCCTGTGCAGGATGACGGCGAGTACGCAAGCCAGTTGCGCGAGCAAGGTGTTGCGGACGTGGCTGCCTTCATGCGTCGCATGCAGCTCTACTCGGATGAATCGGGCTCGGCCGCAGAAGATCTTGAAAGCGGGGCGAACATGGATATGGCATTTGTTGAGCCCCAGTGATACAAGGAGTATGCACTGTCTTGTCATTGTTTCCCCCCGGTGCGTCGGAGTCGTTTCTTGTGGAAGAAGTGGTTGTAGTTTTCTCAATGACAGTACAGTACAAGTGCCAGCATATTTGGATCAATGAGGTCGCGACCTGCTTGAGCGAAGCGATGGCGTCTCTTGTGCAACTTCTTATGTCACCAGCACACGGGCTCTTCCTGACTCATGTCTGCGCAAGTACTTCGATAACATGCGTGTGGCCGTGAGTAATCTCGCGCGGACAAACAGAGGGGTCATTGTAACCTGAGGGCATCGGAAGTCTATGTTTCTACAAACACAAGATATGTATCGCTCTAGCCATGGGTCGCCCGTCACAACGTGTCTTTGTTCATTGGCAGACATTGCGGTTGACGGTCGGAATCCGACTCCCAAACCGCACCTTGCGGCCAAAAACAGAATTGCTGCAGCAGATCGTCAGCAAAGTATGTTGCTGCCCCATCAATATCATACTCACATCTACGCCGCAGGCAGGATCGCACTTCATCCACGCTGGCCAATCTAGCCATTTGATCAGAGCGTCGAACTCCCCTCTCCATTCCACCAAGAGGCGTGATACGACCTCCACACTCTGATCTTCGATGTCGAACGCACCCCTCCACGTCTTCGTGTATACACGGCAGATCTCGTGCAGTACTTCCTTCGTCGCATTGTACAGGACGTGCTCCTGCTTTGTGAACTTCGACAGCGGGAGACGCGCCGTGTACTGCGTTGCGCATTCTTCAGCCATCTGCGCATACCACTCCGGGGTGCCGACATGCTCGCGGTGCATGTAAGGAAGGAGCGACACGAGGAGTTGTCTGCGTACGGCCAGTACATGCTCGGACGCATTGCTGTAGGGTTGATGAAGGAGGTGGCGTACGAACGGCAGCCGGTCGAAGAACCGATCCTGGATAACACGCGCGAGGCTTTGCCAATCCACACCGCTATTCTCGGTTGGGTCCCGAGCCAGCATCTCCGTGACGTCCGCCTGCACACGCGCGACATCCTCTTTCGATATGCCCGTCAGCCGATATTCTGGGCGCTTGGACGAGCGGCGCGATTCGACGACGGACGTGAGGGCCGGATCGTAGAAGGAGACCATAGTAGATGGGTCTACTCGAATGCGTACCTCGCCCGAGTTGTGCCAGGTACCTGTGTGTCTGACCTCAGCGAAAGTTGAAGGCAGACTGCCCTTCCAGCCGTCCGGTGGTACCATGGGTTCCCGGTGTATTGGCGGCAGCTTTGTGGGTTCAGGAGCCATGTGCGCAGAAGAATACGCCGCCGTGACACTGTCACGGGTATCAAGAGGGGACTTGACCCCATCGTTAGCCACCAGCGAGTGGGCAGAGACCAACTCCAGCCCATCCGAGATGTTGCAGTACATGAGTTCGCTGTGTTCCCAGAGTCAGCACATTAGTACGTATATACACGGATATGCATAGAGGCACACTCACAAGTCGATCTGCATCCTGACAATTCCATCAAGACCATACTGCTTGCCCCATTCGCACATTCTGTGGAAGCGCGCCATCTCGCCGAACCATTTATCATGGGGATCATAGTTGACTTCGCCCCAGAAGAGGACGTCTTGTGTATCTACAGCCCCACCGAACTTGTTCCCACTAGCACCGTCGAAGAAGAGCAAGTTGATTTCACGCGTAGCGCTATAAGTGAAGAGTGTGGCGTTCAAGCCTCCTGTAAAAATATGAGAGTGTTCCGGGTCGAATGCAATCCAATCCCTCGTCGGCGGCTCTGTCGTGTGATGCCCGTGATAGAGGAGAGTACCCGGAGGGATACTGGCACGGATAATCGCATGACCTTGAGAATACTCGGTGGTCAATACCATGAACTCGGGCAGAACGATGTGCGCACCGTTAACATATTTGGAGTTCGGTGCCAACTGCAGTAGTGAGGCCAAAGACTGGAAAATGAGGTTTCCCGTGGCATCTTTGCTAGGCCGCTCGTCCCACGGCCGTAAGTGCTGGGATTCATATCCGGAGTCAGGGATAGGTGCCAATGGTACCTGCTCATGGGCGCAGACTCCCAGCACAATGCTGGACGCGTAAAGAGGCAGGGCCAGAGTGTGCTGCCAGCGCATGAAGGGCGACAACGGGTACAGGAGCCTGAGGGAACCCCAGCACGGCGTCCGATCGCATTACTTATGTACTTAGCAGGGCTCACCGAGAAGGCAACGCCAAGTGTGTCCGGAAGCCAATCCAAGATAGATGATGATAGACGCTGTCAAGGAACCCGCATACGTTGAAACGTTGATTGGCACGAGGAGGAGGAGAGGAATGGGAGAGGCTGATGGGGATATTGTGCCGCCTCTTTTCCACCCCACGGATCCGAAAGTGTCCGGTGCGGGCTCCGACATAATACTGCTTATAACAACATAATTCCATATTGCTGTGTAGACCCTTCCCGAAACAGCGCGCACAGGCGAAAGTTGTCGGGCCAAATCATCAATGTCTCGTCAAGCGATCCGTACTAGTAGTACCCTTGTAGTACCCTCTGTCGGTTTACCTCGACCACGAACCTCGGTCTACCTGAGCCTCGCCCTCGACGTTGCTAAGTAGTATCATAAATATCATAAGTAGCGGAGACACTGGCATAATATCATAGTACCTCCTCCGCCCCGATCTGAATCTCACCGGAGACACGGGCCAGATTGAGGTCGCCCTGAATTCGCCTCAAACTCATTCCTACATCGAGCCAATGGGATGTAGTTTGAGGTCGCCGGCATACATATACGATGCGCTCTCGGGACGGCCGAAAGTTTTTGCCCCAAATTCAGGATCTTTGATAGCCCTAAAGCGGAAAGTCAATTCAGTTGACCAATTTCAGACCGGCGCATAAGCTTCATTTGGGCCATTGATAATAAGACAAGCCCATATTGAAACACAAATCTTGAATTTATGTTCGGGTTTCCGGCCATACAAAATCACGTCCCATTGGCTCGATATAGGCACGCGTTTGGGCCAAATTTGAGATGACCTCATCCTGGCCCATGCCTCCGGTGTCTAAAGCCGCGCACGCTTGCGACTGCAGTCTGCTTGCCACCTGCACTGCTCGCCACTCCGCAAAGCCGCCTTGTCTCTCAACGACTACCGCATCGTAGTGCACGCGTGCACGGAACCGTAGTTCAAGTTGTCTATCCTATACTAGTCCCACCACCAGACTTCGTGGCCTTAGATTTGTGTCGCGGAGTGTTGGGAGTTTGTGCTCTCTAAACGGTCGAGTCGTCGGAGGATCGTTAAGTAGAGGAGATTTACGTCGGACTCTGGCACCGGTGAGTCGTTGTATGTGCTGTCCTCTCCCAGAACTCAAGGCATGTCACGCATATAGTATGCGGTTCTTCGTCCGCAGAGCGCCATGTTGGTGCCAGTCTTCCCACCGGAACTTTGCCAGAACATACTGGACCTCTGCTACGACCGTCGTTCTCTCTCGGCGTGCAGCTTGACTTGCCGTGCGTGGGAGAAATGGGCTCGCCGTCGTCTCTTCGAGGCCGTCAAGCTTACAAAGGTCGATCACTGTCTCTCCTTCGTTGCCATCCTGAAGTCGTCGGTATCGGCAGGCACCAACATACGAGACTATGTCCGGACTGTCAGTTTCAGCTCTTATGGATACGCCCGGCCTAAATGGCGCGACGCTGCTCGATGGGCGTTTCGTCACCTGCCGAACATCGTATCATTGCATTTGACCTTTTGCAACTACAACGAACTCGTCGCCTGGGCTTCCTGCGACGAACAGGTGGACATCAATGCTGCCTCGCGGTCTATAGGTTCTCTGTTCTCTTCATCCAAGATTTCGAGCCTCAGCATTTCCTGGGTGTCTTTCAAATCTTGGGAAGACTTCTGGACGCTCTGTACATGTTTCCCGTGCCTTACGAGACTAGAACTTGGGGACATGGAATTTGACCAACCACTACAGCCGGAGCACCCAGTACTAGAGGTCAAGCCAAATGACACAGCAAGCATGCCTGCTCTTACGACCATCAAATCTCTCGTTGTAGTTTCCGGTGCTCAAAACACGGCGATCATCCTATGTGGTTTATCACGGTATCTATTCGAGCTTCGTCTACGACAGGTAGACTGTATCTGCGCTGGAGGCGACTTTCGCATGTTCGATGTCATCATGTCATCAGAGCAGTCTCTCGAATATCTACACCTAACGTTTTGGAATGACTCATGTGAGTGTAACTGTGGCGCGGCTCAAAGCGTTCTATTCACTTTGTCTAGTCCTGCGAGAGGGCGATTTGACGAAGCACACGAGGTTGAACACCCTTGTTCTTGGATTCCTCTTCAGCTATTTCATTCCGGGTGACGAGCCGTGCATTGCCCTTCAAACGTTCCTGTCTCGTCTCAACGTTGGGTGTATGCGCGAGCTCGTCGTCTGCGTCGAGCTCCCCGTCCGCCCTGCGGGCTCCATGTGCTGGGAGTTCTTCGACTGGTCGGCCCTCGATAGCTCTCTAGCTGTCCTCGCGAAGAATCGACCCGCTCTCCGGGTTACGTTTGACCTTTCCTTAACTCTCCTCGGCGGAGCCGCTTCTCCCGATACCTTCGGACCTTTGGCGAGCCAACTGCGTAAAAGCCTGCTTATGGGCTTGAAAATCAAAGTGGTGGCGAGGCATGGTCCCTCCAAGCGTCGTCATTCTGATGACACCGTGAAGACATGTTGGCTCTCCGTTACGCCGCGCTCATTGGAATAATTTGCACGGTGAGCTATAGTCTTGGCGATCCGCGGTGGAGTCTGACGTGACGGCAGTACGCGCATTACAGAGTAGCTGGGGTTCTAATGCAATTCGTACACCAGAGCGACGATAAACTTCAAAAGCATAGTAGTTCGGCCCGCACGGCTCAGTGTGCTCTCTCAGTCCATCGCTCGAATCGCAGTGTGCGCGGAACATTGACTCGTGTCGCTTATTAATGCCTACGTTCTCGTGCCTCTCATTCTTAGATTCATAGCAATCCGCACGCTCCGAGGTCAGTCAATGCTGCTCATGGCAGCGCAATATAGCGACCGACGCTCGTAAGACGGATATGTGCGCTTCATGTTGAAGCCAAGCTTCCTCGTGGGTATTGCCCGTCAAGTTTGTCGCTGCGTTGTCTCAGTCATGTGGCATATACACTGCCGATCCAGTACGGCGTCTTATCAGACACTCATCGGTCTATCATTCATACTGCGACCTTCGTGCTGTATTGTCTCAGCGTGTTCTAAGGTCAGTGCAGTGACTTATGTTGATGGTAGCGGCCCACTGAGCTTCTATACTTGTGTTGTAGTCTGTACAGGCTGCAAGCCCGCCTCATTGCGTACGGCAACCTCAGTCGTTGAACGCAACAGCTAGCGTGTCGTACTTGTGAACGAAGTGTACCTGCAAGTCTCAGATCCCTTTGTGAGAACACCTTGAAGTATTGTCTCTGCGATGTGATGACAAGTTGACCCCATAGGAGGCGACACATCCTGCCTGATGGAACCACAAACACTGCATATCGCGCTGCCACCCGAACTATGGGACCCCATCGTCGACGAACTGTCGTCTGACCGCTCAGCCCTCCGGGCATTCAGCCTAACACAGCGTGCATGGGTCGCTTCGACCCGGCGGCGCCTTTTCAAGGCGATCGAGCTGAGGGGCACCGAGCGCTGTGAACGCTTTCGAGACATCCTCATTTCATCTTCGTCGGTCGGTACGGGTGTGGCGCAGTGGGTATCCGACGTCACACTCAGCGTGGTCCGCCTGCGTCTCGACGTCCCCGAGGACGCGGAGGCGTCCGATATACCACTCCTGGAGGAGACGCTCTCGAGGCTGCCCAACGTGGACAGTCTACAACTGTACGACGTGGATGTCAAATGCGGGCCGGAGAGTCAGACCGACGGCGATGCCAGGCTAGAGGAGGGATACCCAGATAGGCCGCTTCGATCGTTGTTCACCTTACCGAAGCTGCGTTTGCTGGCCCTCAAGTCAATCTCGTTCGGATCACCCTTTGACACGATGCTTCTGATCTCTGCTTTTCCGCAAATCTCTTCGTTGAATTTCCTATACCTGTATCATCCGTGTCTGGATGTGGATCCGACACACTGGCCGCCTCAGCTACCAGAGAACAGCAAGAGGGAGGATAACCGCATAATCATCACTATTCGAGAGTTGATTGTTGCCGGGGTTGCCTCTTTGACGGAGGCAGTGCGCTTGTTGGCTGCGCTGAAGGAACCACCCTTCACATGTGCTTTACAAAAGCTTCTTTGGTCCCTATACTCGTCGCGTGATGATGAGACTGCCCTAGTGAGGACAGTGGGAGAAGCTGAGAGCACCCTAGAAGATCTGGAAATTCAATGTAACAGGGCTGAATCCGATCGTACGCATGTTTCTCACATCTTATGATGCACCATTAATTATTGGCGTCTCTGACAGTACTCGGAAGGCTGGATCTGTCCCGGCATTCCCGCCTCAAGTCCCTGTGTCTCGGTCTCACTGGCCGCTCATTCAAAGTTGACACGGACATCACTACTTTCTACCTTTCGCTTCCGCCATTTCTCGTTCGCACCCCTACCAGCCTGCGTGTCCTCCATCTTCCCTTCGGATACCTGTCACTATCTCCAGATGGCACCCCACCATGGAACTTCATGAATTGGCCTAGTTTCGACGAAGCGCTCACGCTCCTGCACAAGAGAAATCCACTCTTGGTCGTGTACATGCCCTTCCGCTATACTTTACGGCAGGATGGCCACTTACCAGAGGTTGCACAGCCATTAGCATTGCGGATCCCCTCCGCTGAGCGCGAAGGACTGCGTGTCCGCCTGGCAGTGAGTGGTTACATTCCTGAAGCTGGAAGGATCGTGTACGTACCGGAGGAGTACCACTGGCTCTAGATAATAAATGCGCAGGTCTACTTACTGGTTTCTGATCTGGATTCAATCACGCCGCTTTGAGCAGCTACCACCGAAGCGACTACTGGTTGATATGAGAAAGTCCTGCAATGAATTAGAGAGACTCTGCCTAAGGCTCACATTGACACCGTGACGCAGCAACTCTTTGACGTAGCTCGCACGATTAGCCAAGTCCTCGTATCGTCTGACAGCATCATGACCCGTACTCAATCGGATCGACGCACATCAACCTGTGCAAGCAAAGGAATCTTATGAGTTCTACTTACAGATACACAGATTATTCATTCGAGCTAGGTTTGAACTTGGTTGGCTTTGAGCGCTTGAGCGCTTGTCAATACTTGCGCTCGAGCGCTCGTATCCACAGCGGACAGTGGCCGGCTTGACGGAAACCACCCTCCTCCTCTCATTGGCAACGAGTCGACGTTCAGCGCGACGATGCATCCATTGACCAATGCCTTTGTGAGTGTGCCATGGCTCGCTTTGCCATTCAATGCAACCAATATTCACAATGCAGGACGCCTTCAAGCTTCCGGCCGATGACCACTGGGTAGCTAGGCCCGCTACTGTACCTCGGCTCCCGCCAGAGTTATGGGAACAAGTCATCGAATACTTATGGGACGACTATCCTTCTCTCGGGGAATGCAGCCTCGTGTGCCGAGCATGGACCCCTGCCTCACGCTACCTCTTCTTTAGTCGCATCGAACTTTGCTCCAAGATCGACTGTCTACGCTTCCGAGATACGGTCGTCTTCTCTAGCATCGCAGGGACGGACATCGCACGATATGTGAAGCATGTCTGTGTTATCGGTCTACCTTTGTGTAGGATCGGCGACCAGTATGACGGCGGGAATGCACTGCTGCTGCACGAAGTCCTCACACGACTACCCAATGTCGCGAATTACAGCTGGACAATGTCGATCTTGATGTCCACCTCCCCTTGGACTATACTACAGATATGGGGGTAGCACTCCGACCGTTCTCCCACCTCTTTCCATTCCCCAACCTTAGAACGCTGCACCTCTCTTCGGTCATGGTCCATTCCATCCACGACATCACGCGCTTGATAGCGGCATTCCCCCATCTCTCTGTCCTGGTCATAGATCGGGCACTCTGGTGGCAAGATAATTCCTCCGCCCCATTGGGGCATGTAGAGCTCGAGGCGCACAGCTTACTCTGCAGAATCTCAGCCGTTTATCAGTGTTCACGGTGCCAAGTCCCATGGACTGTTGCGGCGAATACAGAGGTTCCCTGCGTTACAGGCAACCGACAGTTCGGCTGGACGACGTACGTGGCAGACGAGAAGCGGCTCCTCTTGGGCCTGCTGCGTGATTCTGCGCCGAGCATCAAGGTCTTGGATCTCGTCACTAGATACGACAGTAATCGTGAGTGAACGCATATGTAGCCGTCGAAGTTGAGCCTCATCGTAACACTACAGTGTTCTCGGACCTTGACGGCGCCCAGTATGTACATGTCCGCGACCTCAATCTCATGCTCGCCGCATCCTCCCATGACCTCGATGCCTTCTGCCCCTCACTCCCCCCGTTCCTCACGCAACTCGATGCTACACACCTGCGCTCCCTTACGCTCGGCTTCAGCCTCTTCCGCCCGACGAACATGTACTGGACGTTCGTTGACTGGGCTGTGCTGGACGACGCGCTTGTCCAGCTGCACGCACGCAACCCGCGCTGACGGTCATGTTCCGCATCGCGTTCGTCCCCGCGACGGACCTTTCGGAAAACATTTCGACAGACGTCGCGGGCCCGCTCGTCGGATTCTTACCCCGTACGCTGGGCACGACTCTGATGCGGATTGGTGTGAGGTGTGACTTGTTCGAAAAAATGGCAGGCCCCCTCCGTCAGGGTAGCGTGCCTCCCCGCCAGGGCACCGTGCAGTGGCTGTCATTGCATGAGACATGACTTGACGGCGGAAGCCTGCAATCGTGCGCACAAGCGCTGTTTACCTGGGCGGTTGGACGGTGACTGCATCTCTTCTTTCTCTTCCGCTGCGCAATAGGGCGCTAGCAATGTATCCACCCGAATGTAGCAATGATATCCCCGAGATTTCACAGGTTATCGAACGCTTCACACAGCATTTGCTTTTGGAAAGCACCGCTTCCACTCAGCGGACGAGGCATGAAGGGCACACCGGGAAGGTTTGTGTGCATTGGTCATGCAACGGCGTGGTTTTGACTGGCTTCTGCGCGGTGAGTACTTACAACGCCCGGAGATAGTTTGTTGCGCATGTGTCACACCCGTGCTCTTAACAGAATGACCCGTCTTGCCTGTCGAGAAGACCTGGCATCGTCTGGTACGTAGGTATAATCTCCTGATAATCCATTCACCAACTACTGACATAGATCATGATATACGTCGATTGGGACCTTCGTGATACCCGTGGTTACAGAAGCCTCCTGCCCGTTCTTCGCTGGGACGCCAGGACACAGACACTAAGGACTTTGGACACTAGCGCGAATGCACATACCCCTCGCAATATTTTGGACACAGGACACCTTCGAAGGGCGGAAGCCTGGAGTCAGCGGGTGTAGGAGGACTGAGGCAAAGAAGTCTAATGGATGTCAAGTGTCTCGCGCTATACTGCCTCCGCAGAAGCTGCTATGTTACAGCGCTTCTCTTGACTCATATTAATGTCAGCTGCGGCCGTACACACTATCCCTCTCACACTAACACATCACTGGTGGGGAGCGTCTCGCTGGTACCGTGACGGGTGCAGCTGTACAAAGTCATCGTCATCGCGTCCTGCAGCCGCAATTGGAGGGCTCTACTTTCATTATGTAAGTCCAATGTTGTCCTTCAAACCCGTTGAGCCAGAAGGTTTGGCTGACGGCATCCCAAGATCGTTTCGAGTCACTAGTGGTTCGTGCACCGGTGACACAGAATACCATCCTCAGGCTGATCGCACCGTGTCTCGCTGAAAGGACCGAGAGGAAATGTCTGGCGAACAAGCTATCACACTGTTCGACCTACGCTCGACGCTCACTCCGCAGGCGTGGTCGCTCCATGCCTGTAGGACAAGGTGTGTCACTCTGAACCTTCACTGGAGCTCGGACCAACACTGATGTTTCCCGGCTCGCAGGTTCGTACTGAACTACAAGAAGCTGCCCTATACGACAAAATGGGTAGCTTTTCCCGACATCGGCGAGACACTCTCTGCAGTCGGCGCGCCGCCCACTCGCGCGGACGACCCGAAGTACAGCGTACCTGCGATCATCGACGCTATCGCGGACCCGCCAGTCGTTCTGTCCGACTCGACGGTCATAGCCGACTATCTGGAGAAGACGTACCCTGAGCCGTCGATTTACCCCCACGGCAGGGAGGCCCAGATGAAGTGGTTGGACGCGATCATGGACGACGTCATCATGCGGATGGCGTTCATGGTCATACCCACCACGCCCAGATACTGCCGGAAGCTGATGCGGAGTATTTATCAGCACGAGGAAGTTGATCTTCGGTATGCTCGCCTATATCAGAGGATTGTACAACCCACGGCTGACTCAGTCACCTTTGAAGGCTTGGACGTGAAGGATATGATAGCGACAAGTCCGAAGGAAGAAGCTGAGAGGTGGCAAGCTCTGGAGGAGGGGCTTGGTAGATTGTCTGCCCTCACAGACGAGATCGAGCACGGAGACAAATGGTTATTCGGGACCTCCAAAGGACCAGGATATGCCGACTTCGTCCTGGCCACTACGTTGAACTGGTTTCGGTGGGTAGGTCCGGAAGGAGGCTGGGAGAGGATCAGAAACACGAATGGGGGGAAATGGGCGAGGCATTTGGATCACGTTAAAGAATACATGGAGGTACTGTAGCATGATCGCGACGCCGAGTGATACCGTCATATCCTCCGAGCCTCCTGTAGTAACAGTACCTATCGCGCGCAAATCGTAGATTTATGGGGTGAGCACCGGCGAGTCTGGCAGCGGAACGCGAATGGGACTTCGAGTCAGACACTGCACCCATAAGCGGCGCGCATCCTTGAAATGGATACAGTGCGTCCAGATTCCTAGGCACGTCCTGTGAATACCACAAAGAAGGCTGTATTTATACACCAAAATATAAAATTCCCGCGTTACGCCGACATCTAAGTGAGCTCTCCACTGTAATACACACATTGTACACGCCGACTGCCCAACCGACTCCATCACTGGAGGCGCACATCCGCCTCGCCCAGTACCAACCCGTTCAGGATGCCCGCGAGCCGGATCCCCGCCATCGCCAGCAATCGCTCGACGACCCATCCATCACGTACGCGCCCCGCGTACTCCGGTGTGTCCAGTTCGAGCAAGTCGGGGTGCGGGCGAGGGGGGCGGCCCGTCATCTCAACGTCCCCGCCCTCCATATGGCAGTCGTGATGATCGCCCTCTACGTCGGTTGTCCTAGGGCTGTGAGTACCCGCGACAGCGACCTTGTCAAGCTCCGCAGGCCACACGGGAAATGCGCAGTTGAGCTCGTGGATCGCGCGCGCCCACGCGTACGGGCAGAGCACGTCGTCGTCCCACCGCTCCTCGTCTCTCGTCGCCTTCCAGGCCCATAGCCAGCTCCACGGCCCACCAGCGCGTTTCGCGTGCCTGTTGTGCCTGTGCCGACGCACGCCCCGGTTCCGCTTGGCGAGCTCGCTGCGGCCCTCAAGGCCGAGCGCGCGCCCGACACTGTCCAGGATTGTTTGCGCGACTGACCAAGGCCGCTGCGCGAGATCATCCTGCTGGTTGTTCGTATCGTCCTCGTCCTCGTCTTCAGAGGGACACCCCAGCCATTCCTCAATCGCCCCGAAGCGGCCCTGCCCCGCGCGGTATTCAACCCCGTATTCGTCCTGGACGGACAGTCCAAAGCCGTCGACCATCAACCTGCGCACGTACCCGTCATAGATCGCGCCGCGGAGGTGCACCTCGAGGTCGCCGAGCATCGGGCGCGAGTAGTTCGCGGGAATGGACCTGAGAGCTTGGGCGATGAGGAAGCTGTCCCAGACGGAGTGCAGGTCTACGCGACATGGTCAGTAAGTGAGATGGAAGCGGATTTGAGTTAAGGTTTCTCGTTCGGGACGGGCACGCGAGTAGAAGCGCGTCCACGCGCGCTGGTAGGTGGAGGTATGCGGTATGCATGCAGGCACGGAAGCAGAGGATCGCGATGCGCCGCATGTTGCGCAGATGCATCTGCTTCGTAGTCACGTCTCTCTCCTTCACTCCTCTCTGCTTCCTCCCATCTCCTCGTCCTTCCGATATGTTCATTACACCACCGCGCCCGCTAGACCAACCTGGTCCAGCGAGCGCGACAGAGCTCGACATACACGAGAATACAACATGAAGGCACAATCCCAGTCTCGGTGAAATCCCCAACACGGTCGCCCTACTCTGAGAACGACAGGGGAACCCATACTTACTCGTCATCCTCCCATCAAACGTGACCTTTGCACCATTTCCACCACGCTCCCTCCCAGTAAGATGCAGCGGCATGTGCATATCCCCGGCGAAGTGGACGAGGAACTTCAGCGCGTCCGCTCCTTCGGCCAACCCAACTTCGCCATCCAGGAAGCTCGCAACCGTGCGGGTCTGGTTCCCAAGAGCAGCGAGCACGTTCGTATCACGACGGCCCGCCCAACCGCGCTCGCCTGGGAAGACACACGACTCTCCGGGCATGTCGCCCAGTGCGCCGACGTAGTGCCAGCTCGCGGTGTGTCGATACGCGGGAGCCATGCGGACACGATCGGCCCAGGCTGCAATCGGGGCGAGGTGGCACGGTGGATAGACAGTTGAGTCTGTCTCCTTGGCTGTAGGGTCGAGGATGTCGCAGAGCACAGGGAGTACGTCGGGGTGGAGGTGCATCTGCGCGATGGTCGCGACGATTTCATGGCCGGCGGCGCCCCAGGCTAGCGCAGCCGGGGCGTTGGCGAGTGCAATAGCAGCACAGGCAAGTACACGTCGCATTCTGAGGTTCGGAACGTGGTAGGAGACAGTGAAGGGGCTTAGTCCGATGCTGTCGTTATATACTACCCAGGTCGTCTCGTCGGTAGCGGAGGCAACGGAAACAAAAGGGGTGGAGTCAACGCGCCTGCTCTTGTCCCTAAGAGGCCTGAAGAGGGATGTTTCGCACCCGCAGGACAAGGGATGCTTGACTTCGGAAGACGGCGCCCAGCTCTAGACGGTGGCTGGACAAAGACAACCTAAAGGAGGTCAGACACAACAGGCGCTCATAAGCTACTTGATAGTAAATAAGCGCTCAGATCATCCGGGGCACACTGGCACCAGTTCAAGCTTGAGAACATCTGGAAGCTCTAAAAACTCACTTTCAGACAGAATCAAGCCAAAATGACAACAATGAGGCCGATGCCCTTCTGTAGCTACATATGCTCTAGTAAGCTTCAAGTTGCGGTGTCCAGTTTTGACTGAGCCTAGCGGACGATGGGTGTAAGAGGAAAAGAGCGACATTCGATCAAGGAGGGGAGCTGCGCCTTAAGTACATACGGACTGACGTCTCTTCACATGCCCAGTTGGATTTAGAAGCGTGATTGGTCGAAAGGTGAGTTAAGAGGACATGACTACCAGTACGTCACCCACGTACTATGTCGGATTTGGAAGGTGACTTGCCTAATTCAGGAACTCGTGACCGGGATGTCTCCCTTTCGCCGTGCCACTCAAAAGCCAGAGTTCGTTGAGCGTTCAGCGAGATGAGAGGTTACGAAAAGCGTTGTCACAATTCCAAGACTACAGTAATTCCGAGGCGAAATATTCATATACGCGATGAATGGCAACCTATCGTTCCCTCGCGAATCCGAGTCCAGACTGTATGTGTTCAGACCTCAGCCTCTCCAAACGGGTCCCAATCCTCCTCCTTCCCTTCTCCGATCCACTGCGTATACCCAGTTCCAAAGCCTCCCATTTCCCGCCAGAAACCATCGCTCTGTAGATCGCCCACCTCGCCGTCGTCCGACCCATCCTCTGCAAAGAGCGCGTCCCCGTCAAACTCTTCATCATCCACCGCCTGCTCGTCTCCAGCAGCGTCCTCGCCCACATCCGAGTCCGCAACGAGGACCTCCCCGCCCTCCTCGTTTTCGAGTCTCTTGGGCCTCTTACGTTTCTTCTTTCCCTCCTCTTCACTACTCCCCATATCGTCCAGCCCATCCCTCGTGATCCTCGTGAGCCGGTTCGAAGCCCGCCTCACGCGCTTCGCGAGCAGCGGGTGCGCCGGAAACGGCGTCGTCAGCGGGAGCGCACCAAGCGTGCTCCCCAGCCCGGGCGACGAGAACGGGTACGACAGCGTCCGTGCGCGCGCCCTCGTGGACACGCCCGGAGAGGTCCGCGGCCTGGTCGGGCTCGTACTCGGCGACGCGATGGACGGGAATGCGAGCGAGGGGGAGGATAGCGCGGTCCCGGGACGTGCGGGCGAGGAGCTGTAGCGCGGCGGGGAAGAAGGCGGGAGTGGCGAGCGGACGTCGGCGTCGGTATCTTCACGATCTAGACGGACGTAGGGAGGCGAGCTCAGGCCTGCGTCGGACAGCCCGGAGGGGAGGGAGGCGGTCCGTTGCCGCCGCAGAGCACGTTCGCGCTCCTCTTCCTGGGCGAGGAAACGCGGGAACGCGTTCGGGTAGTTCCAACGGTGCAGGCGGTGCTCGTCTGTGTCCGTTTCGTCCTCAAAGACTTCGTTAGATAGACGGACTAACGGTCGAGAGGCGGCGACAGGCGGATGAAGGAGGGGAGAGATGGGCTATGCGGACGGCCCCGCAAGCAGAGCCCTTCCAGCGGAAGACGAACGGCTGATTGCCCGCGCCTTTACGCGGTGGCAGTTTGCTATCGTCGATCGTGATATGTACTGACACCCAGGAAGATGGTGCTGCAAGGGGTGCGCGCGACAGTGTCAGGAAAGAAAGACGACGAGTGAGACGAGCGACGTACATAGATGATGGCCTGCGCATAGTCTAGACCATCCGGCCAGACATGTTCGATAGTATAGTCGTCCTCTGCCTCCCACACCCATTCTTCTCCTTCTTCCCCTCATCCTCGGCACCGTCTGCGCTCAGGTCGTCTGCGTCCTCCTCAAAGTCCGTCTCAGGCGAACTTGTGGCGTCCAGCTCTCCTCCCTCGCTCCACGCGCCACTCGTACTCGCCGCGGAAGACGCATAGCCCGAACTTGAGCACGCCTTGACGAGCGCATTGTCGCCATACAAGTCCGGGAAGAGCTTTCTATCCCGTACGCTCGACAGCCGCACAAGTACGCGCCCCGACCCTCGTTTGATCACGCCAGGACGGTAGTGATGTGTGTAGAGCTGCACATTATCACGCACCTCGAACACATGTCCAGCCCAGCTCGAGGGGACGTCCGTGCCTATCGCAGGACGCGGACCTTCGTCTGGATCCTCCTCCACCATCCTGCCCTTGCCCTTTCGATCATAAGCCGAGCGCGCCCGACGGTGTCCAGCGACGGGCTGAGTCTTCTGTTCTTTGAGCCGCGGGCTGCGCCGGTAGCGCGAAGGCAGCGTTGCGCCCGGCGGACGCTTCCAGCGCGCATCCGACGCGAGGAGCCAGAGGACGAGTTTGTGCAGGTGGCGGAACGTGTAGTTCGTCGGCACCTGGACGATGCGGTGAACGTTCTCGAGCTCCGCTGCGAGGACCCGCGCTGGCTCATCCTCCTTCCCCACATCGTCCTGCTGCCCTGCACGCGCCTTCCCCTTCCCCTTCGTGTCGCGTCTCGGCGGGTCATACACGAGCTGGAAGCGCAGGGCGAGGTGCTGCGCGAAGCCGAGCGGTCGGGGGAGCTTGAGCGCGAGGAGAGTGCGCTGGAGGCCAAAGGGGTTTGTCGGCGAGTCGGCAGGGATGCTGTACGGCGTGCTCGTGCTCGTGCCTGAGCTAGGAAACGAGTAGTGCGTGTAGGGCGACGAGTCGGATGCGGATGTGGGTACACGCGTAGTATGGCGCCGCACGGGGCTGCTCGTGTCGGGATCGAAGCGGGTACGTTTGGACGGTGGCGTCGACGATGGGCTCGGAATTTCGAATGCGTGCTTGGACATTATGTGAGCCGGACAGAGAAGGAGTTATCAGGATGTGCTTGGTACGTTTCAGGCGGTACCTAGGGGGTTGCACGCCGAAGGTGCTACGTGCCAGTGGGGCCGTGATAATACTTCAAGTTGTCACGAAGCATTCACCGTGTACCCGTGTTAAACTGGTTGGGGACTAGTTCTTCCTGCCGAAGAGTTGCTTTCCTAGCTTTGAAGCCTCAGAAGCAGAATGATTTGAGCGGTAAAAGGAGGTAAGAGAGAACGCCGTCTCGGACGCGTCACTGACCAACAAATGGTCACGATCACGTGGACGCGTCGCGTTCGCGGTCCGCGGAAGAGGAGCTGATATTTGTCTGAAATCTCTTTGTACCTCATGCGAGACATTACTTATTGTGAAACATGTCACAGTCCACGAGGAAAACCTTTGCAATGAACCACGATGAAACGTAGCCATACATAGTCTGGGGAACCGTCTGCTCGTCAACTCGTACGTACAATTGCTCATGGCCACAGCCTCTGTTCGTCCGAAGAGATTCAAGAGAAACAGGTAAGGTAAATACCTGCACTAGGTAGAAGATCTATTACTCAAGTACTCAACATCCTGCATGGGTGGATGCCGCCACTTGTGACAGTCTATGAAGGACCGTAGGTATGTGTCGACCGTCAGTTGAGATGACTTCATGTGGCACTGCATAGAGGCTCAGCATCACCAATACATATGTCAACGTAATTCAGGATCTGCTCTCACCGGTACCAGGCAACTGCAGATCCGCATGCAAGTGCGCGATGGTTGGCCACATTCTTCTGATCTTAAAATTATGATAACTCGAATGCAAAACCTGCAACGGGGACTAAGTTAGTAACCCACGACGCGTAAACGCTGAACAAGTTTTGATCGGGTCGGATACGACGAGGGCAGACTCGGAGATCAAGAGAGGGCGTACAATGTCGTGGCGCAGATCTTTAGACTGCTGTGTCGGTTTGAGATGTCAGGCAACGTGGCGACGGTTGAGTATATAAGGCGACGCGAGACAAGGCCCGGTTGTTGGCACCAACTCGACCGTACCAACTGACACATCGACTGTACGTTCTCACCCCAACCTATGGATTCATCGGCACCGCTGCGACGCACTGCAATCGTTACTGGGGCCGCGGAGGGTATAGGCCGGAGCATCGCGCTGCGTCTGGCGGAGGATGGCCTGAACGTAGCTGTAAATGACCTGCCCGTCAAACGCGAGAAGCTGGAGGCCATCGTTGCAGAAATCAAGGCCCTTCCTGATGGGCAGGCCATCGCCGTTCCAGGAGACGTATCCTGCCCGGAGGATGTGGAAAGGTTGGTTAAATCCGCGGTGGAGGCGTTCGGAGGCCTCGACGTGGTGCGTGGACGCGTGGAGGAAATTGCGGCTGTTGATTCTGAGAGCCTCGTCATAGATGGTCGCGAATGCGGGGACGATAACCTCTGGTCCTTTCGTTGATTGTGAGCCTCCGATGTTCCGTCTATTCGTAGGCTAGACTTACTGACGCACTCGTCTAGTCGCCCTAGAGGAATGGGACCGTGTTATAGCAGTCAACCTCCGCGGGGAAATGCTCTGCTACAAGTATGCTGCAAAGCAAATGATCAAACAAGGGCGAGGAGGACGAATCATCGGTGGGCGTTGTATCGACGACAACCCGCTGTGGTTTGCTAAAGATGCTTGTGACAGGCGCCTCGTCGCAGACCGGGAAACAAGGTATGCCAAACTTAGCAGCGTACTCCGCGTCGAAGTTTGCGATCCGGGGCTTGACGCAATGTACTGGTGAGTCGACAGCGAAAGCGATGCTGCGACGATGGTACGGGGTGTCTCTTACGGTGCGGCACTATAGCTTTGGAGCTCGCGAAACACGACATCACCGTCAATGCCTATGCCCCTGGGTTGATCCACACAAATATGAGTGAGCGAGCGCGACAAGGTACACACATCTAATCACTTACTGAGCAATGCGTCACAGTTGGTCATGACGAAGAAATCCGACTCGGGTTGAAACCTGGCACCCTCATGAGACAGGTGAATGGTTGTGCAATCCATGGATTGCTGCCTGCCGCCTTGACACTGGAGCGTTATTGTAGATGCTCGGATTGCCGAACGACACTGCTCTGCCTATGGCCGAACCAGAAGTTATCGCCAGTTTCGTATCATACCTAGCCAAACCCGAGTCGCGCTTCATTACAGGTGAGTTCCGTTTGCTGTAGTCAAAAGCAACCTCGTCAGCTCAGCCCTGGCGTAAACGCTTTATGTAGGTCAAACAATAAACGTCAACGGTGGTGGTCACTGCGATTGAGTCTTTGACTGTCGTAATGAAAATACGTACCTCGGAATGTATAGTTCGTATGGATGTCGACGTCCATAGTCCACATGCATTTCTCCCGAAGTATGCTGTTGCACTCGGGGATATCGTGGCTTGCGTGACAGCGCGCAAATACGTACTTGTCATGCCCAGCGGTTGGTATGTGTCCCAGTGAAGTTCATGGTTGTTGCATATGGACGAAGTACCACGTACCACTACATGTAGGTAGTAGCTCGGGAGGCACTGGCATGCAGGCAACGGCCGAACGTGCCCATGGCCAATTTTGGCCCCAGCAACTGGTGGGAAGACGCAATATTATGTAAGCGCTTTATATGGCAGCTGAGGGTATGCTGAGAGACGGTGGCACAGCGGACGCGGCAGTGCACTCTCTTGACTTTGTCCTCCTCCATTTCCTTCATCTGCTTTGTCTTTACTCTATCATGTCCCCGGCGGATGATACTCAGTATGAGGACGACTCTCAGCCCGTCTCGGTGCCCGATGCGGGTGATGCGGGCGAGAGCGGTAAGCTCAAGATGATTGTATCGCTGGTGAAGAAGGTGGTGGGTGTGAAGGATATCGCGTCCATGTACGTGGCAGATATCATCGAGCATCGAACACGTACTGACATAACTACAAGGCGGCTGTCATTGCCCGCTTCGTTGCTGGAGCCCATCCCGAACCTGGAGTACTGGCATTATCTTGACCGGCCAGATCTGTTAGCGGCGTGAGCATCATCGTTGTTAGCGATCATCAGCGGGCCTCGAGGGACTGACATGGCTGCAGCATCAATGACTCTGACGATCCTTTCGAACGCATGCTGGCCGTCCTCCGATTTACGTTCTCCAAGGATCTCAAGTTCATTGTAAGTGGCTAGTCTTCACGTGTTTCCCTCTCAGGACGCTGCGTGGATCGCTTCTTGCTTCTCGAAGTGAGGTGCAGGCAGCCTCGAGGCCCTCTACGTGCTCCTTCAACAGAGGCTTGAGGAAGGACCTATAGGCAGAAAGGGGTGAGGGGCGGTGTGTGCAGCAGCAACAGGTGGCTGCGGCGGGAGAAAGTCCGTCATGCTCAATGGCTGTGACTATCCACTATGCGGTGCTTCTGACTTCGTCCTGTTGTGCTCGGCGACCGTGGTTGACAACAAGCACCTTCTGGTGTTTGCAGTCGGGCTTGTTAAGGCAGCAGTCACTCAGTAACATGTTGCTAACCCCCTTCTGTAGCGCGGCAAGGTCTGCAAACCCTACAACTCTGTCCTTGGAGAGCACTTCCGATCGCACTGGGATGTACTACCGGTCGAGTACCCCTCTGATCCCACGGAGCCGCCAATGCAACATCTCTACCTCACCACGCCTGCACCGGAATCGACAACTTCGTCGCTAGCGCCGACCCCATCGCGTACACCGCGCATCCCAGCGTCTGAGACGGCGAGTATGAGCGGCCGAAGCATCAAGAGCGGCAAGAGCGCAACGAGCGGGCTCAGCGCGGTCTCGCAAGGCACGTCAACGCCAGGCAAGAGCACCCCCGCAACGTCTCCGGACCTGGTCGAGACGAATTTGGAGGCGGGCGTGTCGAGCCTGTATCTGAATGACGAGGGCGACCTGCTCGAGGCGGACGATGCGCCTGATGCGGAGGGCAAGCGACGCGTGCGCATCGTGTTCTTGACAGAGCAGGTCTCGCACCACCCGCCTGTATCCGCATTCTACGCGACGTGCCCCAGCCGGAGCACGGAGCTGATGGGCGTCGACCAGATTTCGGCGAAGGTCTCTGGTACGACGATCCGCATCGTGCCCGGCTCGCTCAACAAGGGTATCTTCGTGCGACTTACGGGCGGACCGGGCGAGGGCGAGACATACCGCATTACTCACCCCGTTGGGTCCGTGAACGGTATCCTCCGAGGCAGCTTCTACATCACTATGAGTGAGGCGACGATCATCGAGTGCAGCGGCGGGCCCGACGGCGAGAAGTTGCGGGCGGTGATCGAGTACAAGGAGGAGTCGTGGCTGGGCAAGGCGCATTTCTTGGTCGAGGGCGTGATCCACACGTACGTGCCCGGAAGCACGGAGCATCAGGAGTGGACGCGGGTGAAGCACGTCCCCCAGGACCGCGTGCTTGCGACGCTCGACGGTTCATGGAAGCACCGTATCCGGTGGAAGCGCGTCAACGCGCCCAACTCGGACTACGCGACGCTGATTGACTTGTCCACGCTGTGCGCCATACCGAAGTCGGTGAGGCCGCTGGAGAAGCAGCATCCGAACGAGAGCCGGAAGCTGTGGGAGAACGTGACGAACAACTTGTTGACGAAGGAGTACAGCGAGGCCACGAAGCACAAACTTGCGATCGAGCAGCGCCAGCGTGATGATGCTGCAGAACGGAAACGGAAGGGAGCGCAGTACGTGTCGGTCCCACTGTCTCACCCGTCTGCTGTCGTTCACACAAGTGATGTCTCAGGTTTGCGCCGCAGTATTTCGAGAGTGACATAGAGTCCGGCATACCCAAATTGACGGAGGCTGGCCGTCAAGCGCTAGAAGAGGAGCTCAAGGAGGAGGCGCTATACCCGTTGGAGGAGGCGTGACCTGGTGGAGATCATACATGGACACTCATAACGACCCTTACGACTGATCGCATCCCTGTATTATTCTTGCTCTTTGCATCTTGAAGGTCTATGTACGCACACTCATTAGTCGTCGATACATGGACTCGCATACTAATATGCCGAAGCTGGAGTAGTCCTAATGACTGATTCCCTCCGACAATATTCTCAGGTTCAGCCGCGAACGTCGTACGCAGAAAGACGCAACACAGAGAAGCAGATCTAGAGACAAAAGTAGGCCTATGCACAGACATTATCTAGAGCCAGCTGCACTGCTCCTGCATACTAGAGCCTCCCGGTCTTTGGCCACGTAGTACAACACAGACACGAAGCCCTTCTCGCAAAGCGGAGGGTATCCGCGAAACCAATAGCGGCGCTAACCCCGACACGCAGCCATGTTCCCACTGGCACCAATCATAGGAGAGGCATATATATACAGCCAAGTACGGGTTTCTTTTGTGCAGGCGCGTGAGTGCTTCGTCGAGACTTGGCAATCCCGCTAATGGCCATGGAGGGGTCTCGTGTGGAAATAGCGATGAGTCGACTGACAAGTGCAGGGCTCGCAGGTTGTTGGACGTGCGAGAGAGAAATGATGGTAGCGAATGGTGAAAGGGTGGGGGGGCATCATTTGTCAATTTGCTGAACTTGACACGCAGGGATTTGAGGCGGGAGTGCTGGGACAGATCCATCTTCTCGAACACTATCGGGCATGTCAGTCATCAATTTATGCAGCAGGGATGAGACATGCGTACAATCGGAGTTCGGGGCGCATCGAATCTCTAGTTCCTCTAAGGTGCCCTCAGCTTCTCCCACCATTTCCATCAGGAGAGACACCTCATCAGCCCTCGGATATAGAAGCCAAGTGAGCTTCTGCAAAGCACAGATGAATGGCGGATGCCTCAGCATATTCAAGAAGGGCACTATCGCCGTCAAGTCGACGTCGGCAACATCCAGTCCTCGAATACACATGTTCCCTGGTAGCTGAGGTCGCCAGCGTGTCGGCACTCCCCCCATTTGCACTAAGTTTCGGAGCTGCAACGAAGAGACCTGCGGGAATGCAGCGAGCAGAAACATTGTGTCGAAGGGCGAGTCGAACAGTATTAGGGTGAGACATAGCGTTCGTAGCTTTGGTAGGGTAAGCAGCGATCGAAGCGGCCTGTCGGGGTGTCCCTGGTCTAGCCCATCGTTGGTCTGCACGTCCGATCTATACTTGACATTCACGTCGAACAGTTGCAGACGATCCACGTTGGGCAGCCTCGAGAGCGTCTCCTCCAGGAGTGGTATATCGGACGCCTCTGCGTCCTCAGGGACATCGAGACGCAGGCGAACGAGTCTGAGCGTGACATCGTATACGTATCGCGCCACGCCCGTGCCGACTGAGGAGGATGAAACGAGGATGTCTCTAAATCTTTCACAGCCCTCGCTCTCCTCCAGCTCGATCGCTCGGAATAGGTGCCGCCGGGTCGACGCGACCCATACACGCCGTGTTAGGCCACATGCCTGGAGGGCTAGGCGGTCATCCGATAACTCGTTGACGACGTGGTCCCATAGTTCGGGTGGCAGCGCGGTCTGCGAAATTTGTGCTTCCATCGGGCTAACAACGAGTATGATGTATGTAGCCTATGATTCAACCCCAAGTTGTGAGCGCATTGAAGATACGACGCTAAATGAAGCTCTTACGATGGGCTTTGAGACCTGAAACCACGATATGTCCTGAGCGCTGAGCCTTGACTCGCTAGCTCTCGTACTGAGTCAACGATAATGCGGCTTTCGTACACAACAAGCAAGACAAGTAAGAGCTCAGTACTCAGTCGAGAACTGTGCCATATTGATGGTACAGTAACAAAAAAGAATCGAAGTAGGAATGAGTGAGCGTCTGACAGGACGTGCTTTCTGCAACATGCCACCCGATTTGGACAATGTTGCCACGGGCTTGCTGAAGCGCTACTTGATCACAGAGGTCGGAGATGGGATGAAATACTATTGAAAAGCAGAGACCCTCCTCCTCCTCCTACTCGCCACACCAGTAACGTAGGGGGGGGGGGGTGGGGGGGGGCGGGGGGAGGGGAGGGGATCATAAGGTGTTCTTGCCCGCCGTGACCCTCATGGTAGCTCGCCAGGCCGCTCCCGCTTTCCCCCTAGCCCAGAGCTGCCCGCCCGGACTCACGCTCTCTCACCTGCCCGGCGTGGACCCACGAAACCAACACGAAACCGCCATCTCCCGTGCGGAACCCACACCTGCGGTGGCAGGTCTGTGCACGGGAGGGTACAGCCTCTACAGCTAATCCCATACCGCTAGACTCCCTCGAGCGCGAAAGTGCGGACAGGCGAGCGTGTCGGTCTCGGTATCTCTGGTGTTCTCCCGAATCAGGCTTTTACATATCATATCAAGAAATGTCCGAGTCGAGGGAGAGCTAGACAGGTTTGTGGCCGGCATGGAGGGCGCGGATCGCTCGACGAGAAAGTCAGACTCGGACAGAGGCCTGAAGTGACGACTTCGCCCGCGTTTTCGGGAGAGGGTCTAGTAACATGGAACAAAGCAGGCAGTGGATCGCACAGCTATCATTAAGCCATCACGGTCTCACTGTAACATCCCGGTCTGTTTAAGATGGCCAAATTAGCACATGGGGTCTCCTAGTGTCCGAAAAGACGTACGCAAGTGTAACGTAGTCATCCAACACCGGTGTCGAGCTGCCTCCGCCGTCATTGTTTGTACTCTGGGAGAGAGAAATTTGCATTCTGCCGCTGTGTGAACGCAACCCGACCGCTCGTGACATCTGCACCTGAACAGTGGCCAACGGTAACATGTCTCACCATCAAGTCTGGTTCAGTACGTCGATCGAGGAATGACTGCGACACATTCCATACTGATATGACCAGTTACTGGGTCATCCAGTGGACTCGGAAGGACCATGACTGAACACGTACTGGACAAAGGGGACATCGTCGTCGCCACGCTCAGGTCGCCGGAGGTCCTCGCCGACTCTGATTTTGAAGCTTGACGTGTCCAATGCCCAGGAGATCAAGAACGCCTTCGCAGCTGCTGTAGAGCGCTTCGGTCGCATCGACGCTGTCTTCAACAATGCCGCATACTGCATCTTGGGCGAAGCGGAGGTCGTGCCCGAAGAAGCAGCGCGCGATGTTCGACGTGAACCTCTGGGGCGCGATCAACGTGAGCAAAGAGGCCGTGCGAGTCTTCCGGGAAGTAAACAAACCCGCCGGAGGACGCCTGCTGCAAATCTCGTCTGTCGCAGGCATAGTGGGGGTCCCGGGCATCGCATACTACTGCGCCGCTAAGAGCGGTGAGACTTCTGCACTGTCTTGTAGTACCGTCCTGACAGGTGATAGGTCTGAACGCGTTCAGCGAAGCGCTGAGCAGGGAGGTCGACCCGGACTGGAACATCAAGGTATGGGTGCAGGTCATGAGGGTATAGACTCGGACACAGCACTCACCGCGATCCAGATCGTCATAGTCGAGCCAGGGGCGCTCCGCACCCCTGCTCTCCGGAAGACCGTGCGCATACCGTCGCACCCAGCGTACCTCAACAACAAAGCGATGCTTGCCCAGCGCGAGGCCCATTCGGTCGACGACTGGCCGTGGATGGCAGACACAGCAAAGGCAGCAGATATCTTGCATCGAATAGCGGCGTCACCGGATCCACCGTTGTATCTGCCTCTGGGCACGGATGCGGTCGACTTCGCAAGGGCGAAGTATCCGCAGATGGTGGAGGCTACGGATGCGGTTGTTGGGTTGTCAGAGGAACTGAGAGTAGAGATGACTGACGTACCTGCTATTAGTGCCGGTGCCATGAGACTTGGCTAGTCGATCCTATATCACAATGCATCACGTCGGTGTAATTGAGGAAATTATATGTGCGAGACTCACAGTACATAGCGGAGGGGATACACGGCAGTCCCGCCACTGTGAAGACAAGTTCATACTGTGCTGGCAACTCTGGGGATTGATTGTCATCAACTTTGTCCTTTTCTCTCTTCAACGACAGGTGGTCGGCGACTGCCACGAATATGAGCGGATGAGCATCAGATCAAATATGATTGCATGCGAACGAAAAGACAAAGGGAGGGCACTACAATATCTTGATGGAGTACTGGCTAGGTCTCCCGCCTTGCTTCAGCAAACATGCTTCCGACATCAATGCATTGCTTGTTAAAGATGGGTATTGTTCCCCCGCTTCGCCAGAGTAACATTACGCCGATACATAGAACTGACGCACAACTGTTGTGCATAGCTATCTCCGCTGTCCCTCACGGTCGGTGCAATGGTACAGCCTATTGCATCTTGTGAACAGCCCTCGTGCTAAAGTCATCGTCGGCTGAATATGATCCATCGGAGTCCTTCGTATAGTGTAGCGGCAGTTGGTAATGTCTGTCTCCGCTTTGTACGGTCCAACTGTGAAACGTTAAAAGTCACGTCTGTTGCAACGTGTTAGATAATAGGAAGGCGTATTTGTGGGGCAGGATGTACGCACTAACCAGGACTCCCTGAGGCCTCACGCTCCCTTCTCGCCCGCAGAGACCGCTCGAGCTCCTCGAACGCGCTGAATGCGACATTCTGAGGCGATTTGGGGAGCGTTCCCCCCGCTGCCTCGTCTTCCCCCTTGACTTCAACTGGCCATTCGCGCTCTGGCACCTTGCGTGCTTGCAGCGCGGTGCGAAGGGCGTCCAAGGCGTGCTTGTAATCCTCTAGCGCCGCAGTGTACAGGTCGTACACGCAGATAGCGCAGCCAGACATACAGCACTCTATGTAGATATACATGCATGACAACATTGCAATGCAGAAAGGTTACCAGACGTACCGTCTGACTGAGGCTCCTTGGGCTTCTCGGGGAGCACCAGACCAAGGAACGTTCTCGGAGCCTTCTCAGATGCCGCGCTCCTCTCTGCGTCGGCAGAGGCATGGTCCGCTTGCTCAATTAGAGTGTCTCTACGCGCTTCGTATCCCTCCTTTCCGCGCAGAGAGCGTTCCAGTCGCGACCATCGCGCAGTAAGGTTCTGTCCACCCCGCGAACGCAGTCGTTGTTGCTCTATTTGAATCTGCGTAGGCAATGTGTTCGGACGAGGTGCAGTAAACTTTGACGCAGCTGTAGTATCAAGATTGGCGGGAGACTCGGTGAGCGATGTCGGCGACGTAGACTGCCCCGAAGACGTGGTAGCCGTGGATGCGGAACGTGCGGGTGAATAACAGCGAGAACAAAGCTGGGCTACTGAGAGAGAAGACCGAGCGAGGTGTGCATGATAGGTAGCAGTGCTGAGCACGTCGAGAGCATTGACGGCGACGTAGAGTAGAGGGCCCATTCAAAGATGCATAGCTGATGACAGTGGGTGTTCGTGCAGAAGAGATTTGTTACCATTTGTATTGATCCCACATCACTGTCCATCAGTAGCGAATTCTATTGATAATCAATGAAGATAACAAATTGCTTGTACTGATTGTGAAAGGGTCCACCCAGATATCGACTGCATTAGCGCCGCCACTGCCCTCATCTTCGACGACCATGGCGGCGTCGTCGAGCACGGCCCTGAAGACGTTCTCACTCACTAACGACATCCTAGACGTGTCACCTCAAGACGAGATCTACCGCTTTGACCCTGCAGCGAACCGCAGGCTCCTCCAGGAGGCACCCTGGGCGCGTGAGTGCGTACACCTACTTTGAACGCTACCCGAACAAGAGTTGATCCTTTCCGATGGTGCTGCAGCCCGCACTACTTCAGAGTGTGCAAAATCTCTGCTGTCGCGTTGATCAAGATGGTACGTACCTGCCGACGCATCCGCCATCGCCACTCATCCGCGCCGCACAGGTCATCCACGCGCGCTCGGGTGTGCCATACGAGATCATGGGCCTCATGCACGGCAAGGTCATGGACCGCACCCTCGTCATCGTCGACTCCTTCGCTCTGCCCGTGCAGGGTACCGAGACGCGTGTGAATGCGGCGAACGAGGCGAATGAGTACATGGTCCAGTACATCCAGGGCAGCGAGCGCGTCGGGCGCTTCGAGAACGCCGTCGGGTGGTATCACTCGCACCCCGGCTACGGCTGCTGGCTGTCTGGTATCGACGTGAACACGCAGATGACGAACCAGAAGTACCAGGACCCGTTCGTCGCCGTCGTGATCGACCCGAACCGCACCATCTCCGCGGGCAAGGTCGACATCGGTGCGTTCCGGACGTATCCCGAGTCATACGTCCCGCCAGAAGCGGGCGCGGGCGAGTACCAGAGCATCCCTCTGAGCAAGATTGAGGACTTTGGTGTCCATGCAAACCAGTACTACCCGCTGGAGGTGCAGGTGTTCAAGAGTAGCCTGGACGCCGAGCTCCTAGGCCTGCTGTGGAACAAGTACTGGGTCAACACGCTGAGCCAGAGCGCGCTCATATCGGTATGCTGCACACTCCGATGCATGTTGACAGTCAACTGAGCATGCACAGAATCGAGCATACGCAGCCTCGCAACTCTCGGACCTCGCACAGAAGCTGACGAAAGCGCAAACCAACGTGCCGAACACAAAAGCACCACCACCCGCGCTGAAAGATGACAAGGCTGCCAAGGTTAGTGTTGCTGCTCGCGGTCATCCCCAGATGTTGACGGTGGCGAGCAGAAGGAAGAGAAGAAGAAAGAGGACCAGAACCAGCTGCTGAAGGGTGCCAAGGATAGGTCAGTCTTCCGCCTCTTGCGTGTGGATCCGGACTGACGAATGTACATCCGTAGCGAGAAGCTGGCTACGGAGGCGCAACACGGGCTGATCGCGCAAGTGCTAAAGGACGTCATCTTCTCGATGCGCCCTCAGGATGCAGCTCTGCGCGAGGTCAGTGAAGCGGTGGATGCCCCTATGGCCATCGGCTAAGTCTGATCTTGACGCTTGTCTATACACGAACGAGAAGGGCGGTGTGTCATTACTACTTGTATCATCAGATATCCTGCCGTGTACGCGTGCTGTCGTTGCTTTTGTCCCGTTAGATGCAATGTATTATATTCCTGTCCAGACGTTCGATACTGTGCTTACCCTCTCGGTTGCAGCGGTTAAAGAACGTGCCGCCTTGTGCTCCCTCCGCTGTGTGAGTCTTGCACACATGATTCCTTCACAATAACAATGACACGAGACATCGCGATCTAGGATCGGTTAGCCAAGTCTGAGACAGTGGATACCACCTGGATCTTTCTCGTAGTAAGTACGAGATGTACTTAAGTGAACGTGGGCGGCAGATCCAGCGTCTGTGCGATGTGGTTATAACGTGCAAATATTGTGATACTCCTCAATCAAGATAATCCCGTCCTCTTCCTGCTCCGGTTGAAGGTAGGACAGCTCGGTGTAAGTATCATGATGTTGCTGGATGTGCTTTGAACTTACGGAGATATCAATCAGCAATAGCTACAAGTTAACGATGGCTCACGAACACTCGGCGGTCCAGGCAGTGGCACGCAGTGGCACTGTATGTCATCGCCCGATTCAGTCTACCTGCAACCCGATCCATTGCTTACTCTAGTCTTTGTATATGCAGGGTCTATCACCCGTTGCGTCGGCAGGAATGTCAAGGAACCCTCTTATACATCGCCTCAAGCCCCCGCCGGAGCTATATGGGCATACGTCGTCGACCCGTTGCGGGACGACCTATCCGCTCTCCGAATTTGAAGTCTAACCTGTTCAGCCTGTGTACTTCTTTCGCGTCGTCAACTCTTCCGCGCTATCGGGTTTGGTTCTCAGCGTCGCTGTCTCTACCTTCGAGACGTACTCGACTCGTCGGAGCTAAGTATCAAAGTCAACGATCGCGCATTACGTGAAGATTTGAAGATTACCTGGTGATGATCGCTGGACCAGGGCAGCTGTTGTGTAGGTTGGGTGGTCTACACGACGACGGGAACGCGCTGCTGCTGCACAGGACCTTCACTCGACTGCCCAACGTCAATATTTCAATCTCGATATCGACCCTCCGCCGGATTGCAACTACGCAGATCCGATACGTCCGTTCAGCCACAGGCTCTTCGCTTTCCCCCGCCTCGGGGTACTGTACAGCTCTCCTCTGTCGCGTTAGACTGCACCATTGAACGGAGCACATCAGACAGATCAACTAACAGAGAGCATATTCTCAGTACTTGGCATAGTACGTTGGCAATATTTGCCAGTGACCCTGTGCATAGTACGCGTACGTTGGGCATACGTTTGGCACGTCCGCCCCGATCTGAATCTGAAGCCACGCACGCTTGCCATGTGGCTGCTTGAAGAGGGCCGCCTGCAACTAATTACGAGTCGCCGTTCCGCGAAGTTGCCTCGTCTCCCAACGACTATCGCATCGCAGTGCACGCGTGCGCCGGCTCGTAGTTCTATTTTATACTGGACCTACCACCAGGCTTCGTGGCTTCAGATTTGTGTCGGAAGTTTGTGCTCTAGCTGTGCTCAAACAGTCGAGTCGTCAGAAGATCATTGGAGGAGATTTACGTCGGACTCTGGCGCGAAAATGGCACCGTCTGTTCGGGTGAGTCGTTGTATGTGCTATCCTTTCACGGGAGCTCACGTAAAAACACGCATATATGCGGTTCTTCGTACACAGAGCGCTCTGTCGACGACACTGTCGATACCAGTCTTCCCACCGGAACCTTTGTCGGAACATACTGGACGACCTCTGCGACGACCGTCGTTCTCTGTCGGCGTGCAGCTTGACTTGCTGGGCGTGGGAGACGTGGGCTCGTCGTCACCTCTTCGAGACCGTCATCCTTACAGAAGTCGATCACTGTCTCTCCTTCGTTGCCATTCTGAAGTCGTCGGTAGCGGCAGGCACCAGCATACAAGACTATGTCCGGACTGTCAAGTTCAGCTCTGATGGATACACTCGGCCTGAATGGCGCGACGCTGCTCGATGGGCGTTTCGTCACCTGCCGAACATCGATTCATTGCAGTTGACCTCCTGCAACTACAACGAACTCGTCGCCTGGGTTTCCGAGGCTTCTTACGATGAACAGGTGGACATCAATGCTACCTCTATAGGTTCTCTGTTCTCTTCATCCTGGATCTCGAGCCTTAGTATCTCCCTGGTGTCTTTCAGGACTTGGGGCAGACTTCTGGACGCTCTGTACATGCTTTCCGTCCCTCACGAGACTAGTACTCATGAACATGCAAATCGACCAACCACTAGACCTGGAGAAACCGACACTGGATATCAAGGCAAATGACACAGCAAGTATGCCCGCTCTTACGACCATCACATCTCCCGTTGTAGCCTCCGGTATCATAGACACGGCGATCGTCCTACGTGGTTTATCACGGTATCCATTCGAGCTTCGTCTACGACAGGTGGACTGTTTTTACGCTGGCGACGACGACCCTCGCATGTTCGATGCCATTATGTCATCAAAGCAGTCTCTCGAATACCTACACCTCATGATCTGGAACGACTCGTGTGAGTGTATCTATGGCGCGATTCAATGCATTGTATTCACTTTGTTTAGTCCTGCGACAGGCCGACTTGACGAAGCACACCAGCCTGCAAACCCTTCTTCTTGGATTTTCGTACGGTTGCTTCGACGTGGATAGCAAGCCGTACACCGCTCTTCCGACCTTCCTGGCTCGTCTCCATCTCGGGCGTTTGCGCGACCTAACCTTCTACATAAGGCTCCCCGTACCCCTTGTGGAGCGTATGTCCTGGGAGTTCTTTGACTGGCCGGCTCTCGATCGCTCTCTAGCCGTCCTCGCGAAGAAGAAACCTGCGTTGCGGGTTACCTTCGACCTCACGTCGTCTAAATCCGACGGAGATACTATTCCCGACATCGTCGGGCCATTGGTGGATCGGCTACGTAACAGCCTGGTTGCGGGCATGATGATCAAAGCGGTGGTAAGGGGTGGTCCACTCACGCATCCTCTTGACGACTCCGGACTGTCCTGCTGGCTTCCTATACCTCATGATGCCGTGGAATCATTGCGCGGTAAGCTGCTCTATGTTGATATCTAGCCCTTGTCTGATCCTTGTTGAGCAGCAGTGCATGCCCTACAACGAACGGGCCAGTTGGGTATCTGAACGGAGACAATGAGGTATGCATAGTACTTTCTCTCACACGTCCGGTGGGCTGCTGACTCCTTTCGCAGGTCGCAGTCTACGCTCAACGTCGACTCCTGTCGCCTGTTATCCACCTATTCTCTGCCTCTTTCATGCTCCTCGAATTCTGAACACGCTTGCCACTCTCGCGATTACTTGGTGATGCATCAGGTTGAACCGACTCGGACGCTAGGAACGGTTCTCTTGACGAGACATCGCTACCATTGTTGTTATCACAGCATGCCTCCGTGTAGTGCGATGATATGGTGTGGTGTAGTGCATCGACGCCCACATGCCGGAGCCAGGATGCATTGCACACTCCCCGATTTCAAAGGTTTCGTGAGTCTGTATCGCGCTGTCAAGCCCATTGCAGCGTCGTCGGTTCAATACTCACGCATAGACATATGCCTTACACTGACTGAACGCCACAGGCATGATTGCGTGACCTAGAATCAGGATCGTGTGAATGCAACGCCCATCAGCTTTACTGACCCGCACTTGATCAGATCGATTGATCAGGGGTCTCTCTCCCTCCTCAGGGGTTTCGCTGCCTTCTTTGCCTCGCAGGTATGTCCTACAATCTGGCGGGGAATAATATTCTCTAACAGATGCAATTCGGTGATTGAATCCAAATTTTGGGTGATTCTGCGGCCCTTGGTTGTAGCACTCGCACAGCTACGCTGAGCGCGAACTCTTGGTCAAGACGTGAACGTACCGCGGCTTAAAGACCTGACATTCCGTGAGAGCTGCTCTTACCGTCGCATCCGTAATGCACTCACGAATGGCTGGAGGCTGCGCACACACCTGTATATGATCTAGTGCGATGGACTCGCAACCATTACATGTTGCGCTGCCACCCGAACTATGGGAGACATCATCGACAAGCTGTCATCCAACTTTCCGACCCTCCGAGCATGCGCATTGACACAGCGGGCATGGGTATCAAGGACGCGGCGATACCTATTCAAAGCGGTCTCGCTGAAGGGCGTCGATCGCTGTAGAGCATTACAAACATCATCCATTCATCCTCATCGACTGGCACTGGAGTAGCGCAGTGCGTCCGCGATGTCACACTCATCGCATTCTGCCTACGTCTCGATGTCCTGAGGATCCCGAGGCGTCCGACATACCACTCCTGGAAAAAGTACTCTCGGCATTGCCCAAGTGAATTGCTTGCGGCTAGTTGGCGTGGATGTCAAATGTAGGCCGACGATGCGCGCGGGCGACGCCTTGGACGACGAATACCCGATAAGCCGCCTCAATCACTGTTCACCTTACTGCGGTTGCAGACGCTACACGTTATGTCAACCACATTGGATTCGGCGTCTGACATCTTGCTCCTTCTCATCGCTTTTCCGCAAGTGTCATGTCTGCATCTGCGGGAATTGCGTCCTCCTCTACAGAGCCTACTACTCCATGGGCCCGCGCGATTACCGGCAAGCAGAAATGCCACCTCGGACTCTAAGATCTGTATCCGGGAGATGTCGATCGCCTCGTCGACGCACCCAGTGCCTTTGTGGGTGCTAAGTGTGCTCAGGCAACCGCCTTTCAAATGCGCCTTCCAGAAATTTGTGTGGGGCTGGTCAAGTGACCGGGCAGAGGAGACGTCGTTCCTAGGAATGGTGGACGAAGCGAAGGACACCTTGGAGGAACTCACAGTGCACTGTGCAGCGAATTCGGGCCGTACGTACGTTCTCAATGACTGCCACCTATGATTAACCAACCAGTGTCCCTGACAGTGCTCGAGACAATGGATCTATCTCAGCACTCGCTCCTCAAGTTCTTGGGTGTCGTTCTAATTCGCTCTCAAACCGTCGACTTGCCTACCTACAAGTTTCCACCGACGTTTCTGGTATTTCTCTCTCGCACTCCCAACAGTCTGCGGGCTCTCCACGTGCCTATCATTCAGACACTGCTTTCAAATGGCGCCCCTCAGTGGTCATTCATGGATTGGCCGAGATTTGATGAGACTCTCGCGCTCCTGCACAAGCGAAACCCCCACTTGGTCGTCTCCATAGTCCTGACTCTCGGTCTGGAGCGGGGGAATAAACACTGGGCTCCACGGGTGGTCAAGTCGTTGGTGGTGCGGCCACTGTTGTCACGGCTGCATTGCTCTCTACTTGCAGGGCTGCATGTCCGTCTGGTGTTTGGTTTTGTGGCATTGGTACCGAAAGAGCGACCTGGCTTTTCGGTATTGGTCCCCAAAAAACCACCGAAGGTATGTTACCTCTGGAAATTGGAGGAGTTTGTAAGTACGAGCGTTTATATGGGTCTGCTTGAAGTTGAACATATGGCATTCGACAGAAAGATGCAAACACATTGGTGTGATGCCAACAAGTACTGCAAGCTGCGGCCAGTATCCGTCACGCTATACTCCTGTCAACGGAGAATTTGGAGATCTTTCGGGTCGAGTTAGTCCACAAATGTCGTGTACGATGTCATAGATGCCATGCGTACGATCAATGTTGGCCCACTAGAAGTCGAATCCGCAAAATGCATGCGCCCCGCCTCTGTCATGGATAGTTGAGCATGTAGATAGAGAGGCTCTTTGGGAAACCACTGAATTACGGACTTGTCATCACAGAGAGCCTCGACGCTGCACAACTTGAACTTGCAATTGTTACTATGATTCCTGACCAGTCTCGTTTCATCGTGTCTGCACGTACGGAGCCCCTACTTTCAATTCCCATCCACGGTTTATTTCCCATTCGCAAGCATTTATGACGGCGGCCGGCCTAAGTACATACCATCGCGGAAGCTTTTCAGACCAAGTATGTACTAGATGGCAAGCGCCCGCATCGGGAGCGCCAGTACATGATATGCTTGCCGATGGCTGAAGCTTCTGTTCTCAACGTTCATTACCCTTTACGACGTCGTACGCTCGCTCAGTGGGGTCGCCGTCACCATGTACCGCGCTTTCTCCTCCCTGCGAGACTATATATCGGGAACATCCAATCAGTCCGCGCGCCGGTCTGACTCTGGCTCAATGATTCGCATCACTCGCATGTCCACACCCCTGCCTCTCGACCTAGATCAGACCAAACTCTATCCCGTTGCTAAGGGTGAGATATTTAACGAGAAGTATCGAGCTCTGAGGATGTTGGGTCATGGAACGCACTCCACGGTTTGGCTTGTTCGTGATATTAGGCTCGTAATGTTTCACTATAATGCAAGCTAGCATTGACGATGCACATTGACGACTCTCAGAACAGAGCAAGAATTCGCCATGAAGGTCATGGTATCTTGGCTGTCCGACAATAACAAGGGTCCTGATGAACTTGGTGTCCTGCGCATGCTCCAAAGTGGTCCATCCAGCTCGCCCGGAAAGCCTCACGTCTGTCAATTGCTCGACTCTTTTGTTCATCACGGGCCGGCGACTGGCAAACACACCTGTCTCATTCTTGAACCGCTTGGTTTGAGCGTTCTTGATGTGTACCACAGCTTCCCTAGCTCCCTACCGTTGATATTAGTTCAACGCATAGCAAAGCAGGTCCTCCAGGGCCTTCAATACATGCACGAGTGTGGCGTCATCCATACAGGTGAGCTATGTCTTCTACGTCACGTCGGTCACTAAACAGGTCATAGATATCAAGGGCGACAACATACTATTGACTGGGATCGGGTTCGCAGAGGACCAGACTACGAAGGATATCGAGATCATGGATCTTTTCAGCATAACTTACAAGCTCACGGACTTCGGCTCAGGTGAGTGCTGCGACATTCGCATGTTCTGATTCTAATCTGTCTCTAGCGAACACGACATCCCGTCAATGGGCCGCGGTGATCCAACCCCTGGCTCTCCGATCCCCCGAGGTTCTCATCGGTGCACCATGGGATACCAAGACCGATATCTGGAACTTCGGATGCCTCGTAAGTCATTTTGCGATGCACGAACTCACAGATTAATTAGTCCGCTTTGCAGATGTACGAATTCGCGCGAGGCGCGATTCTCTTTGATCCTGCGTGGCAGAACGAAGAGACTGGCATGGACCACACGCAAACACATCTCTCACAAATGGTCGGTCTGCTCGGCCCCTTCCCTCAGAGCTTTGTAGCCAAGGGTGTTGCTGCTAAGCAGTACTTCGATGAATCGGGTAAGGCGGTCACGTCCTCGGAACCTGATCACCCCTAATTCTAGACTTCCTTTCAGGTCACCTCCTCCGACCTTCTGCGTACGGGATAACCCTCGAAGATTTGCTTTCCCGGGCAGGCCATCCAGCCGAAGAGCTACCACAGGTAGTCGACTTCCTTCTCCATGCGTTGACCATCGATCCAGAAGAGCGGTGGTCGGCGGCACAGCTCCTTGCCCATCCGTGGATGCAGGATGTTCTCTGACGCTGGGTCTGATACATTATGTGCATTGTGTATACAACGACGTCCGGATGCTGCATAACAATGCAGATCGTTTACTTCTCGAGCCCCAAGCCATGCGATTGTCATTTGAAGTCTTCCCGTGGTCGTGAACTCCTACAAGACTTACACGGAGTCAATGCCAACGGTATGCGTGCTCCCATCATGTGCTGCTAACCTATGATTTTGCTTTACAGGGTTCAACCTGAGACCAAAACGCGATTGATGATACGTGCCACAGCATACGCGAACACGAGCCAATGCGAGTACGCATAGCGGACCAGGGTGGGCCCACCCGGTTGCAGATATATAAATCAGCAGTACATCGACGTCGACATAACCGAATCCGACGCGCGACTGTCTGTCTCTGCGTGGAACGTGAGCGCGTTGAGGCTTGCGAGACAGCGCTTCCGAGTGGCCGTGGACCGCGGCGTATGCTCGTGCGGTGGACTTCAACGTCCCAACCAACGGGAAGCCCGACTCGGAATCCCCCTTCTACTTAACCCCTGGAAGGATTGGCATACAAGGGTATACGCCGCGTCACTCAGGCTCATTGACACCGTGCATGGGCAGCGACGCGTCTAACAATAAATTCAATGTACGTGCTAGCTCTACCCGCTTCGCGATGCTAAGTTTTTCGTTAGCTTAGCACTCTTGTTAAAGGTTGTGTTTCCTACCCTTCCTTCCCAGCTGCCGACCAGTTGTATATCCACTTCACCGGCTGAGCCCACGTCACATGCAGACGGGTAGCCTTGTGCTACTTTTCGGCCTCGAACGGCGTAATGAGCCTGAACGAACTCGCGCAGACTCAAAGCCGAATCGCGGCGCCTTGTTCACATTCGTCGTTGCGAATAGCGCGTTGGCGTGGATCAGTGCCGAAACGCGTAGCCTCACACGTCAGGCAGTGCAAGTGCGACAAGGCATGACGTGACGAAGAATACAAGCACTATCTGGGTACGGAAACCACTAATGGGTTGGGAATTTCTGCGCTCTCACTCTTATGGGGATTGAGCGACATGAATAAAGCAGAGTATTCAACGTAACTTGCATATGAGCACACCAGCATAATAGACACGACGGGGATTCGGTAGCTCCCGGAGCACGTTGGTCTGATTTTCGATAGACGGGGAGGGCGTGAAGATGATGTAGGTATGGTATACGATGGTGTTTGTGCGTAATAAGTCATGCGTCCTGCACAAGCCATTGCAGACTCAGTCAGCGTCAGGCGGACAGATTGAGTACACTGACATTATCAAGGATTATGTGCGGAGCGACTGAGCATCCTCTACCCCGCGTAATCCGAGTCGATGCTGACTATACCACGATCATGCCACGGTAAGAGCATCGGCCGGAATATGGTCTTCGTCAACATCGCGAGGTAGTCCAGTTTGTGCGCATCGTTGCAGAGTAGGTCATGTGCATGAGGCCTAGAAGTAAATTCTAACTTGACGTGGACGTCCGTCAATGCGCGGAAGCACGGCTTCTCCATGACGTCGTGATAGTTCCGCAAAGCCGGAGTGTCAGCGAGGTCATGCTCCTTGAGGTTCTCGGGGCTCAGGCCCCTGAGATGGATGGCGATGTGACGAAGCTCATGGCTCCGAACGGTGTAAAGGATAGCATGCAGCTGGCTTGCCAATTGCCACGCGCGTGTCTTCCGTCCAGCCCGAGGGTAGAGGTACAATATCAATTGACTTAAAGTCGTGTTGTGCACTAGACTGAAAGGAGATCGAGAGTCTCGGATTGTCCAAGAGTTAGCGCCGGCGGTTGACAAACGAAGACGGTAGAGGGAACTTACCACGGAAGCGGAATTCATTTTGATCACCACGAAAAGAGGTCAGAGATGACCCACTCGTCTCGAGCAGTCGATTAACTTGCTTGGCTAAAAGACCGTTCGAGCAGTAGCGGTAACGCGGGTAGGGGCCCGGGTAGGGATCATCTCTGAAGACCCGGGATATCACCAATTCGGAGAGGGAGCTGCAGACTCCTGAGTCTACAAGCCAGGTGATGATTGGATCGAATGGATGTATGCTTGTGATCAGTTCATCTGAGTCCGCCGGGTCTGCATGGACTTCGAGTCGCTCGAGTCGCGTTTCACATAGAGTCCGGAATCGTGTACCAGAGAACTGATGTATCGGTATCAGGAGTTCCAGAACGACTTCTTTCAGCCCCAGGAGCGCGCAGACGATCTGTTGCAGCTGAGTAACGTTTCTAAGCATGATTCCATGCAACCGCAACGATGTAACGTGCTTGAAGTGAGACAATGCAAGGTAGAAAGTTGGGTGCATGGGAGGATGCGAAAACCCAGCGATGTCGAGGACTCGCAGAGCGGGCAGTGAATTGGCAAAGACAATAGGCAGGACATCCAGATTTAGGGAGTCGAGGCCTTGTTCCAAGCAGGCTCGACGATAGTCGCGATGAAATAGATCAGGATAGTCGCGATGAACACATAGTTCACGAGTGGTTGATAACCTCTGCTTGATGCGAGGTGACGTTTGCAGCTGATGAACCAGAAGGTCGAAGTCTTTGCGTGACTGGAGACGCACGGTATGATAGAGGTTATGAACGGCGCGAGGATGCCAGACCCGACTGACTAATGCCGCGGCGAGCAGGGCGTGGCTTTCCATCCAGTCGATGATGTTTTCGAAGGTCTCGATTGGGATGCGATCAGAAAGGGTCAGCGGCAAGGAGCCTTGGAGAGACCGTTCTTTGCTGATTTGTCTGGTCGCGTGAAGATGACAGTGATCTTCACCATCATCACGATCTCCGTGGCGGTCATTATTTGCGCCATACAGTATGCGGGGTACCGTTTCGACGTCTGTGCCCAAAGGCATGGATGGGAGCGTCGGATGGATCTGATCAAGCAATGAGCAACGTTTGCGCCGAAATTGAAGGACAGACCAACTCCACTGAGAGCCTGTACCGGTGCTGAACTGACGTCAAGGTCCGACATCATCTAGTATAACATCCACTGCCAGGCTGGCATGAGTATCGAGCATCCCCAATTTACAGGAGTATCGAATGAGACGTACCTGTCTGGGGACGTATGAGGGAGAGACAGCGGCGTGGCAGTACTGTCAGTCGAGTACCCCGCTAATACTTAACGCTTGTGGTACCCATGCTATCTGCGCGTGGGATCAGACTCGGAGCGGCTCTCTGACCGACTGGTCTAGTACCGGCCCACATGCAACGGAGTCCGGAAACTGCCTTCCTGCACTCTTCGAAATGAGTAGGTATACGTACACGGTGATTGCAGCCTGAATTTGTTCATGATCGCACCTCAGCCCTTCTACAGTTTCGGCCACATATAAGCAAGCGCTACACTAGTAGCTCATGCCTACTAGTGAGCCGATGCAATCATTGTGGGAGAAGGTCGGAATGCAGGCAACTTGAACTGTATAATACACGGGTCGACCGCGGTGGCGGTCACTGGCACCCGCCGGAGTTTGAAAGCCGAGGGCACGGCACAATCCTCAACTACTTATATATACACCGGAAACAAGCATCTTTGGAAGTTTAATCAGAACCGAGTTGCATTACACTACTAGATACACGTATATGTTACATGCGAGTACATTATTGTGGATGTTACGGACATGTCCATGCAGAGATCGTGGAATACATAGACGATATGATGTGAGTGTAAGATGATGCATGCCAACACAACGATGAGCCCAATTGAAGAAACCCTAGAAGTCAAAGAGATCCAAACGCATAAACCGTCGGTGTAATAACCACCGGCCACTCATCACCAGTGCCCCCTCACCGGCACCACCGGGCCATTCGCAAGCTCCGCGCCGACCTTCTGCACGAGCTGCATCCCGAGCGGCTCCAACACCTCCCTCCACACCCTCGCCCTCCTGCGTCCCTCGAAAATGCTCATCGACCGCTCGCCCGTCTCGCCCTCGGGTCCGAACACGAACACCTTGTCCTCCGCCCACGGCGCCTCGCCCCACGCGAATGCGAGCCAGCGCGCCTGCATCGCGTCGCGCACGCGCGAGTACGCGTAGTCGTCCACGACGGGCACGCCCCAGTCGTCCACGAACCCGCTGTCGGTCGACATGTCCGAGTCAGACGCACCACTGTCCGTCTCCGCGTCGAGCGTGAGCGCGCTCAGGCTCGCGAGGCACGGCGCGAGCGCGTGGCCGTGTACGGCGACGTGCTCGTGGACTTCGATGTAGGCATGCTCGCCGCAGAGCTGCCTCGGGGAGTCTTCGTCGTCGGAGTCCGAGTCAAAGTGCTCCGGCATGAGCTGCGCAGGGCTCTGCGACGCGACTGTCGGCAACGGGACATTATCGAAGAGATACACCAGATCCACTGCATGATGCGGGACCGCGCGCCCGGGTCCTTCCTGGTCGAACACGTAGCGGTACACGCCGCGCCCGCCACGCTCGCGTCGCGCATGCGCAGCGACGCATTCCGTCGGCCACGCGAAGCGCGCGTCGTTGATGAGCTCGAGCACGCGGGCGTGCAGCTCCTCTGGCGGCGCGTGCGGGTGGATGTCGTACGCGCGGAGGAGCGCGCTCGCCTTCGTGAGCGACTGGCATACAGCGCGCACGCGCCGCTCGATCGCCGTCGCGGACCAATTTGAGGCGGGGCGCGCCCAGAGGAGCGCCTCGTCGCTGCAGTCGCCGATGAGGAGCGGCTGGTGGTGCGCCGACACGGGCGTGTGACGCGCACGCGATCGAGAACGGGAGAGGAGGCGTAGGTGATTGTGGCTGTAACTGTGTGGGGGATGGTGCGGTCGGCCGCGTCGGTGTTCTGCTGGCTGCTCAGCCTCAGGGATGAGAGAGCCCGAGAAGTGTTTGTGGAAGAACACGCCGTCGTCGACGGCGCGCACGCTCCCACCGAGCGCGACGAGCTTTTCCGCTTCTAGAGCGCGGAGTTCGCCGACGCTCTGCACATGCAACGCGGCCATGTATCTGGACATGTGCCAGCCCGCGGTGTGGACGGTCGGAAGCTCGAGATCCATGTTGGCGCTCTGAACGATGGCGCGCCGGAAGAGAGGCTGCTTTTCGTTTGCGGCAGAATGGAGGTGGCAGAGAATGTCGGCGGCGCCTGTTGACTCGCCGAAGAGCGTGATATTCGAGGGATCGCCGCCGAATGCTGAGATGAAGTGGTAAACCCACTCTAGCGCTCGGCGCTGGTCACGGAGGCCTTTTGAATGAATGATGTCAGACGCGGGGTCGCTATGCATGACGATGAACAGAGACATGCGTACCGTAGTTACCGACGCCCTCGTCGCCTGCGGCCTTGTTGTCCTCGCGCAGAGCAGGGCTGGCAGCGAAGCCTAGCAGACCAAGCCGATAGCTGCGAGATCACATGAGCACCTGCAATACAGAGGGAAAAGGCTATACGCACTTGAAGGTGACCATGATCACTGGCTTGCCAATGAGCATGCTCTTTTGCACGAAGGCGCCGCCGTCGTAGACCCATTTTGAACCCGAGCCACGGTTTCCGCCCCTGCAAGACGATGAGGAGGCATGATGTAGGCTAAGTCGCGTGCACGTACCCGTGTATCCAAAGCATGACAGGCAGACGCGACTCTGGGGTCGCGTCGCCGGGACAGGTTATATTAAGATTTAGACAATCGAGTTCATTTTGTTTGAGGACTTGGACAGGGATGTTGTCCTCAGATATGCCAAAGAGTTGTGCGTCCGCGCCTGGATGTCTTGGCTGCGGGCAGATAGGACTAAAGCAGACCAGAATCAGCGTACGGCTCGCCCACACAGCCATCTTGAACTCACCCGTAGTGACTGGCATCCGTCAGGAGAGGGTAGATGGTGTTTAACCTCGACTGACGGAAGCGCGCAGGTATGCTAGCGTACTGGATCCCGCGATACTGGTGCACGGGCGCCTCAGCAGTGGAAACGGGATGGACGACTCCGGTGAATGTCGTCGCGAGGTCCTCATGGAGGACGACAGGCTCTTCCAAGTCCAACGCAGGAACCTTCGCAATCATTGCTGGTGCTTGCAGCCAGTGCCAGTGCGCGTGAAGCCAGGAGGCTCAGAGACAGGGGCAGCGTGGTCGCGAACGGGCAATGCGGGGAGGTGCAACAGGTGCGGGGCCCCAGCCTGCACGCCTGGACATGGATTTGTACCTGCGCAAGACGGTCGAGCACGCGCACATCGATCCGTCCGAATGCGGGGAGGCTGAAAACTGGACGGGTGCGCCGCGAAAGGCAAGCCCCGCACTGGCGCGTCGGTCCAGGTGCCTCGGAAGTTGCCGGGACCAGCGGGCGAACCGACTCGAACGCTCGGCGCAACGGGCGAAGGGGCCATGGGACGCAGCTGCAGACCCTCCTCGACCATGCTTGACATCAGCATGACGCCCCTGTCCACGCCTGTCCACCCGCGGTTTGGTGCAAATCCGAGTTCCCCCGAGGTCACGTCTGGCGCGTACATAGGTTCAGCCTGAGCGCACTTCAGTCTAGAACGGGCGGAATTAAGTGACACAGCACACAAAACCGCGTGCTGTACGTACTCTCCTTCCCGACAATCATAAGTGTGCTTCATCTTGCAAGCTGCCGCAGGAGCGAACCTACTTATTGTCGCCCAATGGGAGTTTCGTCGCCCGTGCAGTTCGTAACATATAGCTTCTTTGCACGTCCTCGATATCAATCCGATAGCGCAGCTTGATGGGTGGCCCTGGAGGCTGTATTCGCCAAGGTTAGCCTTCCATACTGATGATCTCGGCCACAATTGGGAGTCTGGACGGCGTTTGTATGATAAGTGAAGAGACATCGTAATAAGAACTCACCACACGGCCGCGAATTGCGCAGAATTGTTCGCGGCACCGTCTTACGCACGCAGTCAACGATGTCATGCACGAGTACAAGCATGTATTGCTACGGTACACGGCCCATACAAAGGTAGGAATACACCACAACCCATGTGTGTGCAGCGCGCCCCGCACCAGCCTGCGCGGACGTAGTCAGGACGTGTAACGGTGAGGTCAAGGAAGGCAAAGACTTACCTGAAGGACGCACATGGCAACGCCTGTGCAAACGGAAGACGTAATGCCGTGACGAAGTGAATCTCCATGGCGCGCTGCCTTTTCGGTACGGCCGGTGCGGGCAGCTGATCACTCCCGTACTCACAAAACCGCGTGCCTTCGTTCATGCCGGTTACAGATGCGGAAAGACCTTGGATCGACGTGAGCATGTCATCGCCGTCATGGTAGCCTGGTGCACTGCTCACCTGATAAACCAATAATGTCGGTGCGCGACGTGCGATAGGGCCGACACCACCTGCAATCGTCCGAGCCAGAGGACCGCATCTCGATTGCCCTTCGTCTCGGAGCATTTGTCTGGCCCGCGAAGTGGACACCCTCGAAAGTTTGCTTCGGCCGAACAGAACATACGCGGCGTCACGATCCTTCCTCCCGGGGCGAGACACAGTACCAATTCACAGAGAGCCAAGCTGAACCCAGTACACGGCGCAGAGAAAACCTAGACTAGGGCCCGCAGCTGGAAGCAGTAGCACGCTGACGCCCCAAAGACCGATAGGCCTACCAATCCGCTGCCCACCGAGTTCCGGAAACGCACCCGCGCATATGCACAGTCAACGTAGCGCAAAGTTCTGCTGGAACTTCATGCAGCATGGGAAGAGTCCGAGAGGGAAGTTCCCTCACCGTCGTGGCCAGCTTATATATCGATATCGCGTCCCGCGGAGGAGATCTGGGGTGCGTACCGTCCGGACAGCTGACTAGAGATCCGCAGATAAGGCGCGGCTCTTGGGGCGGGGTGTCTTCTTCGCGCATGCTCGTCCGATTTGGGATAGCCAGAGTGGGGTCCCGGGATCCGTCACCGCTCGAAATCCGAGAGCATCACAAGCGCGGAGTTCCCTAGTGGATATAATTAACAGTCTAAAATGGTATACATAATGACGACGAAGACATACGTCCAAACGTTGATCGACGCTCGAAACAGTCAAATGATAGTCGCCTGCCTGTACTTATTCAAACTTGAATGCTCTTCGGAGTCTCCTCCAGCGCGATTCCGGAACTTCGAGTTGTGGGAGAGACGTCCATCGAAGCCCATTCAAACGCCGCACGACCATGCCCTGTCGATAAGTGATCCATCGTCCTCGTCTGTAAGGCTCACGTCACCCATTCGGATTTGAGCTTGCTGACCAAAGGTTCTTCTAACCCGACTTGACCTCGTCGGGGTCAAACACAATCCACGCCGAGATTCGGTTCTTCGCCTCACGTCAGGGTGCACAGATGAAGGACTTCAGGTTGGCTCAACGCCACCTTGAGAGGCAGATACGGAGTGGTCGACAGGAGGCCGTCATCCGCCAAGATGGCTAGTCTGTACATCGTGACATTAATGCCTCGCACGACGAGTGTCATATGGAGACATAGAGAGGTATACGCGTATGATTCCGTTCGTAGACATTGAGCCGAGGTGGCTCTCGGGCCCTCTTCCTGCGAGTCGGCTCCAGGCGGCGGAAATTTCAGACAGACCAGTGCCTGTAGAGATTTATACTGTGCCTATGAGACGTCCACTGTCCAGCAGCCAGATAGATAGGATCGCAAGAGCGGGTCAAAGGCGGCCACCGCCGGGCGTCCGAAGTCCAGTTGTCACAAGTCGTCACGCGTGACGCGTCACGGGGATGCGTGTCGCAGCGTGTGTGCAACTTGAACTTGGACTCCACAAAATGGACCCACCCTCCTCCTCCTCCTCCACACCGTACACGGTATGTAGTACATACCGCTCCTCTACGCCCGGGATTGTTCAGCTCTAGATTTGCATTGCTTGCAGATTCACTACTCTCAGGCTCACCGAGTCGGAATGACACCGACTGACAGTGGCATATTAGCGGATAAGTTATGCTGGGTCAGTATCTCCACGCGCAAATAGGGTCTGGGCGGTTCAAAAACCACCGAACGAATGCTCTGCCTCGTTGCTGCGACGCTGCAGCTATCGCCTCGACCATCACATTCACTGGTTGGTAGGTACGTCCCACCCTAAAATTTACTGCGATATGCTCAATCCTGTCACCTAGGTGGCAATGGAAAGTGACAGCATTGAATTTACCGAACTGCCACCTCTCAGCGGGTTGTCTGAAGGTGAAGGATCGCTTGTCCGGACCCCTTGCCCAGGGACGTTAAGGCCTCGACTTCAGCGCATATTTCTCTACACTCAGCCAGACGGAGGCTCTGAGGACGCTGGGAGCAACTGTGTCGCACACTCTCCACACGGTTTCTTATCGCTGACGCTTTGTGGCCGCATCCCTCTCGATGTCTTCGTCTATATCATCGGTCACATGGATCGTTCCGCGTTGCTCACCGCGGCATTGGTCTGCTGGGCATGGCACCGCTGCGCTCTGCGCAGTCTTTATACCACTGTCGAGCTCAATTCGCGCGCAAGCTACGATTTGTTGGTGGAACAGTTCCGTACGTCGTCTCGTGTCAAGCAACGCCTAACCGCAACACGCATACTAGTCGTGGGCAGCTACGACACGAAGCAAGGAAGCGCTCCCTTTCTGGATGCCCTGCCTGCCGTCTTTGTCAACACACTACCCATGCTACGAGTACTCGACATCCGTCAAGCCCTGCGTCCTGTCATGCACCAGACTTTCTATATCGCCCTTCATCAGTTCAAGCACCTTGTGTCGTTGCGCGTGTCTGCTGTCACTCTGCGAAGCACCGACCAACTGCAACGGATCGTCAACGCGTTTCCGCAATTGGTAGCACTTGCCTTGAGCAATGTGGCCTTCATGCGCTATCATTCTACCAGTCGCAGATCGCGATGCCCTCCCCAGACCAGGTCCAACCTCCATCTTAAAGAGCTTGGTCTCCATGTTGACGACTCGCAGGTTTCTACCGATCCGGTGGGCGCTCTTGAACACATATCCCACTGGCTCGAATCCTCGGGTATTCACCTTCATATACTGACCGCGGACATCTCCCCTGCGTCAGCGAATGACCACGCATTCGCATGCGAGCAAGTTGATCGACTGCTCAGCACAAGTGGGCCGTATCTGACTACCTTCAGTAGCCGCTTTGGTGGTCGCATCCGTAAATGATCCCCATGGCCTCTGGGATCTGTCAGCTACTAATGATAGCGCACTTCACAGGCCATCCTCGGGAATTCTGCAGCCTAGTTCACAACACAGCCCTGCAGACCTTGAAGTTGACGCTGGCCTTCGAGCCCAACGACGCCGACCGGTCAACATTAGCCACCGAACTGTATGCCACACTCTCTACGGTCCGAAGCTACCAGCTCAAACGCATCGTTATCGTGTTCTACGTCGGCCTCCAACTCGACGACGGTCTGCACACGGTGAAGCTCAACCGATCGCATGCAGCGCTCGTCACGAAGTGGTATGGCCTACACGAAATCATGGGCTACCCGTACTACGCCATCTTGCGGGACGTCGATGTCCGGATGGACGTTGTGTACAATAGACGAGGACACAGCCAGGAGTGGGTGGACGACATCGCCCGAGCGCTGGTCCCCGAATTGCAGCAGCTGTTCATGCCATGGCACGCCCGCGGAATAGTCAACATCTCCTACACCCTCCGAGGCGTGGGACTAGCCAAGTGAGTGTACGCTATACCTCGACTGGGCGCCGGTGGGTGTCGTCCTCCACCTCCCGGTAGAATGTTAGCTTACGTTGCGCTTGTCATACAGCAAACAAGACCCACGCGTCATATATTTGAGTCACTCCTGCGTACGATCGTGCACGGTGTAATGTATCATATCATCCATCCACCGGGACCCTGATGGACGACCGACGTATGTAAGTCGCGCACCCCGATCGCCAGTTGGACTGACTTGGCACGCTCCTTATTCGCCGGTCTGGAGGAATACCTTTTTCACTTGTACGCCCACGTTGCCCTTCGTCGCGTTGGACGCACGGACATTTGTTGCTATTATGGTGGCGCTTGCCGATTCTCGCATTGTATTTGTCCCAATATGCTCAACGAATGACAGGAAAACATCGCTGAGTCAACCTCGCTGGCATATCAGACCTGCGCGCCATGTTACCTGCTACCTGTCGCAAGGCCTCCCTTGGGTGCGGCTTCCTGGCTTAAAACAAATTACTAGGTCGCCGCTTCCCAGAGGCGTGATGCGGGCATCGGAAAGGTTGCACATCTCTCATCTATCCCACTATATGTCGCCAAATTTGTGTGCGACTTACTGCAGACTCCGAGTCGTTCCTGGGACGACCACAAAAGGCGCCTGAAGGCATCTGTCATGTCAACGGCCCTTTTGATCCTTCCTGTCACACGTATTTCAGGTACGCGGCACTGCTCTGTATGTCGAGCCTTATAAACATGTCGACTGAACAGCCTGACCAGGCCTTGCCCCGTCTCCCGTTCTCCTAAAAGTGCGTACTAGTATATTTCTCTTAATGCTTGATTGACCATTCGGGGGACTTACGCCTGCCGGTGCCAGGTGATGCAGAACATGGGCCCTCCGCCCGATGCCCCCCTAGTCGCAGGGAAAACATTACCAACGGGTTTTCCAGATCCCTCCTACGGGCTCGTTCGTTTTTCCGTGTACCAATGTCGAAGAAACATCATACGCCGACGGACGGAAGAGGCGCTTCACACAACGAACGCGAAGACCATACTGTGCACAGTCAAGGCCAAACACTTGCCACCGACCTGTCTGAAGACGAAGGACGGCCCCTTTCCACTGCCTTATCCAATCGCATACCTATCGAGATATATGAAAACATCATCGAACACACGGATCGGGATATGCTACGTTCTGCGGCATTGGTTTGCCGGGCATGGTATCCTCGTGCCAGTCAGAGTCTCTATCACACCGTCATCATCGAGTCGCGTGCAAGCTATGGTTTGTTGACGACGCAGCTCCGCACGTCGCCTCGCATCTCGCATTGGCTTGCGTATACGCACGAACTGGTCATCGGACGCTACCGACCCAGCGACTCGAATATACCCTTTCTGGACGCCCTTCCTCTTGTCTTCGCACAAGCTTTACCAGCCTTGCGGGTGCTCGAGATTCGTCGGAGCTTGCGTCCTGCTATGCACCCGAGTTTCTATGTTGCCCTCCGCCAATTCCAGCACCTCACGTCATTGCATCTGTGTCTTGTCAAGCTGAGCAACACTGCTCAGCTACGACGGATTGTCTGTGCGTTTCCGAGTCTGGAAGAGCTCACCTTGGAGAATGTGACTTTCGTGCAAGCGCAGTCCTCTGGTGCAACAGTCCGGAACGTCGCTCTCGTAACTCATCCCGAAATTCGGCTCAGGCGACTGAAGTTACGCGGGTATCACGACGGCCACATACAGTCATTCGATCCAATTGTCACCTGGCTTGTATCCTCGAAATTCTGCGGTTCCCTTCTCGCTTTGGTGATGGTCTTCGACGCCTCGTCTCCGTTGGATGCTATCAGGGAGCTCGCAACCAAGCAAGTCGATCGACTCCTCGAGGCAGGCGGGCCGTCTCTGGTATCCTTCCATGGTGAGATCTATTTGTGGCTTCATGGTAAGGAACCTCTCCCCGCCAGCGCCCCGCCAGCTCATTTTCTGATACTTACGAATCTTCCAGATCACTCTCCTTGCGATTTCGCGCACAACACAGCCTTACGTCACTTGGCGTTGAAGCTGAACTTCCACTTTGGCTCGTCCGTAGAAGACTCGGATTGGCCAGACGCGGCAAACGAGCTGCGCGCGGCCTTCTCCACGATCCGGAGCCACCAGCTCGAGGACATCGCAGTCCACCTCAGGTTCGAATTCTCCAGCCGTCTGGGTGAGGAAGAGCTCAGCCGCTCCTACGAGAAGCTGGGCTCAGACTCGCGGGGCCTACACGATGTCCTGGCTCGGCCGTACTTCGTCGCACTGACGGAGGTCGGCGTCAAGGTCGAGGTGTTCCATATGCCTGATGATTACAAGTCGGCGGACGACTTTGCCAGAGCGATCGTCCCTATATGCCGGCGATTGTTCACGCCATGGGATAATCGCGGTATAGTCAACGTTTCGTACTACACGACTCAGGCGTGACCGTGAAGAAGCGTATGCCTCGAGTCTCTGCAAGGCTTACCCGTAGTGCGTATCTCGTGCAAGCCACCCGCCGGACATTGACTGACTTAACGAATTGAAGCAGGACTCGCCGTATCTACATGCCTGTATTGACACATGTAGGGGCTCTTGCGGTCGCACATCAACTTCCGGCGCATATATCCACGCCCCGCAAGGATACGTGGCACAGCAAAGGCAACTGCAGTCATACATGTACATCGCGACCTTCGTGATGCTTCATTGAGACGTCGCGGATAACTTTCACGTCGATGAAGTCAGTAATTCGCCCCTTTGTCGTAGGTGGGCCTACTCACCTGATCGACACATAATTGTCGTACTAGCCCACTGTTCCCGCTCCCGTCTAGATGCCGGGGTAAGGATCAGCTTGGGGCATTTTGGCTATGTATTCCACTTCGTGCTTCATTGCGCCATAACACGTACTGCGGTCCGCAAGATGAAGGTAGTACGAGTTGACACCAAGATCTTCACCGCAACATGCGACGGGCGACAGGGCAAACTATAGCTAGAGTCGGCTAAGTCAAATATGGTTCATGACGAGCAACCCACGACGCACCGTATACCCGTCAATTCGCATCCCGATGGAATAGCACTCCACTCCCAACCTACGCAGCTGAGATTGAGGAGGCACTGCTAGCATGCGGCCGACGAAGCGGGCAAGATCGAGGCGACTCCCACTATGGCCAGCTTTTATGCAATAGTGCTGCACCGCAAGGCGTTCGCTCTCCCGTGCATCCCGTGCATTCTGGGCAGAGAGCCTCTTTGAATCATGCAAACCAACTGGACGGAGACGCTAAGGGAGTAGCATATCTCTTTCCATTAACCAAGTCGTCCGATTCCGCCGCCGTTTGTCGAAGCAGCCGCGAGCAAGTCTCCGCTATTGAGCTGTTGAGAATACGCGGATGGGTCGCAGAACGAAAGCCAGAAACAATGTTGTAGGTGAGCACGAGATAACGGGAACCTGGCGAGTCGTCCTCATTGCCTTCGCGGTGTATCATACTTAGAAGCCTCCCGAGCGCGGCGAAGGGGAAAATCTTAGATGGCTAACGACGGGGACCCTACAGCGCAATGGCCAAGATATTAGACAGCGATTTCCAGCGTGCTAGAGCTGCAGCATCCACCTGTGGGCGTGCGAAGCGTAAGCGTTCGAACGATGAAGCTGAAGAACCAGGAGAGGAGGCCCAGTTCGGCGATCGAGCAGACACAATCGCGTGACCATTTTACGCGCAATCCTTTTCGGCGTTCGAACTTCGCTCAGGCAGACGATACAAACACCTCCTACTGTACCGCACTGGCAGCTCCAGTCTACAGATACATCTCGTCGCACACATCCAGCTCCTAGTAACCCTGGTGATGTACTCTCTGGCCGACAAATGTTTATCACGAGAGGTAAGTACGTACTGAGGATTAGGAAAGCCTACTGAAGGAGTACTGAAGGCGCCTTCTAACACGGCAGCGAAGAGTACAATGATTGCAGTAACGATGGCGCCTGAACGGCGTGGAATAGGGTGGGGACACCGTGGAAAGTATCAGGTTTGTTCCAACTATGTAAGTCCACTAGCCGAAGCCCGTGCTACGCTACGGTAGCGGTGTGCACTCGCAAATACAGTTGTACTGTACATACATACCGTATGAGTCCGCAGAGACACGGAACTGCAACTCGAGTTGCTTGCTGAGTCAGAAGGTCAAGAAGCCGATTCCCGTATGGAGGCGGCTGAGTGGCCAGATTCATGGATTGCTCTGTATACATGTAATTACCTAGTGCTCATAGGGCCTTGCGTGGCAGCTATGTAGCCCAGTTCATGCACAATGATTCCTTGCCGCTCGACGGCGTCTCATTACCGCGATGCGCCCATCCTCGTCCTCGTCATCCTCTGCATTAAACTCTTCGAACTCCTCCTCAGTGTCCTCCGCATATCCCAGTACCTCCTCCCACCTCAGCGGCATACTCATTCAGCAGCACAACGCTCCTCGGCGAGAACACATCACCACTCCGAATGAAGTCCGTTCGCCGCCGCCGCCGCTTGTTCCATCGCGAGGCTGAACATACTGGCAGGATCCGAGAACATCGCCGGGTCGAAGACACCGTCTTTGGGTACATGTTCGTGTATTGCGTGCCGATTGAATGTTCTTCGCGCCGCCACCACCCGCGTTGGGCTCGATCCCGCACGTGAGATGGTTGACTGTCGCCGCGAGTTTCAAAGTTGCTTCTGTCGTCATTCCGAATTTTCGGCGTGCGACGCGCGAGGCAGAGCGCGAGGCCGTAGTGGAGAGATGGTCAGACTGGAGTTCGGGGGACGACGCACATACCATTTCAGATACAATCCTGCGTCGCATCAACGAATGCGGCATCCAGTGATTTGGGCATGCTGTTCATGACAGCCAGTGAACGACGTTTGTAGTCTTGGGAATCATGGTGTCCCTATAACCCGCTCATCAACAGCAGAACCTGGAAGTTATTCAGACATGCAGCACACCTATGCCCAGGGCCTCCGAGTAGCCACTCTCCGACTCCGACTCGTGCGCGTTGTGCCTGCACCCTTGGTATTGCCGCGCGTCATATCTGACATTCGCCCGTCCTTACTCGTCCTCACTCATCTCATCCCCTCATCATCATCCGTCTCTGCTGTTGAAGTGAAAGAGGTTTAGAAGGGCTTGTTAGGCCAGTGGAAGTGAAGGACAGTAGAGTGGAGTGAACAGACCTATCCCAGAGGGAAGACTCTGATGCTAGGCAGGCAGAAGAGAGGAGAGATCGTTATCCATTAGGGGGGAATCACCCCAGTATATATACATGTCTGGGACTGATCACATGCTACATCAGTAAACAGATCAGTAATCACTAAGTCCGAGTTTTAGGGAAATGAGTAAGCCTTAACTCCAGAGATAGGGATATGCATAAGCGTCCATGTGATCAAGGAATGTACTGGAAGGTCATGGAACATGCCGGAAGGGAGTGGAATGATCCAGAATAAGTCTGGAACAGTGTAGATCGGTCTGGAGCGAGTCACAAGATGAGTCCAGACAGAGTCCATCAAAAGAATGTATGTAATACTACATCACAGAACACAAGTCCATATATGTACGTAACTGATAAGATAAGATAACACTGGAAAGTCGGAAGTTCAACACTCCCACTTGTTCAAGATGTCAAGTATCTCATCATGCCAACTGAAGACCTGAATTTCTCAATTCCACTGAATGGAACATTCTTGGTCAAGGCATCAGCAAGTTGGTCTTCACTTGCGACGTAGTAGATCTCCATTTCTCCACGTTCGTAGAACTCCCGAATATAGTGATAACGGATTTCTATATGCTTGGTGCGGCGATCCACAGCAGGGTTCACCGCAAGGAAAATGTTGCCTTGGTTGTCAAGACAAAGCGGAGTTGGATGAGACATATTATCTCCCAGTTCTTCTCCAAAATGACGTAGCCACGCCATCTGACGACAGCAGTCAGAGCTGGCCTTATACTCTGCTTCAGTTGAAGACAAAGATACCGTCGGTTGACGTCTTGAC